AACATAAATTATCGAGAAGGCGCCTTGAGTTCACCCTTGTCTACCTTGTAAGTCACGCAAGCGCGCAAGCGTTACGACCGATCACGTTTACGCAACGTTTTAGGACAACTCGACATCTAATCTCCATTCAGTTGCTGTGAAAACCTAAAATCCTCAACGTAGAAGGTAAACGAACGAAGTTGGAACGGTCAAAAGGAGATCTTGGTCAATTCTAAGAATAATGCAAATGATCTTTGACATGAGCGCAATTGAGCAAACACATGGATTTGCGTTGTTTTTAAGAAGTTGGTGGATAGAAGCTAGAGATATACCCGCGGGTATGAGGCAATCCGTGACCTCATTGGTGTATAAACTACGCACTGATATGCTTTTTCAGCCCGATTAACGCCTGCGTTTTGAGAATTCTTTCGTACGAAGTAGTGAATTTTTGATATGCAAATTAAGGTCGTAGAGAAGGGTCTCCTCTGATCACGCTGGTATGAAAAATACTTCAGCCGAAGTTTCCATATTTCGTCTGTGAACTAACTGAACACATCTTGGAACTTCTAGAAAGATAGAATTCCGTGAGCTACATTGTTGCAGTCGGTGCGCGCTGGACAAAATCTTTGAAATTTACAATTTCGATCGCTGTCCATAGGGGTGGTCTGGCCAAATATCATTTTTGACTTGTGGCAACGCAAAAAAATAGAATTGGAGAACAACTAAATTATTTTTGAAACATGCGTCCTAAACCCTTTTCATGGGCGAAAAATAAAAGAAAACTTTCTTTCGACGGGAAGTCGAGAGGACCACTCTTAGCGAGAGCGGCACTTAAACAGTTACATGTAGCGACATTTTTTCTTCTCGAAGTACCACACAAGTATGCAAAGTTATGAAGAAGTTTCAGAGCCTTCTATTAAACTTTTCTCCCAATCTACTGCTAACATAGTGTCCTTCACAGCTTTCATTTGAGCTCGTCACAAGGAAAGCACATTTACTACAACCATGAATTAGAATATGATTTTTATTTGTCCTCACTCCTCCAATTATCAAAAACAATACGTAGAGCAACCAAAAATCAGTCTCACTTAAATCAATTTTCCTCAGTAATCATTTTCAATCCTTTAACCTTTAACCCCTAAAGGTGAGTAGCAAGTACTTCCTTCTGTAATATCAGGGTAAAGATGCCAATAAAAAAAAAAAAAATTTGTCCATTAAGTTTGCATTTTCAGTAACAAAAGAAATGTAAATTCAGGTCATTTTTTCACCATCCAGAGATTATTCTAATGAAGATAATTATTCCCAATATTAATGTCTACAATATTCTTTTGGGCCAAAATTAAACTTGTCTTTAAACAAACACGTCAAAGAGCTATCCAGTCAAATCATTCCTCAAGCTGGCCGCTTATTATTAATTTGAAAGAAAACGGCTGAAACTTGTAGCCTGTTCCTTGATAAAACTTGCTCTGGAACTCGACCCTACAAAGACCAAAAAAAAAAAACAAATCAACACTGGGACTTGAATTATTTACAAAAATGCTTTTGGTGTACTCATTAAAAAGTCATGCTAACAATTAGCGCACATTTTTCTGTTAACCATCACACTGACTTATTTAGTACAGGAAATCAAGTTAGATTACAAAAGTACACACTACAGTAGGTTTTGTGTTGGACATGTATTAATCTGAGTTGGTTGCTGAGCAATGAAATTTAAAAACCTAATAATTTAGGGCTGTTAAATAACAAGTACAAATTAGTTGAGAACTTTCAAATGGATTTTGGTCGAACCATCACAGTGCTAGTGGGGCACTGTGATGGAGCCACTTAACCCTTTACACCCTAACATCAGAATGCATATTCTCCATACTGTTCTCTATACATTTCTTAAGGTTCTGATGAGGAGAATTTGTCTAAGAGTCATGAGTTCTTTAGTCGTTCATCATGTCCCTTATTCTCATGACCTTTGTGTTTGATTCAGGGGTGACATTTTGAGGAGAAATTAGATGCTAGTCACTCTCAGGGGTTTAAGGGTCAACTTCAGTATACCATTATACAAGACTACTGGGCATAGTAAGCCTAAGGTACCACACTTATTTTCAAATTCAACTTATAACAATATTTGGGATTGATTGACAAGATCTGGGCCAACAGACATAATGAAAGTTTTGCTTGCCTTGAAATTTAAAAACTTACCAGTGGAGACGTAGAGCATGTAAGAAGGCTGATAACCCCTCCATAATCAAAAGGATGGCAACAGTGAGTACTGGAGGCAAAAAAAATTCAGATAACATCAGAAACTTCAACTAACACATACTCAGGGTTGTAGTCTGCTGGTAAAGATTAAACTAAGCCAGCATAATTAGAGATCAAGCAAAACATTTTGTTTCATTCTTCCCAACCCCCTCAAAGCAATGTAAAGATGGAAATGCAAGACAGAAAAAGAGGCCATGATGAAAAAATTGCTCAAACAACCACTGCGAACACTCACCTGCCCAAAACGAAAACAAAGCAAAGGAAGCAACCACTCCAAGTCCTCCCTTAAATGACAGAGCCAAATGCAACACCATGCTCCATAACACTTCAGACAGCTCTAAAGAGACAGAGGTACAGTAAGTAAACTATTTTAAAACATCAGCAGTTGGTATGGTTTAAGCATTAGCTTCTCAAGATGGGGAGGTTTTGGACATCAAAAGTGAAATTATTCAAATCATAATTATCACGAGAGAACTAAATTATGTGCATAAGACATGGTGCAAGGTACTTTAGAAATACTACTGTGTTCAAGATTTTATGTTTGAGCAAACAGGTCTCCACTCTATCATCTTTCTTGAAACTTGACAGATTTGAACAGAAGCCTAATGCAATAACTTACCTGCATGTGCCAAACTAAGGGCCCACAGTCGCAAGTAAGAGGCTGTATTTGAGATACAACCCAGGCAGTATTCAATGGTATGAATAGACTGATGTACAAATACTTCCCCAAAATCAAACTAAATAGAAAACAAAGATGAAAAAGACAGACTAAGAATTATTATTATTATTATTATTATTAAAAAAAAGAAGTTATTCCAAGTACTATTTTGATTGGTTGGCTCAAAGTTCAACAGCACACCATTAGTATAATCAGACACATGGTTATGTGGAAACCTTGACAAATCTTCTTGCTCATGCAACCTTTTACACATTTCAGCATTTCAAACCAGTAGGAGTAGACCCCAAAGGAAACTAACAACAGCCTTACCTCCTCGTGAACATCATCATGAGGTTCACCCTGTCCCTGGCCTCCATGATGGACTATTTCAGAGTCCCCTTCTGTCCCTTGAATCTGTACTGTTGATGAGGGAGGGCTGCTGGACCTCAGCCTCTGGAAACCCTAAGAGCACATTTTTGTTAAGACTATAAGGCTCTTTAACGTCAGAATCTCATTATAATTTTTATACTCACTGGTGAACCATACTTGTAGATGGCAACTGCATCTAATTAATGTCTCGGTTCAGTAAGAGATCAAAGAACACATTGAAATATGATAAGAGAAAAAAATTGGCATGCGGAGCAGAGGTGATTGTGTCATTGATGATCTATCACTGAAAAGACCCAGAGCAACATGGAACCTATTTGTTTTTCATGGTAACAGAGCAAAATCTTGTTGAAGGTAATGTCATCTATACATCTTTCCTCTAAAAATTTAGTAGTAAGAACCATACAAAATGCATGTGATTGACAAATCAGACTCCTGCTTTGCAATCATCCAATTTTGTTTATCATGCATATGATTGCAGAGTGAATTGGACTCCACTTGGTCCTATTACCATTATAAACTGGAATAAATGAGGTACTTTAAACTAACTTAAGTAAAGCAACACCTAATGTCAAACATTAGTATAAAACAAAGCTGACAAAGGGCAATTGATCCAGTTTTTTTTGTGCTTGTATGTGGAATTACGTGCAACCCACAAAATCTTAGACTTACTTGTGCTTCAGCAACTTTGTGCTGATGTCGAAGATAAAAAGGCTTGACCAAGAGCATCCAAGGTACACACAATACAGCTATGATAACTAGTATAGGCTGGATAACATCCTGTAGTGAAAACAAAGAACAATGAGATAAGAATACAGAACAAATACAAATTAAATTAGACACAGTTAGTGATACTTTGCTTTTTCAGTGTTGAAGGAACTAAGAAATATTCCCATTTTTGTGGCAGTTCTTTAGTTATATGGTCAGGATTCCACCCACCTTACTAAGTAATTCAGAAAATTTTCCTTTCTTCTTTGTAGGGATGGGCAAAGCTCAAATACCAAGAGGCAGAAATACCTAATGCCCAAAAGCATAATGGTAACAGCTGTATGAAATAAAGATACTATCCCAGAGGCAGCCAAAAATGTTTGATTGTAGAAGGTGCCAATCCAGCACAAGTTAGTACAGGGCCAGGTTGTTCAAAGCTGGGTTAAGATAACCCAGGATTAGTGTGAAGAGTTAGTTTGTTAGTTAGTTTTGAGTTAGGGCTAATCAGCCTTCATACAACCTAGATTTATGCCAGGAAAAGTAGCCAAAAAATTCTGGAAAGTAGGTAGAAATTCTCCAATATTCCATGCCCTACAAACACACTGTCCCTAGATCACAAAGCATGGTTGAGAAAAAATGATCCCTTGCCCTGTTTGGCTTCATCTCATACAGAGATAGATGGTTTAACAGGATTCCTGCAAACTACCTGTCCTGGGAAGAGAAGCTCAGAACCGTGGATAGGTCCTCCAAATTTAAGAAACATGTTGATGAGTGCCAACAGCAAACTTGGATACTACAAGAAATGTAAAAAACAAATGATCAAAAATAATTTTTTAGCCATAATCAATCCCTTATTTAGATTGTTTAAAATGGATTCAAATGTACCTGATATCAATGTCCTGTTTAAAAACTGAGTTACAATGCTACTTCAGCCTAATTTGCATCTGTAGAAGAGCATGGCTAACTATACATTTATGCTAATTCAACGTTAAAACTATTTAACTCAAAGTATATTCAGTCACTTACAATCAGCAAACTTAAACTTAATTTCCTTTGATGAGGTAAGAAAATTTTCAAACAGATAGAGCAATCCTTTCACATGCTGAATTTTGAAGATATCCAAGCAATTTTAGGCAGTATTAAAAGGTACTTTGGGTGCTAAAATTTACTCATTACTTCCTGAAAAGGAGAACATTGCACTGAAAGTTTCTCCACAAAATTACATGCTCTTCATTCCTTATAAACACCTCTTAACCCTTCATTCAAATCATTCAGAGGCTGGAAATCCTAACACATGCATGTGTTTATCAAAAATTCTTTCCAGAGAGAAGTAAAAACTAAGGCATACAGTAGATCACCTCTGAACACTCTTGAATTAAGTTCACCGATTTGGCTATGAGAGTTTTACAAAACTTACACCCTTCGAAGTAACACTGATGGCAATCCACTTGTAGAAGATCAAAATGACCAGGTAACCAAAGATGCAAAACAAAAACAGAACCTGGAAAAAGAAAATGGATATCATGGAAAAAATTACAAGGAAATTATGTGTATCACAAAAAAGGGTAACTTAATTAAATCAAGTTTCATTAAATAAAAAACGTGGTCAAAAGAAAAATAAAAAGTACCACAAGGAAACCATGAGTAATTCCCATTAGAAATTCAACTTACAACAAACAAATTGCCTAAAACATCAGAAAATGCAAGCTACCTGGTCCCTATTTTTTTTCTCTTTTTGGTTGATTGGTACACTCCCAAGATCTCATTAGCAATTCTTCTCACAGTTCCATGTACCATACAATTATTATTTTTGTTCTGTCAATTTGGTACTGGATCAACTAATAATCCTCTTATTGATAATTCTCTCTATTCTCACCACTTTTCTGCTTGATATTGTACTGAAATTGTGAGGAGACATTACTTCTTGATCACTCATAAGAGTTAAGGGTTAAGTTTTTGACATGTAACACTATCAAAGGAACAAAATGTTGACTTACATGTCTTGAACAATGGTAATTTTGTTTGTCAAAAAAACAAAAAAAACCTAAGGTAAGCTAAGGTAATTTATAAGCATTGTGGAATGATAATGTCTCGTGTATTAACAGAAAACGTGCTAGAAACCACTTTTCTGGAAACAAAAAGGAGCGAATCTTAGTAATATTTTATTCACACAGAAAAAACTACCTGTGGTATAAACTCTGTGAAGATATTCAGAGGTTTATTGAAGTGCCTGCAGAAACAAATAAGACAACGTTAGCCAAAAGTCAAGAAATGTAAAGTGTTACACCACACCTGAGTTCTACAACTGTACTTTGTGTTTAACAACGTAACCCTTTGCATTCTAACATCAGTATGCATATTCTCCATACTGTTCTCTATACATTTCCTGAGAATTTGACAGGCAGGATTTGTTTAACAATCCAGACCTTCTTTAATTGGTGATCATTTCCTTTATTCTCATGACCTAAATGTGTGACTCAGAGGTGATATTGTAAGGAGAAATTGCATGCTAATCACCCTTAAGGTTTAAAGGGTTAAGGTCGATAAGGTCAATGTCTACCTATGATTGAAGAAACTCAGACAAACACCAAACATCATATGTGTCACACCAAACACAATGGACAGCTTCATTTTGAATGAATTGGTGAAAGTCAGTTTGTTGGTAGCTATTTGCCAGATCTGAAAATTAAATAAAGGAAATCAAATTAAAAAATTAAATAAACAAATAGATAAACAGATTTTAAATTTGCAGTTCACACAATTTTTATGTATTTTAATGTACAGTCAATCCTGTATTGGGTGATCATCCATGGGGAATGACAAGATGACCACTTAACACAAGTTGAGTGCTTAATACAGGTTCCAAAAATCAAGGTAACATAGAAAAAGATTAAAAAAAAAACCAAAAAACCATTATATGCAATAATTGAGCACTTATAATACAAAACTTGCTCAAAAATACTACTAACATTGATTAAGGGAGAGAGATAAGGATAATATTATATTTGGAAGATTTTTCTAAGTTTTATTCACACAGTCCTACTTAAATACAGGTGGAAGACAATACAAACAGGTTGTTGGGACTCACTCAAAGGTGACCATGACTGTTTAACCCTTAAACTCCCATGGGTAACCAAGACAGAATTTTTCCTTACAATATCAATACAATATCAACCAGATAATGATAAGAAGAAAAATATCAATTTGAGGATAATAATTGATTCAATTCTAAATTCTCTGAACCAACCCTATAAGAATTTTATGGTGGACAGTGAGGAGAATTACAAATTTGATCTGAGAGTTAAAGGGTTAATAGAAGTGACTGCTTAATATAGGTGAAAATTAAGGTGATTAAGCCAAAAAATTTCCAGATTTTGATAACCAACTGCTTAATACAGGTTAACCACTTAATACAGTGCCCCTAAACCCATTACCTCCCAAGATCTGATTGTTAATTCTCCCCTGTAGCTGCTACAAATTTCCTTGTAAATTAGTTATGAGAACTTGGTGCTAGATCAAGAGAGCAGCTTCTACCTGATAAGTTTGAATATTCTCATTACTTATTTGCTGAAGAATGTATGGATATTGTTGGGAGAAGTTTTATGTTAATCACTTGTGGGAGTTAAAGGGTTAAGACAGGTTCAACTTTTTGTACAGTTTGTCTTCATTACATAAACAGTCACAACTGCCATGGACAGTTGCAGGTGTTACATTATGAAGTGATATAAATCCAAATTTTCTCTTCCACTTCCCCTCCCTCTATCAAGCAATGTTGAATTTACTGCAGGATATCAAGTTACATGATGTACAAACACCCTGACCATGCACCTTGGTATGGAGTGAGCAATGTAACTCACATTTATTTATTTTAATCCATAATATGAAGATTCTCCATGCTTAACACTCAAGTGACCGAGGCAAAAGAGGCAAATTGTGTCCAGAGAAAACGTTTTGAGGGTTTCTTAGAACTGTCTAAAGTATTTTTGATAACCAAAGGACCCAAAATAACGTGTGTATAAATTTCCTTGATCAGCTTGTTAAAGTTTGTGGTAATTTTGCCTAGTTTCATTATCATACATGTTCATGTAGACAAACACTAGAGAGTGGAAGAATTGGATAGAATAAAAAAAAAAAAAAACCAGCATAAACAACACATGACTGGAATACTTACTGGGTCAATACCAAAGTAGTATGGTATCCCACGGTATGTCTGCTGTGGCTCAACCATAACATCTTGGTTCTCTGCATAAGAGTCCAACGCCTTTTTGCTAAAGACACATTCAGCAATCAGACATGTAAAGAAATCACAAGGTATAATAAAAAAAACCTAAAATAAAATATATAACTGCAAGAAGGGACAATTAATAGTTCAATCTTGCATGAGTTGTATTCTGCGGGTAAATAAAAACATTCTGTACATACTTGATTGGATTCCAATCTACACTAAGATCCCAGGCTGTGCCAAAGATGTTAAAGGACTTGGAAAAGCAGTCGTTATAAATAAGACCAGTGTAGACTGCAAACAATCCCATCAGCATGATGATGTAGCGTCCCTCGAAAACTGTATCAAACATCTGAGGACAGAAACAACATCAATTTATGAGAGGAAATTCTAGATCTGTCAACTTACTTGGTACTGCATTTCTCAGGAAATGTTTAAAAGCACCAAGTTGATATCTTTCTAATGCTTGAAAGCACAAAAAATGATAAGAACTTCCACAGCTGAAAAACTCCTTTGATATCCTGAGATGCTCCTTTGTAGAATTTGGTATTGGATCTTTTAATACTCTCCATATTGACATTTTTCTTTAAACTCATCACTTGTTCGTTTGACACTGTACTGATAACGTAAGGAGAAAGTTTTTTCCTTGTTGCTCATGAGAGTTCAAGGGTTAAGTTAAGCTCATGTCAGCCCTGGAGCTGGGCAGTCTCTGCAGCCAAACCTTATTCTAGTTTCTCTGGCAGGAGCCAAAAATTAGTGCTGCTGTTCTTTCTGAATGAGATACTAGTTCATCCAAAGTTACCCCCCCTACCCTCCCCCCACCCCTCAATTTTATCTGGCTTTCCTGAAAATTCTCTGGGATCCATTTAAACTCCTTGGTGGGAAGAAGCACTGTGAGAGTCAGAGGTCTGGACCAAACACACAATACAATGACTGGGCCAAATCTTCCACTAGGACCATTTGATCCAAAGTCCAGTACCCTACCTGTTACACCACAATATCTGTTTAATAACACATCACACCAGAAAATTCTAAAATGATTTCTTTAGCTGAAATTAAGTCTACCTCTCCTCCTTCTTTATAGCCTGCCAGTTTCCTTTCATTCACAACCAACCACAGGGCAAACAGAAACATGATCAAACCATGACCACAGTCTCCAAACATGACCGCAAACAAGAATGGAAATGTGATGACTGTAAACAAGGCTGGAAAGAAAAAATTAAAATACATCTTAATGCTATAACTACCTCTCTAAATGGAAATTACATGACCACATATACACCACAATAAAAAGGAATATTGATCTCTAAGTTATAATTTTTTTAAGTCAAGTACCTGGATTTACTTCCTGATAGTTTGCTACTCCATAGGCATCTACAATGGCTTGAAACCCCTGGGTAAACTTGTTAGTCCTGTTGAAAGTTGGAGGCTCCTGACGAGTGGTCATGCGATTCAGAATAGATGGTATGGCAGCACCACTGCGCTCTGTGCCTCGCCGCAGTGCTTGCTGAATTCTATCCAAGTCACTCACTGGACACCAACACTCAGCAATAAGACATTTCTGAGTAACATCCAGGTTGAACATGTTCATGGTGTGATAAATGGCCTTGATCTTTTTGACCTAGCAATGTGAAATCAAACAATGGAATAATAATGTAAATTTCTTACAAAACTTTTGGTTCTCATAACACCTACTTTACTGCTAAACAAATTCTCCTTATGAGTGCATTAGGAAATGTGTGAAGAACAGTACAGAGAATATGCATACTGATGTTAGGGTTTGAAATCCTATGCAATTATAACTTTAATTACCTTAATAAACCACTGATTTACATTCTTTTCCACAGTCATCAACAATCGATGGCGATGGTCACGTGTTTCATTCAATACCTTGATAAAATGTGAGGAAAAACATAAGACAGTTACCTCAAATCAAAGTTAACTTAACCCTAACATCAATAAATTGTCCCTTGATAGAGTTTCAGTAATTACAAACACAGCTAGTATTTGTTACTCACTGTTGAAAGATCTTCAATTCTTGTGGTTACTCCAATGGCCATTTCTCGCCTCTCCGCTGCGGTATCTGGGCAAGGATACAACGTAGCACGGAATCTAAAAGGAAAAAGCCAAAATTTTTGGTTCATCATTTATCTCATATTATAAATTTAAAGACTTAAACTGAACCAGTGGCCAAGTTAATCCATTCTGTGGATGGAAATCACCAAAGAAGCTCTAAACTCCTCAGTATGACATGATAAACCCAGGATTAAGGCTCATAAGGACTCCAACATCAGTGTTTGAGAGTATAATAAAGTAAGCATACGCATCTATAATACTACTACAGGAAAGATTACACAGTATAAGCAAATAATAAAGACTTTCTCACCCCTCACAAATCTTCTTCACCCTGCTTTTGAGCTGATCTCCTTGAAAGAATATAATAAAGACACATTTGTTGACTTGGTCTCCAGTGCTTGGATCTTCCAGAGGAGTCTCTATTTCTGCCTGTTTGAAGAAAACGTTTCCACGACAGGCACGCCACAGAAGACGCTCAAAGGAAGGTACTCGCTCTCTTGCTATAACACCAGTCACAAAACTAGACAAGTGATAGATCAAATGTGCAACAATGTAGGTCAAGAGCAAAAATGATAGAGACACATTTAAAGGTAACTGCTGAGACAAAATTATACAACTTCAATTCCCTTTCATCTAACTGGGCCATGTTTTGGTAGCAACATACACTCTTATAAATAGTCAACAATATATTACATGTGTATGCATATATATAAATATATGATCAAGCTATTAGTTACTGACAAATTATCTGAAAAATATCTGACAAAATTACACAGGATAGAGCTATTAAATGCAATCAAAACAATCAAAACACAAGACTCCAATTTCTCCTGCCTGCTCTTGGAGTCAGCCATAGAAACAACTTACTCACATACCCCAACTGGGTTGCTGTTGCTGTGGCACTACCTCCTCTTGGCTCCTCGCCCAGGAGAGCTTGCATGTCATCAGTACCCTGCGGTTCATGGATCTGTTGTTGATTATGCACATGGAGTTCGGCCTAATCAAAACCATCAATACTATGTTCTAATGCTATATACCCTTAAAGTGCACTGTAAAGCCACACAAATCTAATCATCAACACCTTGATGTCCATGAAAAAAGGTCTTATGTGTGTTTTACCTTTAAGTCACTCATTGTTACAAAAGCAAATAACATCATACTGATGCCGATTGTAATAATCGTAAGATTGCTATAGTTTTCCCTTGCATTTTCAGTTTAGTTTTCAAAGCAGTTATGCCAGGTCTTCTAGAAGAGTCTTTTCAAAAATTTTCCTTTTTGCTGAGGGGAGGGAGGATGGTGGGACTTTGGTGATTTTTGTAAAATTGACGGTAAAAATTTGGTGTCTATTTAAGGAAAAATACTACAGAATTAAGATTGGTTTAGTTTCCATTTCCGAGTGAAAATACAGTTTAAAAAAAGGTTGCAATCTGTGGTTAGTGCAGTTATTATTTCAGACAATGACTTTTTGGTTTTCAAGTTAGAGGAGTATTTGTATGACAACAGAAGTGGTTATCAATGATTTTATATTTTATATCTATTAGCCTTATGTAAATACCCAATAAAGATGAAAAACAAGAAGTACAGTACTAACGGAATGAAGCACCTTTTACCCTCTCTAGCATACAAAGAAACAAAAAAGAGTTTACAGGTATACATATTTATGCATGTGAATGCTCTGCAACCTGTGTAAGCATCAACTTGGAGTTAGTCTTGGTTACTTTTTTGGAAAAAGAAGGACAAAAACTATTCACAGTGAAGACATGAAGGATATAAATAATTTCTAAACTTTTGCTTTCACTGAACTTAACTCTATCTACTAAATGCTTTTTCTTGGGAGGAAAAAAAGTTGTGCCTGAATACAAAGAATATTAACCCAAAGCATGCTAAAATATTTTGTATAAGTTCTCAGGATCAATCACAGTAATAGATTTAAAGTAAATTACTTTTACATGGGGAAACTGTTCAACGGGTGGAAAGTTATCAAATGGTGGAAAGTATAAGCCACTTTAGATTCTAAGTATCAAGAAACCACCATGCATATAAAAAGTGTTCCCGCAATTAACTGAAATATACACATTTTGGATTAGAGATTTAAGCTATAGTTGTAAGGTTTTATTGGCTGTATCCTCCAATAATTCGATTTATAAGATTCCAAGGTTCTAACTCGTCAAAAAGAAACTATCTGTTCTCATGGAAAACAACTTCTCTCGAAGGCTTAAACTCAATTCTGGTATATGAAAGCTATGTGTGTGTCAATAAACACGCCCTTTGATAAGAAAAGCAATAGTCGGTTTCAAGGTAGGTTCTAATTGAAAAATGACATAGATGTTCACAGTGTTGAGTTCTTAAGGTTTGCAAGGTTCAATTCTAAAGGTTTTCAAGGTTCAGTTCTTAAGGTTTGCAAGGTTCAATTCTTAAGGTTCGCCAAGTTCAGTTCTGAGATTCGTGTTCCATTTTTTCACAACAGTTGACTATATTCATGAACACATATGATACACACACAATGATTACATATACATATACCAACTTAATACATGTAGAAATTCACACCTCTTCAAAAAAGGTCTGCGTCTTGCGAAGGATGTGCTTGAGTTCTGTCAACTCCAGAAAGCTCTTCATGAGTGCTTCATAATTCGCATTGCTATCTTTCATTTCATTTTCCAGCTGCTCAAACTGGGCCTAAAGAAATTAAATTCCATCAGACAAGAGTTCCTTCAAAAAATGGATGAGCTATGATTAAAACTCTTCAGTAAATTTATGTTTTTATATGAATATAATTTTGAAGTCTCATACTTTATATTTCCTAGAAAAAGTGCCCATCCTCACTACTAACCTCAAGATCAATCATTTCTCGAGGTTGGGGAGCTTCTGGATTTTCTCCTGTGTCCGAAACTTGGATATCAGCTTTCTCAATTTCCTTCTTCAGAAATCCTGTTGAAACAAAGCAAGACTGTTCATTTGCACCCTTAAATAGTACTGTGGAAGGTTAGTTTCTGTTGCAAAGTCTCAGGCTTTTCACTCCCTTGAGAGACTGAAACAGAATTCCTTCTTACAACCAATATTAATACAATATGAAACAGACAAGTGATGAGAATAAAGAAAAGTATCAACTAAGGGATTATTAGTTGATCCAAAACCAAATTCTCTGAATTAACATAATGATAATTGTATGGCAGACGGTAAGGAGAATTACAAATGAGATGCCAGGAGTGGAAAGGCTAAGGAACTGCTTCCAAATGTCAGAGATACATTTAACCCTTTAGCTCCCAAGATCTCATCAGTAACTCTCTCTACTGTCTGCCATACAATTCTTATGATGTTACTATGGAGAATTTGGTATTGGATCAACAAATAATCCCCTAAATTGTCTTTTTCTATATTCTCATCAATTGTGTCTTTGATATTGTTAGGATGTTGTGAGGAGAAATTCTGTCTTGGTCACTCACGGAAGTTAAAGGGCTAAGAAGTAATCAATACTATCTCAATCTGCAGGACAGTGTTGTACTGTCAAAATACGCGAAAAACTAAAATTCTTCTAGTCTCTACTTTGAATAACAGTTTCACTTACGAAGTTTCCTTTCCATCTCCTCGCAGCGTCTGACTTCATTGACGAATTTACGTTGAAAGGCATTCACATCTGGATTTAACTGATAGATGAGAACATTTAAACACACAATTAAACAAATGCAGGATTTATTTTATTATTTTAACAACCAGCTTTCGTAGGTCATGGAATGAGATTCTTTAAACCCTTCTAAAACACACTGCGCAAAAGTGTTTTCGAGAAGGAAACATGAGGATTCAAAGATCTGTCCGCAATGATCAAAATATCAATAAAAATTCCATAGTTTGGCCATGTATTCGTTGAATACTAATCATTAAAATTGAGTTTCACTACAACAAGCAGCACACAAACAGAAATATGTCTACTGGTTGATAATTTAAGATCAAAGTGTAATGATGGTACTCACATCTCGGAACTGCACAAGGCCCTAAGATAGAAAGGATAGAAATAAAACAAGACCATGAGAGTGAGATAACAAAATAAGCCATGTTTGAGACAAACCACCGATAAACATTGCTCTTAAAGGTTCTGGTGAGCAAGCAAAGGTAACAAATTCAAGATGGCGCCGAGTTTAGAGCTTCGACTTACCAGCTCTCCAAGTTCGCTGACACAAGAATAAGCCGCTTCAGCCTGTAGAAAAAGTTGGGCCAGTGTCATTTCCTCCGATCTGAAGAGGGAAGACATCTTGGCAGCGAAGAATACGTATATTTTGGGTTCAGCTAGACAAAATGAACCTGAAAAGTACAAAAGTTACAACAGTGATCTCACCGCCTTCCGATACTGATCACGTGAGTAGCTTTTCTTGTCCCATGATTCATATTAGTCCTCGGCAGCTTGCTGTGACTTCCGAAACTTTCCGAAAATGTCCGAAATGAAAACGATGAAGAATTCTTCTAAAAAATTTAGATACTTGCTTCATAAAATTCTATGCTGAAAAATTCCAGGGCTATAACAGGTTGAAGTAAGGGAAACCCACAATAAGATGAGATGCCATACCGACTGGACAAGAAGCAGCAAACCGGGATTCAGGTGCCTCATAGGTTTCACGCCAGCGCCAGTGAGTCAAAGAGCCCTCCCTCGGACGGAGTGAGTCATCTTAAAATCTTTGCTGAGGTTCCTATCTCCGAAAAGGGCATAGTATTTTTCATACTCGTTTCCAGACCCCTGGCCTCTATGATCCACTTACGTTTTTATTCCGTTTTGAGACCTGCTGCCATCTGAAAGTTGTTTCTAATTTCGAAATGTGGTCAGAATTGCATCAGTGCCGGTGCCGAAAATTGGTAGAACTCACTCGGAAATTAATCTGGAATGATGTATGATGATTCCCTCTCTTTCTCTGACTTTCATTCGCAGTTAAAAAAGACACATTAATGTTACATCCTCTCTAGGTTGCCATGAAAACCAATCCCCATCTTAACTCTTCAACTCCCACGAGTGACTAAGACAGAATATCTCAATGTCAATTCGATATCAAGCAGACAAGTGGTGAGAATAGAGATAAATATCAATTGGGAGATTATAAGTCGATTTAATACCAAATTCTCCAAACTAACACCACGAGAATTGAGAGGCAGACAGTAAGGGGAATTACTAATGAGATATAGGAGAGAAAGGAATAAGACGATAAAAGTCGAAGTCGATTCCCGTTTTTAGAGAAAATGCCTACAAAAAACGGCACGTATTCCTGTAGGGATTCCACCATTTCAGTGTTACAAATTGGATGACGAAATAACCTGTATTAAAGCGCCTGAAAAACAGGCAACGCTGCTTTTTTTGGCGCTATGACATGATCATATATACCCTTGCATAAGTTAGGTTGATCATATATACCCTTGCATAAGTTAGGTTGATCATATATACCCTTGCATAAGTTAGATTGCAATCATCTTCAAGCGGGAACACCAAAGAGCCGTCGAAACGGACTAACCGATCCAAAGAAATTAGTTCTTAGACATTCAAGAACATCGGCGAAAATTGAAATAACCAGAGTGAGATTCGTGAGTAAACCAACACACCAAAGCATCATTTTCAAATAAGTTACGCTGGTATTCAGGTATTAACTTTGATAGAGTTACTCTATCAGGATGAAAAAATAAAAAATTAAAAAAGTAAAAAATTCACACATTTTTGAGACTCGTTAATTACTTTAAGTCTTAATGTAACAGTCAAACTTAAATTCATATCTAATGACGATTAATAAATACTTTCTGGAGTAATATCCTCTTTAAATAAGGCATGAGTTTATCTCATCGCTCTTAAAGCAAAAAAATCATTTTACGTTAAATATTTTTGAGCTTATTTAATGTCTAAGAATCTCTTTAAGAAAAATTCCGAGTATATTCGTTTCAATATAATCTTCAGTTTTTAACAACCTTAATTTTTTTTTTTATAAAGAACTATCCTATGAACTTCATGATAAACTCCGCCCTGTTCCAAATCTTCATGCATCCAATTTTTGAAAGCCGACGAAAGACTAAGGAAAATAGGAGGATGGTATAAAGTACCTAGAAAAGACAAAATAAAAAGTAGAAAAAACTTCCATTCGTTCATTGCGCCCTCTTCGAATGCTTCTTATGAGATACCGGGCGGGAATAAATCCGACTTTGAAGTTCTTATCCGGAAGCCGAACATTAGAATTATTCCTCAAGCTGACCACTCAAAATCGACTTGAAGGAGAATGGTTGAAATTTGTAGCCTGTTCCTTGATAAAACTTGTTCTGGAACTCGACCCTGTGAAGGAAAAAAGACGTATATAATTATGGTACTCTCATGTTAAGAAGACTGGGTTTGAGTCAAAAATCTACGCCTAAATTAAGACAAGTTACGAGCTCCAAACGATCTGCTTGGTTAGGAGTTTCCGCCTCTTTGTGGTGTTTGGTTTACCTATTGATGGTGGTAATTACTTTAAGTAAGAAATGAACATTAACTTCTCTGTTGACGGAAACAAGCAAGGAATGAATAGAAAATAGAGTGGGAAAGCAGAAAATACGTAAGAGAGTGCGATATGAACTTACCAATGTAGACGAAGCGAATGCAAAAAGGCCGACAGACCCTCCATGATCAACAGGATGACTACGGTTTCAACTAAGTATAAAAAAAGTGATATGTAATAAATTAGCCTAAATACAAAAATCCCATGATCTCTAAATGGAAACCGCCCCTTCTTATTTTAAGACAGCCTACGCGCATATCCTCTTACGCGCGCGTAACGATCGACGTAATGAAAGATTATTAGGTTAGTCTGGTAAAATGTTATTTCACACTTACCTGCCCAAAGTGAAAATATAACAAAGGCAGCGACAGAACCCAGCCAACCGGTAAATGTGAAAGCTGGACGAAGAGACATGTTCCAAAATACTTCCGACAGCTCTAAAATGTAAGAAATGTTTAGTTTTCACAGTTGTATCAGAAGTTTTTTTAACTATGGAGCTGCGCTGCGTGCACGACGAGCTCCGCTAAAATACCCCGTCTCCAGACCAAGGGGGCCAATCAGAGCCTGGCTTCCCAAGAGGGTAAAGGGGTACTCTTGATGAAATCAAGAAGACAGGGGAGGTATAGGCGAATTCTTACTTAATGTTCTCACAGAAAAACAATATACGGGCGTACTATTTAAAAGACGGTCCCACGAGTTTTGAAGGAAAGGAAACTTATAACTGACATTTCAACGGATAGGGGGCTGGGCCGAGATCGCCAAAAAGTAAAAGGTATCACGGACATGCCACACGCTGTCTTGCCCCGGGTTTTTCGACGTTGAAATCTCTCCTTGCCTTATGCTCTTCCTCCAGATCGTTACAAAAAACCGACTTCAGGCCGTAGGGAGGTTTCTGCAACTAGTATAAAGAATCCTTACAGGATGAACTAATGATCAACACTGTACCGTACCTTTGATGAAATGAAAACCTGATTTCTTGTTCTTACCTGCATGAGCTAAACTTAGGGCCCACAGTCGCAAGTAAGAGGCCGTGTTTGAGATACAACTGAGGCAGTATTCGATAGTGTGGATGGCCTGATGTACAAACACTTCCCAAAAATCAAACTAAAAACAGAAAAAAGAAAGGAAAACTGATCTGAATTTTTTTCCGAAAGGAGTCCTGAATCCAACAGCACCCATACCTCCTCACAATGGTCATCAGGTGATTGATCTTCCTGAAACGAGCCGTCATGATAAACCACTGCACCAGAGTCTAATCCAGAATCATCCATTTCCCCGGACAAGAGAGTAGTACTGGGGCTACCTGGCCCTAACCTCTGATAACCCTTAAAAAAGGAGATGTTTGACACAGAAGCAGATAAATATACATATATATACATATATATATCAATTGGAAAGTATACATGAAATATATATATGTTTTGTTTTCTCATAAAAAAGATACACCAGACGTTTCAAGGCTCTCCAGCAGAATAAAAGTGTTATATTTTACATCTAGTTCACTAGCCAGAGCAACTGGTACGGAAGAGTCTAGGTATCAAAGCTTGGTCAATGTGTAGAAAGTCACAATTGCTGAGTTTTACAAAAGAATAAGGTGGGGTATTGGACACATTTTTTGCCCAGAGGACAGGAATCTTAACAAGTTCAAATGTCTGGGGAAGCTTGAAATTGATTGACACATGTAATAAAGCTTCCAAACATCAGGAAACACATTAGCCAATGAAATTCCCCTTGAAATGTCCAGAATCAAATCCAAAGTGATTTCTGCGCAATTACACAATAACATACAAGTGTTGCTTTTTACATCACATGAGGTAAACAATAAAGATATAGCCAGGAATTACTTGACCTACATGTTCTTTGTTAACTCTGTGCCGATGCCGGAGATATAAGGGCTTTGTTAAGAGCATCCAGGGAACACAGAGCATTGCTATAACAACCAGTAATGGTTGAACAACAGCCTGTCATAAGAGCAGAGAAACACCATTTAAAATGTCAATCCTTCCACTCCCAATGTCTTATTTAACAATTCTCCTTTTTATCTGCTATACAATTCTTATGAAGTTAAGTTGGAGAATTTGAGTATTAGATCCACCATTGATCCCCTAATTTATCTGTTTCTTTATTCTCAATGTTTGTCTCATGCTTTATATTGTAGACATTGTATTGATATTGTAAGGAGAAATTCTATCTAAGTCACTTACTGGAGTTTAAATAGGGCGAAACACTTAGTAAAGTGCTCTGGCCAACAAAATGATCTCAAGTATTTAAACTACAAAAAAGATGCATTATACAGTGAAAATAAAAACCATTTTTGAGCACCTGTCCATCGTACAGAAGATTTTCATCTTTTATTCTTAAACCAAATTCCAGAAACATGTTGATGAGTGCCAACAGTAAGCTTGGTTGCTGCAAAATCAAGCAAACATTGCATGAACAAAGAGGTACACAACTTAAATCAATAAACTTAAATATTTGCTTGAAACATGGGAAAAGAGACCTAAAAAACCCCCAAACATGATTACTTGCAGTGTTGTTAAATAGGGGATATGTAGATGTACAGGGCTGTTAAAAATGCATCCAAATAAGGTGGCAGCAAAGCTTTACAAGTTAAAGTGATCTTCCAGTAGCTAAAATAAACTTTTAAGCTTGGTGATTGTGGTTTGTTGAGCAACAAACAATTTATATTGAAATAGAAAGGTACTCCTCTAGATTGCCACTGAATATAAACAAATCCCAATAAAATGGAAACGGGAAATTAGCAAAGGACATTCCTGACCACAAGTTGACTCTTCTTGTCCACTGTTTCTAGGTTGAATTGGAATTTGGAATGTTGGGGTTTTTGTGGAAGGAGAAAACCAGAGGATCCTGCAGAAAAACCCTTAAAGCAAGGATGATAACCAACAAGAAGCTCAGCCCACGTGTGACACCAAGGGCGACACCAATAACTCACATTCTTACTGTTGATATCTATAGCAATCCATTTGTAGACAATCAGAATGACCAGGTAACCAAAGATGCATGACAAAAACAGGATCTGGAAGAAAAAAAAAACAAGAAAATGTTTGCTATTGACAATCCTTTGCTTCTGACAATCCTTTTGGCTGGTGCAATCTACCAACAATGTCTAGAAGAAACCACTCTCTTAATTCTGACATCAGAATGATCACATAAATGTAGTAAAAACACAAAATGAAAATAATAAAACAAGGAAAGAATTTTTACACACAAACAACTAAGAAAAAGATGTGGCCATAACCATGTGATCTGAAGTGTTGATCACATGATCACTACTAGCTCTAGGAACAAGATTGTACTTCAACCTTATCCTGACAAGCTTCAACCCACAATAAGGAACTAGACAGTATATATATAAAGTTTACTTTTATTTGCAATTCAAGAGATCAAGAGAATGATTCTCAAAAACAGAAAGAATAAGTTTGCATATTGACAGGAAAAACCTGCAAAGGGTGGTCAGGTTGGAGATTAGCATGATGACCAAGGAAGAATTTCTTCTTACAATATTCATACAATATCAAGCACACAAGTGATGAGAATAAAGAAAAGTCTCAATTGGAGAATTATTAGAAGATCCAAAACCAAATCCTCAAAGCTAAAATCACAAGAATTTTATAGCAGACTGTAAGGAGAATAGCTAAATGAGATCTTGGGAATGAAAGGGTTAGGGAGTGACATACATTTATGGAAAATCTTGCCAGCGGTGATTCCCATTTAACCATCTTTTAATCATTTCAATCCCAAAATCTAAAGATTAATTCTCCCCACCGTCATCTATACATTTCATGTAATCTTAGCACTGAGAATTTGGTGTTAAATCAGCAAATATCGTATCTGAAATTTGTTAATAAAATTGTTTCTTTCTGCTTATTTTGTTTCTAATTAAATATGACATTGCAAGGAGAAATTCCTATCTGGTCTCACCTGGGAGCAAAAGGGTTAATGGGTAGATTTGTGGTGCAGAGATGAGCAGCTTCTTACCAATGCTGTTGGTAGGCATCAAGTAGCAACAACAGCAAAAAATCAGCAAGCAGCACTTAATGCATAGAAGCAAAGCAACTTAAGATCAGCACTGGTCAGTTAACATAAAGCTCTTTAAGTTACCAGTAGGTATTCGAATCAAGCAAGGAAAACATACTGCTGCCCACAATGCCAGCCATCTAACACTTACACTGCAGGAAATACATTAGCTTCCTCATCTTACACACTCATGCATATATTGCATTTTTTAGCACTGTCTGTTACTATCTAGTCCACACAGGTTACAGAAAGCAAAAACAAAAAACGTTTGCATTTTGCCTTTTATTTGACCAATATTACACCAGCCTGTATATTCATGAAAAAATTCATATATACTTGAAATAATTTCATTTCTGCCATGAAGTCTATCTGTTTGAGTTTTGACCATGAAGAATATGTGGATAAAATCAACGTCCAATAAGTAATTCAATTTCACTTACCTGGGGTACTAACTCAGCAACAATATCTAAAGATTTGTTAAAGTGTCTAGAGAATAAAAAAGTTGCATATTAATAATATCTGAGACAATTTTCAACTAGTCTCTCAAACAAAGGCCAAGTTTCTGAGGCTGTTCTGGACAAACTTGTACCCTACACATGTTCAAGTTATATTCCATGAATAGGTGCTGCAGTCCTTGATGCTGCATTTATTTTATTGCTAGGAAGTCTTAAGGTAAATCTGAGCATTCTGACAGGTTCCTACTTGGTCAAGATTTTGCCACATGGACCATATCCACAGAAACAGTCATAATTAAGCCATGTATTTTTGTTTGAAAAAGCTGGAATATTCAATTGAAAATAAATAAGTTTCATGGAGTGCCAAATAATAATCTACTCACTCACCTTCCTTGCTCAAGCTGTACTGGAGAATAATGGCCCTGGATCGTTTTTGACCTTGCTGTGCTTGGTTTTTGCTATGACCTGGATAAAATATTTCAGGGGCCATGTTATTTCCTTTCATGTGGAACTTATTTCACCGTCTTTAGGTGACACTACATTTCAAAGGCTGGGTCACAGGCTAACCAAGGCCCTACTAGCTACCCCTCCTGTAAAAATTTTATGAATAAAATAATATTTTGTTGCTTTAAGATCTACATTTCATTACCGGTGATTAAAGAAATTTAGACAAACTCCAAACATCATGTGGGCCACTCCAATGACAATAGACATCTTCATTTTGAATGAGTTGGTAAATGCAAGTTTGTTGGTAGCCAGCTGCCAGATCTGAAATGAAGCAGAGGTAAAGAAGAATCAGATTCTAAAGTTTTTTTTTTTTTTTTTGAAGAAGTGTTCATGGTTTTCCCAGATTTATGGTTACTGACAGTCAGCAAATTCTTCAGAACATTTTTTAGCCATTGATTTTATTGTTAGCTCAAAACATTAGAAATGGCTTTGATAAAACAAACTTTCAGTAATATTGTTTTAAGCATTAAAAAGTGTAAATGAAATGCTTTATTTGTAGTTCATTGAAGGACAGATACAAATTGTCTGTTAATTTTATCAAGAAAGGACAGAAAGTTACTCTGACAGTATTTTTCAGTTGGCAAACTGCTCTATAAGTATTATCTTTAAGACTTATAGAGCAGTTACTAAAATAGGTACTAGTAAAAGTTGTTTTTAATCACTATGCACTTACTGGGTCAATACCAAAGAAGTATGGCACCCCTCTTATATATGTTTTCCTGGGGTCTACCCAGATTTCTTCTTTCCCTGCAACTGACTTATTTAGGTTGTCCTCGCTAAAAGACAAAATGGCAATTCAAATTTAAAAGCAAGAAAATTAATTGTATTTTTTTTTCCTTCATTACAGTGCAGAGATCCATAGATATTTCTTTACTGCATGGTGGATATTTTTTTACTAATAAATGGAATACAATCTCTAGTTAGAACAATTTTCAATCAGGTGTATTGGGTGTTGATAGTAAATTAAGATTGTATTAGCTCTGCCTTACCTTGCTCTGTGATTGGTCCAAATATCTTGTGCCACATTCTCAACCCATTAGATCCAAAACTAAGACCATTTACAACATGGTTGCCAAGGTTTTCCCATGCTTAAGATGGTTTGGTTGTTTTAAGTTTGAATTCTCATTGGGTTTTAGAGGCATTTTCCTTTCTTCTGAAAGGCTGTAGTTGTGATTATTTTTGGTTTTGGTCTCCAACAGCCAAATGGAAAGCACTCTACTACTGTGACAATAGATTGCCATGTTTCCTTAAAATTGAGGGCTAGTAACTATTCAGGAAAGTTTGCGTACCTCAATAAACTATTGTCAGTGTCTAGAGAAAATGTTTACTTCTGATCATTGCCCTTACATTATTCATACCTGATTGAATCCCAATCTACACTAAGATCCCAGGCTGTGCCAAAGATGTTGAAGGACTTGGAAAAACAGTCATTGTAAATAAGACCAGTGTACATGGCAAACAGTCCCATCAACAAGATGATATAGCGGCCATGAAAAATGGTCTCAAACATCTTCACGACAATATGCAATAATTGGAAAGAAAATAAGAAGGTTAATTATCATTATCATTTGATAATGATATTTAATCACTGCCATATTAGGACACCATAGAGTCAATTCAATACCCATCATTGAGGTTTGAAGCTTGAAGCCCAACAGATTATCTAAAACATTTCACATTTGGCTCTGAATGTAACACCTACCTCACCACCACCTTTATAATTTTTCAGTTTCTTTTCCTTCAGAACTAACCACAATGCAAATAGGAACATTATCAAGCCATGGCCACAGTCTCCAAACATGATCGCAAACAGAAATGGGAAGGTAATGATGGTAAACAGGGCTAAGGAAATGTGAAGGAATGGAAAAAAAATCAATTTGAATATATTAGCTATCAAGCCAAGTCGCAGTTTCTGTAATGATTTGATTTGGTGCCCTCCTTCCAATATATAAGTGCCCCCTTTGTTGTGGGTGACCCCCTCAAATTTGTTTATCTTGATAGGCATCCCTATTTTAATAAGTACCCCTATTGAGTAAGCATCCTCAGTACAATAAGCACCCCTATACCAGTAAGCACCTCTATTCCGCCTAGAGCCCCTGTTCTGTTTCAGTTATAGCAGTGTTAGAGTACATACTACACTGAAGTCCACTCAACCATGGTTCATCTTCTTTAACCAGTAACTGCTCACTTAGTCCCTTATGACTAAAACAGTCTGGTCTTGACCATCTCAGTCTTTCAACTATTACGTCCCTTTGAATGTTTAAAGTTCCTTTGAACAAAAGATCCCATCTTAAAACTTTGTGATGATTGCTTGGCTAGTTGTTCTAGCTAAGAAGAGTCCAGGGTCAACAAGTCTGTTTCCAGTTTTTGTTATTCTTTCCAACTAAACATCAAATGAAAGCTTTGTTTCACATTTTTCTGTTTCTGAAAAAAGAGATAAGCACCCTGTCTCTAGCAAGCACCCCGTTTCAAATAGGCGCCCTCCCCTGAGCTACCAAAAGTACACAGTTTGGAATGGTCATCTTAATATTCTAATAATACTTATTTATTACTAAAGTAAGTAAGAGTAAAGTTCTTAAAATGCTAATGAGTTACAACTAAGAGAAGATTTCAAACACAATCATGAATGACACCGATCACATGGAATCACCTGGATTAACCTCTTGATAGTTTGCTACTCCATAGGCATCTACAATGGCTTGAAACCCCTGGGTAAACTTGTTAGTCCTGTTAAAAGTTGGAGGCTCCTGATCAGTGGCCATGCGATTCAGAATAGATGGTATAGCAGCACCACTACGCTCTGTGCCTCGTCGCAATGCTTGATGAATCTTGTCCAAGTCACTCACTGGACACCAACATTCAGCAATAAGACATTTCTGAGTAACATCCAAGTTGAACGTGTTCATGGTATGATATATGGCCTTGATCTTTTTAACCTGGGAACCAAAACAAAAAATGACAAGTACTAATAAACTAATGCAAAATTTACATTTAATATTTCATTATTTGAATCTGGTAGTGAGATCTCATTATCTTTCCCAGGATGTTAATTTGGTACTGACTGTATGGTAAATTACATGGCAATGAACTTAACAGGGGCATCTATACCTATATAAGACTCTTGATTTTTTCTAATGATAATGAATGACCAGTAAAACTATTAAAACATAATATTATATAATTACATGTTTATCCTTTTAACTCCCAGAAGTGATTAACAAGTAACTTCTCCCAATAATATCAAAACATTATCCAGCAAACAGGTCATGAGAATATTCAAACTCATCAGGCAGAAATTGTTACCTTGATCTAACACCAAATTCTTGTAACATATTTATGAGGAAACATGTAGCAGCTAGAGGAGAATTAACAACCAGATCTTGGGAGTTAAAGGGTTAACTATTAATGATTTCTAATAAATACCTTAATAAACCACTGACTAATGTTCTTTGCCAAAGTTGTCAACAAGCTGTAACGATGGTCTCTTGTCTCATTTAAGACCTGAATGAAATAAAATTTGACAATAAAATGACAACATGAGATATAACTTATTTACTAACTTGGTAAACTAGACAAAATTACAAGTGTGTCGTATATAGATCAAATCTGTTCCAGTTTTAGTTCAAAGTTTTTTCTGTTGCATTTACTTAACCAATGATTCATGTTAATTCCCTTATTACTATACTGGTATATTTATATTGTAGAACCCTCCTGACTGGAACTAGGTTAACTAACTATAACAAGATCTGATTTCCTTTATGTGACTTTTCAACATTTACTATTGGCTAACTCTAACCCCAGGTGCTAACTCAAAGTGTTTTTTTCCTTGGGATTTTGAGTTAGCAAGGCTCTACTGTATATATACATATGTACATACACACCTGTTTTCAAAAATGTTACAACATTGAAAATGTATATTAAATATGCATACCTTATATATTCTCATCAAAAAGAGACACTTTTTGACAAGAAAACAAAAGATATATATATATTTAATATATATTTTCAATGTTGCAACATTATAAAAACAGGTATGCATATATGTATATATCTGTATACATATATATATATATATATATATATATATTCAAATTACTGGTATATATATTCAGTTACACAAACATCGGCAGAGAGTTCCTGAACCTCATCAGTAAACATTTTCTGAAAAATCACCAGTAGAGCAAAATTTTCAACTAAAACAACATGAAAGTTTGTTATAGCTGCACAGACAATCTATAAACCATAATTAAGAAACACAACAGAAAAATCCTCAAGACAAGTAAGAAACCCTCCACGGAAAATAAATGTAACTGCAGACACATGTCAGGACCTTTCTTTAAATAATTAAATCAATGGAGGAAAATCGGAGACTTGAACCCTGCAATATTGGTGAGTAAAAAGAAAAAATTTAAAGAAAACTTTCTTACCATTTGAAGATCTTCAATCCTTGTGTCTACTCCAGTGGCAACCTCTAATCTCTCAGTTGCAGTGTTTGGACATGGGTAGATTGAAGCACGATACCTAAGAGGGGAAAAATTTAGTTATTTACAGTCAAACTTGTGTCCAACAGTCACCCTCGGGGAATTGCAGGATGACTGCTTAACCCTTTAACTCCCAGGATATGATTGTTAATTCTCCCCTCTAGCTGCTACACATTTCCTTGTAAATTAGTAGCAAGAATTTGGTGTTAGATCAAGATAACAACTTCTACCTGATACATTTGAGTATTCTCATTACCTGTTTGTTGCATAGTGGGTGAATATTGTAGGGAGAAGTTACATGTGAATCACTTCTGGGAGTTAAAGGATTGATACAGGTTCCACAGAATAGGGGTATTATTAATTAATAGAAGACAATAAAAAACACCATTTTATGCCATAATGTACACAAACTTGCTAAAAAATACAACTACCCTTGAATTCAGGAAATAAACTTGGATTAAATATTACTTTACATGAATGTTCCATACTGGTGGAGGGCATACAATAAACACAGGCTGTTGGGACTCAGTTGAGGGTGACTATCATTGTTTGATAGAGGTGACCACTTAATAGAGGAGAAAATTACTAACAATACTAATGAAAAGAAGTTGGGAGGGTTTAGAAATGAATCCCCTTATACTGGGTGACTGTGCACTACGGTACTGCTCAATACATGTTCGATTCTATCATTGATTTAAAATCTTTACACAATTAAATTCACTCTGCAGAAAATTCAACCATACATATGGAAAGAAACAGATCAAGGATTTTGTTCCCTATGATCTTTTAAACCGCTTATTGTCTGCTGTTTGCCTCATCCTTGTCTTTTATGTTAGTAAGTAAATAACATAACATAGCACACCTTTTGGGTGACAGGTATTGTAGGGTAATGTAAGAATTACACATGACTTTAGACATGCCCTTTATCTGTGGAGTTCCTATATTGTTGTAAAAGTTGCACTGTTGTCTATTCTGTTGTTTTTGACAAAATCCTTCCAAACATAGTCATTTCTTAATCATTTCCTCTGGTCAGTCAAACTTGTTGTTGACTAGGAATTTATGTTAATGCTTGTTTCCCTGCCACCTCAATTAGCTTTACTATTTTGCAGGCAGTGATGGCTAGATATGTATTTTAATTGCTAAAAATAAATACATTTTTTTGTTGTTGATAGGCTTAATGCAACAACAACAACAACAACAGTTAGATAACAAAACACATTTCTCACCCCTCACAAATTTTCATCACCCTGCTTTTGAGCTGATCTCCTTGAAAAAATATAATAAAGACACATTTGTTGACTTGGTCTCCAGTGCTTGGATCTTCCAAAGGAGTCTCTATTTCTGCCTGTTTTAACAACACATTTCCTCGACAGGCACGCCACAAAAGACGTTCAAATGAAGGCATTTGCTCACGCACTATGACTCCAGTGACAAAACTACAAAAGAAGACAATAATTGGAGGGCTCAGAGCAAGAACGATCCCTTGATTTTTTGGCCATTTTTGAAAGTGTTCAGAAGTAGTTGAATTTTGGCATGTGGACACTTTCAAAAATGGCTGAAAAATCAAGGGATCGTTCTTGCTCTGAGCCCTCCAATTTTGTTCATGAGCACCAAAATACTAATGTTGTGAGCAAAATATTTTAAAGCTCAAATGTAGGATTATCTTTTGCAAGTTCCATCACAAACCAAAATTCTTATAATTGACCAAGGAATGTCATGTTCACCATTTGATAATTTAATTGGATAGCTAGGTAATAAACAGTGCAAGGCATTTCTTGGTTATATTATGAGCACAAAATTTGATAAAATAAAAAAAACACTTGAATGTATTATTTACAACTGGAATGTCTGGTTCCCAATAAGTTCATGCATGAATGGGAATTTGGTCCTCTCAACGTATCTCTTAATAATTAATTTACAGGTATTAAAATACAGTAAAGGATACATTAGACTTGTTTTGTTTGCACACTTAAAGAGCTGAAAAAAGGTGTCAGCCTATTCTTGGTTTATTTATCAATTTTGCAGAATGTAACAAAAACATCTACCATGGTGAATATATCTATATAAAATACTTATAAATAAACTGGTAAACACACCCCAGTTGAGTTTCTTTTCCCATTTCATCCATTGCATCATCTTCTGTGAGTGCCTGTAAATCACTCCTCTGTGATTCATGCATTAATTGTTGATTTCCCTCTAAGGCAGCCTAGAATGAAAATAAAATGCAATTTGCAAATTGTGTATAAATGATTTGAGAAAGATGGTTAATTTTGAGCTCTGTAATGAAATAAGCCAGGAATTATGCATTTTGTCTTGTCTTGACAATTGAGAAATGAAGGAAAATTCTACTTTCCTTATCAGAGATTTAGAACCAAAGACCCTCAGATTTGATTACCTGCTCCCATACATGCATGCTCACAACCATTAACCAAGAAAACTCTTTGATGATCAGGGACACAGCTTTTATCAACTCACACTAAGCTTTTAACATCGCCGATCCCCATAATATAAAGGACACTTTTCACATAAGAACCTAATTATGGCCCAGCTCACCACGGAGTTCTCAATACCCCAACAGTGGAGCAGTGATGTACAGAATCTGAGGGTTGGAGGTTAAAATGATTCCTCCTGAGGCCCTGGAATTTTTGCTTTTGATCCAAAATGAGACAAGATGAAAAACTCCTTCTTTCAATCGCAAAACAATTTTTCTGTGATTTTTGAGTGGTTATCCCAATTATAGCACATTTGTGCACTGACTCAGGATTAAAAGGTCATGCACTGATGAAGCCCTGAAAGAGTCACAGACTGTCATGGCTATGGGCATGACACTTTGCTCTCTTGGTAAAAAGACAAAGGAGCATATCCCATCCAAGGGAGGTAAAGATACTCCTTTTCTGTATTAAGAGACCAAGAACAGACTCATGCAAATCCATCCAGCCTATAATTAGGGATACACCATTTCCATTTCAGTTTAAACATTTTTCTACATTATTTCCATTAATTAGCAACAAATTAGTGGATACACTGTAGTAAAATGGAGCTTTTTCAAGTACAGATATGTTTGATTACCTCTTCAAAGAAGGTTTGAGTTTTTTGTAAAATGTGTTTGAATTCTGTCAGTGCCAAAGAGTTCTTCATAAGGGTCTCATAAGTTGTGTTGCTGTCTTTCATTTCATTTTCAAGCTGCTCAAATTGGGCCTAAAAAAGAAGAAAAAGAGAAAGTAAATGGAAGAATGAATAAACAAGTGTTAGAAATGAATAACTCCCAAGATCTTATTGTTAATTCTCCCCTCTAGCTGCTGCACATTTCCTTAAAAATAACTGTGTTGTGAGAACTTGGTGTTAGATCAAGATAACAACTTCTACCTGATACATTTGAGTACTCTCATAACCTGTTTGCTGGATAGTGCATGGATTTTGTAGGGAGAAGTTATCTGTTGCTCATTTCTGAGAGTTAAAGTGTTAAGAGATGAGGAGATGGAGGAATACCTTGTGTGTTTTGTATTTCAATAAAAATCTTAATTTCTACCAACCTCAAGATCAATCATCTCTCGTAATTGAGGAGTTTCTGGATATTCTATGGCTTCTGATACATGTATATCTGCTTTTTCAATTTCCTTGTATAAGAATCCTACAATGAAAATTATGCCAACTTTATTAAGCTAACGATAAGAGTAAATATGACCAAATTAGGACACATCTAAAATCTCCCCTGTCCACTTACGAAGTTTTCTTTCCATCTCCTCGCATCGTCTCACCTCATTAACGAACTTACGCTGAAAAGCGTTCACGTCTGGATTTAACTGGCGAGCAAAAGACATTGAAAAGTAATTTTCTGTTGATCTCTCGTAGAAGTTTTAAACATGTCAATACGAATCGAATGCAGCTGAACACTGTCATTTTGTACTTACATCTCGAAACTGTGCTAGGCCCTAAGGAAGAAAACGAATGGCATAGCTCAGTATATTTTATCAAAGAAAACAGTAGAGGTACATTAAAATAAATAACTAGACTACACTAAATCTATCGGATTGAGAGTTTCACTTAGTTTCGTACCAACTCTCCAAGTTCGCTCACGCAAGTGTAAGCTGCTTCAGCTTGAAGAAAAAGTTGAGCCAATGTCATTTCCTCCGATCTGAAAAGGGAAGACATCTCGGCAAGGAGCAGGTGAAGAACAGAAAATGTGATGAATTTTTGTCCAACGTAACAATGAGTTCTATGTAGCCATCTGGCCACCACATGAACCTTATCTATTATGTTACCTCTCCCGCGCTGTCACCAGTCAATCCGGTGAGTATCATATGATCAAAATTGGTACCCAGACTCCTATATCGGATATACTTCCTCCTCCGGGATGAGAGGGATGTTGTGTTTCTGAAAAAAAAAACAGGAAGATTTCTTTGATTCCCGCATAATCAAAATCCTTCTCCTAATTCAGTTTTTGGGGCGAATGCCTTGCTCTCAGTAATTCTGGTCCAATTTTCCCAGATCCCTCGAGCGATTTATTTAAACGCTGTTGTTCTTCAAAATATCAATTTGCACAACTCCAGACCGATCATTTTTATGGCACCAACCAGACAGTATCAATTTAATTTTTTCACTTTTTTTCGAAAGTTCATTTCTATGGTTTTTTTTTAACAAACTTGCAAGAGAGAAGCCTGGAAAGGAAATATCACGTGATCGGAAGTGGAGGATAGCATCCGATCCAGTCTTCCACCGTGAAAAGGCACGCGTGTTTATATTTTGACGGTTTCCTTGCACACTGTAAGCCGGTTACAGATTTTATTCAGCTGCATTTCAGTCTCAAAGCCCTCCCTGAAGCAGGTGATCTTCTCAGATAAAAGAAGATATAGAAGGAAAACTGTGAAGTTTTATCTTCTATGGTTTGAGTTTCCACGTTGTTTTGAGCCGCTTGAGGGATTCTGATGAATGTAAAACTTTAACTGACATCAGGATCGGTTTTGACACCGCACTTGAGGTAAAGAAGCTTTTCTTGCGGAAGATCTTTTTAAAATATCATCACCAGTTATAAGATGGATGAAACACAATGGTTTTATCAGCTTTGAGAATTTCCTACTAAGGAGAGATCGTCGATAAGTGTGCCGCAATTTGAAGCTCTAATTTATCACAACTCGCATTTAACGATGAAAGCGCTCATTCACCTACCCAGATGAGACGATGAGTCGACAATTATGGAAGGTTTCGTAAACCATGGGGCAAGAGTTTAACAAACAGGTGCAGCCAGAAGATGACCTCGTGGTTTTAAACAAGTCTACAATTCAACCTCCATTACCAAAGCATTTGTACCAAAAGGGTCCTTTGAACAAATGTACGTGAGTTCAACATATATATTGCTTATTTCATATGTTATGTTGTACGTGATAACTTTCTTCGTCACGTTCCCAGATTGAATTAATTTCTTTGCCTCTCTTCTTTCTCTCAGTTTTTCAGTCGTCTTTTGTAATTTAGTTTTATGCCAATCAGGAGCAAATTACAGTATGTACAAAATTTGGCTAACTTCAGGTGCGAATGACTCAAAAGGGACTGTATCAATAAGCTGTTAATGATTGAAAATTCACTTGAAGTGTTTGTTTGTTATTTTAATGAATGCGTTGAATGTTTATGTTTTATTTGAGAGCATTAATCAGTTGATATCCAAACAATATTTACAGTTTTTTTCTATTATTTATGACTGTACACTAAATAACAATATCGGTTTTATATTTCAACGACGTTGGTCGACTAAATATCAAGATATGATACACTTGTAATTGACTTTCCTGAGTTGAGATGAAGGAGGGACAGAAGTCTCAAAATTCTTGAATTTTCCCCCATATGTGTGAAGGGTTGGAGGATTCAATGAAATAAAATAATAACAATATTTCATATTTCTATGGCACAAAGTAACATGCAGATGAGATCAAATGTGCCCCACAAACTATTTGAGTAAAATGAAAGAAACAACATGCAATGAATATTTAAGGATATTCTATGGGCATGCATTGGACATGAGATGGCACATGTAAATAGCCAATGAGGCATGTAGTGTATCATATCCAACAAGGGTAAATGGAATAATTAATTTATTAAATTTCATTAAATCCTGAAAATTTGGATATTTGAAGCCTCTTTTCAGCTCCACAAGAGTTGGCATGAAGCATTTTCATATTAGGTGACTCGCAATATGAGCTGATAAGCAGAGTTGAGAGAACCTATCAGAATAGTAGAAATGCAATATTCAGAGTTGGAAATTTTATAAGAGTAATTAACGTTTTTACTCCTTAGATCTCATTAGTAAATCTCCCTACTGTTTGTCAAACAATTCTTATAATGTTAGCTTGGAGAATTTAGTATTGGATCAACTAAAAATCTGTTGAAGGATATTTTTCTATATTCTCATCACTGGTCTTCTTGAGATTGTATTGATGTTGACCAGGAGAAATTCTGTCTTGGTCACTCATGGGAGTTAAAGGGTTGATAGTAGTTGTTTGGAAATCCATGTATTATGACTATAGGTATAGGTTTCATTTTTTTTGAAAAAAAAAAATGCTGTGTGGTTTACCCAGGTATATCTCTCTATCAGTCATGTAACTTTTTCCAGTCACTTGTAAACTTTGAAAACTATCACTCTAGACAAGTTGTATTGGTTATTCAATCCTAAGCTAAATTTCTAACACTCCTATGACTTCTAAAAATTTTTTCTTTTTTCAGTTTCAGATAGTGAAGTTCAAAGCATGGTCCATGTTTACCAAAACTTAGCAGCTCTGTCTCCCAGGGACAAACACATTGATAAGAAAACATTGTGAGTATTATGATATTATCTTCATGTAATATTTGTAACATCTTGGGATCAATATCAGTATCTGGGCAACTGCCCACCTATCCCTCCCCTAACTCAACAATAGTCAATTGATAACAAGTTAGGGTTAATGTTGGGTTAGGGGAGGGGTAGGTGGGCAGTTTCCCAGATACTGATATTGATCCTCATCTTGTTACATTTGTGAGCCAGGGTTTATTTCTTTGACGTCACTATATATGTTTCACTGAGGAATGTAGACATGGCCCTATGCAGTCTGGCCAAAGTTCCCTAAAAGTATTTTTAAGTACACTAAAGCATATTTGATGTGGAGAATGCATTATATAAATGCATCATCATCACATGGAAATATGGAAAATAGATAGTATGCATGAAGAACAACTTGATTTTTTTTATGTCTGTAGCATGCACTATTTCCCATTGGATGGAGTTCTGGCAGAAAGGCTGTTTGTGGCTTTTGATAAAGACAGAAATGGACATATTGACTGTGACGAATTTTTAGGTGTGTAATAAGGGTCTTGGTATCTATAATATGACACACAAACAATCTCATTTCTTAAATTAAGGGGGGTGAGTTTCTAAAGAAATTGTGGCGCTGTGTCAGTGGGGGAGTATACCAAGGTATCTCGGTATTATCAACTGAGTTGATAATGTAAATTGGTCATTGTTTCAAGTATTAGCCCTTTGTCAGAGCGAATTTGAGGGGCCAACACTCAAAAAGTCAGCTTTGAAACTCTTTATGGTGGCCAATTTATATTGTCAACTCAGTTGATCACACCAAATTACCTTCTAGTTGTTAAATTCTTAAACTGCCTGGTAAGCAGTGCCCCAAAAGAGTGAACACTCTCCAGAAAAACTCATCTGTAGATGGATTTGGAAAAACGTGATTATTACCCTTTAACTCCCATGAGTGACCAAGACATAATTTCTCCTCACAATATCAATACAATATCAAGCAGACAAGTGATAAGAATAAAGAACGATATCAATTAGGGGATTAATAGTTGATCCAGTATCAAATTCTCTGAACTACCATCACAAGAATTATATAGCAGATAGTAAAGAGAATTACTAATGGGATCTTGGGAGTTAAAGGGTTGATAGCTGGTGCCATGAGTTTAAAGCATGAAATGATCTTGATTATTTAACTTGTAGGAATTTGTCTTAATTCTCTCTAATTCCTCTAGGAGCTTATGATAATACCATTCATGTTGCTAACCTCATAAGCACAAACAAAAAAAAAATTTAATAGTTTTCTTTTTGTTTCATTATACACAAAGGTGGACTTGCTCTATGTTTAAGGGGTTCTACAGCTGAAAGAGGACAAATTATCTTTGACATGGTAAGTCAATTTTAATCAAAAGTAGTAAATTAGTGAACTTAGTAAACCACAAATGCCTCAGTATCTGTTCAGCTATTTATTATCTGGTAGTGCAGGCACATTAGCAGGGAGAGTGAATTGGCCAGTTTTAGGCTCATGATACTTCACTGAGTTTTTATGTTTGATTTGGGGTCAGGATAGGTGGGTAGGGGAGGGGAGGGGGGAGTAGCCTCCTCCCTCAGTTTTCCTCTTAACTTTCCTTTTTCCCTTAGATGAAATTTCTATCTTGCCCCAACTCTCAACAACGTTGTGTGCTTGGACACTTAACTTCCACTTTTCCACCCTTTACTTGGGAATTGAAAGGGACACTGGGAAGCTGCCGCTGTGCCAACTGCTTTCTTCATTGTTTACTTATGTTGTTCAGAATTATGTACAATTCATATTTCATATTTTATTCCTTATATTACCTCTCTGAACCTTGTGCTGTTCTTGCTGGTCAAAAGTTTAACCTCGATGGTAGGTGTTGATGTTTTCATGTCCATACTACAGCTCAATATTGTCCAAACTCGTTTGATCTGTACTCTGCTTACTGTAGATTTAAGAACAAGCGTTGAGCCACATGTCTTTCTACTTACCTTTCCGTGACGTCCTGTCCACTTCAATAGTGATAAACTGTTTGAAACCTCAATATGTTTTCTATCTCTCAGTTTTTGCCTTGCTCCATTTCAAAACGTATGAAGATGAATCACTCATTGAGAACTAGATTTCTGTCGCCTTTGGACTTATTTATATGAGGTTTAAGGGAACTCTCTTGGAGTTGACGAACGATACGCGCAAAAAAAAGCAACCAGAAAACGCCACGTTTTCTTCTTTTTTTTTCCCTATCCCACAATGTACCTTGTCTTCGATCACAACCAGAAGCATGTAGCATCTAAGGCGAGATTCTTCATACGGAGCAATTTAATAAGCAAGATTATGCGGGTATCAGCGGCCATCCCGAGGGGTCGACCCCCGGGCAACCCAAGGGCAACCCACGGGCTTAGCAGGGGATTTGTAGCAAAGGCATGCCCCGCACGCGGGGCATTAGAGCGCTTTTGCGTTTTTGGCAAAATACCCCGGGGCCATACCCACGGGATTTGCGCGTAATCTGCTGTTATTTTTGCTTTCCTACAAGGCCCAATGAGCGTAAGAAGTGGGAGGTTTTCTGTAAGCGAGTGGATAAAAAATTCAAGACACTCGGCGATCCAAGAATCTGTTCATTGCATTTTAAGGAAAGCGACATCGAGATTTCAATTTCATACGGTTAGTTCGCATTCGAAGCGTCTTGCCGATAGGAAGAGACAGTGTGATGAACAACCGCAAGCCAAGAAAGTTTGCCCCAGAAAGCTCGAATTTGAGGACTCCATAGAGACTTGTGTGGATTTTAGTGCTGATGTGGCTTCAGTAAACCATGATCACTCGTACTTTTGCATCGAGGAACAGGCAACACCGACTATATGTTGCCCAGGTTGCTCCAGGGGTGGGGGTATTTGTCCCAATTTTTTGCCCTACCTGAGGGGCTTTAGCATGTATTTGTCACGGCAGCTGTGACAAATGCCCCTGGGTGCCCGGGGGTCGACCCCTCGGGATGGCCGCTGATACCCGCATTACCCTAACGATAACAGAGACCCACTTCAATTACAAACAGAACGAATCTTGGAACCTTTTTCGGCTGTAACAAATTTAATCGAATTTATCAATTTAAAAGAAATAAATTTTCGCCAAATTGTTAACGGGAACTAATTTTCGTGGATTGATGGAAATATCGAGGAGTAGATCCCTTGACAATTTCAAGCTACATGGCGATCGTTTTCGGCTAAGAAAACGCTATTCTTGTTTCCTTCGCGCAAACTGAAAGGTATGGCGGTTTAAAATGGATGAATTAAATTACCTGCTATATCATTACTTAGCTGTCTGAATGTCTCGTCGACTTGGGAATTATTAAAAAAAACCCTCGTTAGCTTGCCCTGCACATTGAAATCGAACACTGAGTACAGTCTTTAATTTTGTTGGAAAGGTTGGCTTTAGGCTACCAAGGACACGCCTCTCCCAAATACTGTAACTGTTTTGATTCAAGCATCGAGTGACCAGCATCTAATTTCTCCTTACAATATTACCCCGAAATCACACATAAAGGTCACAAGAAAAAAGGGAAATGATCACCAACGATTGAAGCTCTTGATTGTTAAAAAAATTCTCCTCGTCAGCACCTCAAAAAATGTACTGAGAACAGCATGGAGAATATTTCAACTGATGTTAGGTTGTAAAGGGTTAAAGGTAGAGGATTAATCTTAGTGTGACATGTGAATCATGTGCTCGTCATATATTTCGTCATAATCACGCTACTCGAAAATTTTGACCTGTCTTCACTTCTGGTCTATTCATTCTTATAATAAAGTTCGGATATAACGCGCGCTGTCATTGGTTGAAAGAACGTGCTCTATGAGAGTATAGAGCACAGAGCTGAGCTAAAGCTTTCACGCCATCTGCCAAAGTGTACTATGTTCGAGCTTTTCCGGGACTTCTTTTTAGCTCTTTGTCGATAATTGAAAGTGAAATTTCGGAACTGAAGCGAGCCGGCAAGTAGCAACAGAAGAATCAAACAAAGGTTTGTAAATATACCAGGCGCCGTAATTTACCTTATTAAAACGTGAGCAGATACGAAAATCCTCAAAGGAAAAACAAAATAAACATTCCGAGTTTTAAAGATTTTCACGCTCAGTTTGATTGCAAGCTTACGTACGGTAATAAAAATCAAACACAGCTAACACTCGTATAGTATGTAAAGTTCAGTGTTCAAAAACAAAACAGAACAAAACAAAAATGATGAAAAATTTAACCAAACTGGCATAATTGTTAAAATTCATACTAATCATGACGGTGTCTGAGCGAATATGATCATGCTGAAGTTCATCGCGGCTCAAGAAGTGGGAAGAAACACTCGACTACGTCTCGTGTTTCTCCCTACACTTCTTTCGTGCTCTAGCCGCTTCCTGCGCGCTTTATAACAGAACAGAGCACAGTCAAGGCTTCTCTATTTGTTAATTAGAGTGAAAAGGTTTATTTGCATCTCTGCTTCAACTCGCCTGATAAATGGTACAATAAGAAAATGGCGAATTTTCCGCCTCACGTTTTAAAAACTCGTTCTCTCCTCTGCATTCACTGAAATCGCTGAAATCTGCTGTTAATTAGAGGCCAGCTGTGATGTAACTTCCGTTCCATTAAAAGGATAGGCACCCGAAGGTTTTCTGTTATCAGTAGTGAGTTCAAGCGTTACGTTAACTCTGTCAGTGAGAATGACATTCTAAGCCTATGCCTCTCAGTTTGAACAAGACCTAAGTAAACCCTGGGGGAAAAAAGGAGAAAATATCTTGATTACAGCAAATGCAAGTATTTACAGAGTAGTGTTCAGACGGTTTGAAATAGTGGCTGGAAGAGCAATATTTCCGTCTGCCGTGAGGAGTCACTCAGCTTTCTAATAACAGAACATGACCTGGCCTCGCCAGAATAGGAAATGTTATGGAAAAAGAAATGACATCATATTGCTCATTTTTACATGGTCACATGTACTTTTACTAGTACTGATATGATATGATGGATAACTTTCATTTCGTTAGGGACAGACGGAGTGAGTGTTTCCGAGATCAGCGTGATGTTGAAGTCCGTTCTTTCCGCCGCCGTTAGGTAACGTGTGAAAGATATTTCTTTCCCTTTATTTTTCTGTTGAAGTTTCTTCTTTGAGTAATTTTCCTTCTTTAAGTAATCAATTAAATCAACTTCACAATTCCGTCTTCCTTTTTAGAATCATCCATGTTCGAGAGGGCCAGAGTATAGGTAAGCAAGTACTTTCAGATTTTTTCCGAGTTCTTCGTCGTTTTTTGCGGGTAAATTATAAGGGAGCTTAAGCAGAAGACCCCTAGGATAGGTCGATTAAAAAAATCAAATCACATTATTCTTAAGAATTTCATAAGTGGCTTGATGTGTTTATCATTTCCATCGGCGCCAGTCCTCCCTCATAAGCGTTACATGTAGAGGTAGCGTAGAGTTCGAAAAAGAAACATGGACAATTTTTCACTATGGTTCCGTCCTCAAAGTAGAGGACGCGAAGAGGCTGTACAAACTTTTAAAACGCACTTGCAATTTTTTTTTTGATTGCCGCGTTCTCGTTGCCGTTGTAGACGCAGATTTTTGAAAATCCCTATTTGAAATGAAAGGCACGAAGTCACGATTTTTCCGAGTGGTTTTTGGTACCGGAAAAATCCCCTTCACCTGATTTAGCGGTCAAAATATTAGTTCGGTAGGATTGAAAAACACAGTGAAGGAATTACTTGACCATAAGGGAACGGGGATAGCTCAAGATAGGGAAGGTTTTTAAGGATTGCCGAAAGCAATCTTTAAAAGGATATACAGACAGTTTCGCAACTCCGTGAAACAACTCTTAATCGCCCAGAATTCTATTGTCTTTCGCGACATGTACTTGCAGTGCCCATTTAATCAGCGGGCAGCATAATAATTTGCATATCCTGAACTAGTCGGTCGTGATTGGTCAGCAGGTAAAGCTTTAAGAATACATGAGTCTCTTGACAGATTTCAGCTGCTGTCAATCAAACGGTTGGATGCGTAAAGTAAATCCCAAGGTGACCAAAAGTGAACAATAGCAATAATTAACAATAGCCACGCTCTTAACAAAGCGTTCAGCAAATTCGTTTGCAGCGAATTCTTCTATGGACTGACAGACTACCGTTGGTCAAAATGTTATCGGGATTATAAAAATTAGTATCATGAAAATAGGAAATATAAAAATTTAGAAAATAGTGTCATGAAGAATAGGCGGTTTGAAAAGCGTAATTTGTAATCAGACGGTTTTCGAATGTGAAAGGCTTGCGGTTGCGGACTGACAACAAAAAAACGCCTGATTGAAGGTTATAAAAAGCGATGTTCAGAAAGCCAGCTAATCTTTGGTCAAGTGAAATGTTAGTTTCATTCAATCTTTGTCTTAAATGTGGTTTTGGCGAGCCCCCGTATAGTGGATTGTAGCCATTTATTAAAGGTGCAGACATGTGAATGAAGGCAGGGTTGATCGGGGATCCTGTGAGCTCTAAATAGAGCTCCCGATCAACGCGCTGCATTTCTTGCACGGAAAACATTTCAATATCTGGACGGTATGAGGCACAATTGTGATCTGATGATACGGTGTGTTAACAGAGATGTTTATAACTCTTCAATTTAAATTTGGCGCACATGTGTGACATGACACAGCTTCTTAACAATGCTTCATTAGGCGAAAGTGCGTCCTATTGTCTACAGAGGCGGGGCAAAAACTCTCTTCGAACTCTCTTGGGAGTCCAAAGGGAACAACTTTCGAGGGCTTTTAGGACATTTCGGTGTAGCTTTTGGAGATGATCTTTTTGATAACACTTGTGGCCATCGTATTAACGCGAAATTCCACCAAATCTTAGCTGAGATATCAAACTCACTTTACCAGAGGGTACCTAAGTCACGAAGTACCTTTGTGGAGGAAAAAATCAATCTGAATACTAATCAGTTCATATTCCATACGAATGCTGAGCGAAACGGCCGCTTTTTCAAGATCACTTTGATAAAACTTATCGAAGACCAACGACTTGGATGAGCGTCTTAAATAAAAGCTGAACACCTCTTCCACAAAAGCCAGAGGGTATCTTATCGCTAAGTGGGCTAAGTTGTGTTAAAATTTGTAAAACACACTAGGCATTAGGCCGTTTTCGGCCATTTTCTCTATTGTTTCGCCTGTTTTCAATTACGAGAATTCAAATTTAGCGCTATTGGCTACGCAAAAGGTCCCGGATGTGTCGCGGCATCCTCTGCTACGGTAGCAATGAGGAGACGTTCTGTTGTCCAAAAATTCATCGGAAGATTAGTTTTTCCTGTTCAAACTGACGAAAAAAAAATCGTTAAGTCAAAGACCTTTCCCTGTTTCCACTCTTATTTCCAGTGCAGTGAACTTGCAGGATTGAGTGGGTGGAAAGGGTCATTTAACGTCGACGAATCTCTTGGGAAGGGGGTAGTCTCTTTTGCAGCCGTTACGCAAGGGTATAAGAATGCGACGGGAAGCTTGCAACAACGGCTGCCAAGGAGACTAGATAGTTGGAAAGATGTAATCAATGTAAGTGAGACGTCATGCTATGACCAGGATAAGAACTGTAGGGAATCGTTGCAAAGTTGCCCGCTTTTGTGTCTGTCTCAGGAGCCTTCTTGTTGATTTTTCTGTGCCGAATAGCACAAGAAATGAAACGAGTTTGTTTCAAATTTTAGATGCCGATGACCGCGTGGCGTTAACAGATGTTGATAATGAAGTAGAGAACCTTGTCAGTGATGCGGTCAGCCAATGCGATGAGAGTGCGGTGAGTATCTACGTAGGTTGGATCAGATGGGTCTAAGCGCTCTGACGAAAGGCTAACGCTCCAAACGTCAGCGTTAGAAACTCTTTAAGGTGGCCAATTTACACTATAAACTCAGTAGGTAAAAGCAAATTATCAGATAATACCCCCCACTGACGCTGCACCACAGTTTCTTTTGTAATAATGTACCTGAAAAAATAACGTGCTTCTAATTGGCTTAAAACGAGTGCAATCTCATGCAACACGAGTGCAAATTATAAATAGCGCCCGCACGCTTTCAAAATTTCGCTCATCTTTACTTTCTGTGATGTCTTTTCATGTACATTATTAACAAGTCATATCATAATTTCTCTTGCAATGTGGTGTATAAAGCACTGGAAAATTTTTCAAAGACTACAAATTGTACTTGCCCTACGGGCTCATGCAATTTGGTTGTCTTTGAAAAATTTACTCGTACTTATTAACACCAATTTGCACTCGAAATCATGTTATTACCTTTTCTTCCAACTTTCCCCTGTTAATAATTCAAGTATACTTTTAAATTCCTAGTAAAAAAAAAATAACATGGTTTCTGGCTCATAACTGTTAAAATTCGTTTATCTCTCCTATTGGAAAAAAGGTGCTCAACACCTCGAAAATGAATTTTGATTTTATTTTCAATCTTCTGAATTTTGTCCCATTTGATGCGTATCATTTTTGAACTGGCCGGCTTCTTGAAAAGTCATTGATTAATAAGATCAGGTCGACCGTACTTTGAACGATCATCGTGCTGTTTATTTTATTACACATAACTGCGTTGCAGGTGAACGAGTTTGTATTGCAGTGGTCCAATTTTTAATGAGTTTTAATGTCGTTACGATCTTTTAAATAATTTATTCGTCGGTAATAAATAAAGTGAAAAGGGAATTCCCATTTTGGTCCAATCCGTTGATGACAACCAAAGAGGAAAATTGGTTTTCATGACAGCTCTTGTCAGCGTCATTCGAAAAGAGGTTATTTCCGTTGCAGTTTAATTAGACGCAATACTGTACTGTAGTTCGAGCAGTTGGAACTAAGCTCTTTCTGGCCAGATGAGATTTGGAAGTGACCTTTTATCACTCTGTAAGCACGTCAACTCGACGAAGAACTCATTTTTCCCATAATCACAGGGTACTTAAGTTCATTTCTTTCGTTTAGACCTCAGAACTCCGCCAGGAACTCTAGTTTTTTAGAGAAAAATATAAAATGGACAATGACGTGGAAAATTTTAACGCATATTTATTTGAGAATGGTATAATTCAGGCTGTATTTTCCGTTAGATTCAGCATGGTCTCACTCAACGAAAAAAAGATCTTCATGATATTAAGTTTTTTTTTCAGCAGATGTTTTTGATATACGAATTTCGAGCTCTCTAGTGTTCACTCTAAGTTTTGTAATTAAGCACCGACGTACTTAGACCGGTCAACTAAATAGTGTACATCACTTTTTTCAACAATTATTTTCACTTTTGTTGTTATTTTGTTTTTCTCGAAGTGTCTTTTATACCCGCATTTTTCTCCACCAATTGACCCCTGTGGATTGTTTTTTTATGTCGTTATTGCTTACTATGCGACATGTCACAACTTTCCTCTTTGCAAGTCTTCCTTACTTTTGTTGTTGTTTTTTTTTTCAATGAGGTGTTGAAAACAATGAAATATCTACAATCTGTGTTAGAGATCTGAGAGGTGTTCACTGCGAATAAATTTACTTTTGCGAACGGTCATCTCAATATTGTTCACCTGATTTGAATGATAGGTTTGGAAACTATTAGATATTCAAATGATCGTGTTTGCGCAACATCACCTCATCGTATTTGCATTTTCAGCCGCTCGATTACTGAAGCGGTTTCCATCAAGTTTTTTAGATAGCAACAATTCGCGCATGTTATTTTTGAGTGGTTAGTTCATCTTGCGTCACCGTTTACGAAACCGAAGAGGTCATAAAGAAGAAACGTCTTGAAAGAACAGTAAGTTTTCACTTCAACGGTGAGATATCATATTATTTTATCTTATAAGATCCAATTTTCGTGCTTTCGATTATCAGCTGAAGCTCGAGTTGCGATAAATTCATACACTGTCATGGCAAAGGTGAAACTCTAAACCTTGCTATATCGCACTACTGAAAAACTTTAAATAATCTTCGCTATACCAAGTTGCATATGCCTTCGATAGTATTTTATAGTATTTTATAATTATAGTAACATTTTTCTAAATTTGCATGTCGAGGCGCGTGTCGCAAACGTTATTACTCACGCAAAGGGCGAGGTTACGACCTTTACAAAATAACTAAGCGGCGTAGTTTGGGTCAGTTTTTATTTAAAGACGTCCCAAAAACCAAGCTCACAGTAAGTTTGACAAATTTGCCTTTACCGTTTGTAATCTGTAGATTAGAAAATAGCATTTATTCCGCATGGCTGTGTAATATTCATCACAAAGGACCTACGTGATATGTTACATCAGAACTGTTAGACCGCAGTTTGTTGTAGTTGTATTTCTTAACACAATCCGTGCTCAAATATTTCTGTTTTTAAGATTCATTTCGCTTTTGCTAAATTTACATGCAATTTAATTCATAGAGTGTTTGGCTTTTAAATTAATTTTGTGAAGGTCTTAAAATGGCAGTTGTAATCTTAAGGTCAAACTATAACAATGAACCGTCATGAAACTGCACAAACACAGCCCATTTTTAATTCTGGATATAAATTATTTATGTGTTTCAAAGGCACAAAAGCACAAAAGTACAACCAAGGGATCGTAAGATAAAATTTATGGCCTGTTACAAAACAAATCCAGCTTTCGTTTAAAATGGTGTCAACTTTAACTCTGTCATTCCTCAAATAGAAAGAAACTTATTCACCATGTATTATTTTAAAGCTCTGAGCCCTAACGATGTTTTTTTCAATAAATATGACTTCTCTCCTACCCCAACGTACTACAAATAGCGACACGTGAACAATCGACCTCATCACCTGATGAAGGCTGGAAGTATTGCAGTCGAAACGTCGTGATCAACATCAAAAGTGACTCCATTGTGAGACAAACGAGTAAATTTCATCTCCTATCTTACACCACAATGAACAATAACCACATATTTTATTATAATATGACTCCTGTTTTGCTGTTTTTGTTTCTTTCATCACGGACGTTTTGTTGATGTTCGATGGATCCAAATTTGTTTAGTCAGTCTGTATGTTTGTCTGTCTACTACTGATCTCTCGGTCTATTCGTCGGTCTACCTGTCTAGTTTGTCTGCCTGTCTTGTCTGTCGATCAGTTTGTCTGCCTTTTTATCTGTGTGCCTGTCAATTTATCTGTCTATCTATCCCGTCAGTCTGTTTTTCGGTCTGGTCTGTCTGTCTGTCAGACTGTCTTCTCTGTCTATTTTGACGGGCAAACAGGTAAAACAGCAGACAGACTGACATTTTCAGTCTGTCAGCTTTTTGATCTGTTTGCCCGTCAATTAATCCGTCTATTCTGTCTGTCCGTAAGTCAGTCTGTCAGTAGGTCTGTCTGATTTCTTTTTTTTTTCTGTTGCCTCTACAGAATGGAAAACTGACCAAGGCAGAATTCGTAAGCTGGATGAGAAGACACCCTCTCATTGTGGACTCGGTATTTCAGCATTCCAGTATTAAGGACAAACAGTTCAACACAGGATTACAAGTGAGTAAAGAGCTTGGAGTCAGCAGAGCTCGGATAGAATTGTGTATGATTAATAGTAATAATGATCGCTAGAATTTGTCATTTACTGCTTCATGATCATTTCCACAGCATGACCGTGGTCAAAAGAGCCAAAGGCCACCTGGGTTTGTGACAACAACACATCAGGGAGCACGGTATGGTGTATTCCTCGTTCACACGTCCTCGTCTCTCTCTCTCTCGTACTTTTGTGATAAAGGGTTACAACTTCGAGAACAAACTTTTGCTGCTACAACATTATCGTAAAAAAAACACGACCGCCTTGGCATTTTCCCACCAAAATCTGAGACACCGCAGCGTGCACTGTCGTTCTTTGTTTGGAAATTTGTGTTCATGCTAGAAACTAACGTCATTTGTGATAATTCTTTAATCTTTCCTTGTATTTTTTGTTCTAGGCAAACAGAACTGTTGAGCCAAACATGGGTTGATGGGCTGCAAGAGAGCGTTGATGAAGATGGTAGGATCAAAACACTTTCCTAACTGCCTTGCATAAGGCCCTTTAACCATTTATTCCCTTACAATGAATACTCATATTCCCAACACTGTCTACTCTTCATTTTCTCTGCCAATGTCAAGGAGAATTTGTTTAACAATCAGCAGCTTCTTAAATTAGGGATCATTTCCATTCTTCTTATGACCTTTTCATTTGATTCAGGGGTGATTATGTGAGTCCAAGGGTTTATCATACAGCGGACATTTTCGGAAATAATTACTGAAATTTCTTTCGTCTTGCAACTAATTGATTGAATATTACCGCCATCGACATCAGTTTGTTGAGTGCGAAGGCGTCAGGAGTTAAAAGTAGTTTATTAATGTGTTATAATAAGTTTTTTTCCGGAATGATTTAAGATCAATGGTCTAAATTCAATCTTACTTTTCCTTCCGATTTCACAGAACCTGTGTTCAACGGTAGTTATGCAGACGCAGAATATCTGTGGAGTCCAGTCTTCCCAGCTAGTCCTAGCATGCCTTGCGCACGCAGTAGGCACTCAGTGTGTGTTTGGGGCGGTGGTGTGTTTGTGTATGGAGGTCGGGGAACTAGAGGAACTCTTAAAGATTTCTGGAGATACGATATAGGTGAGTTGGACTTCGTTAAGTAATTTGAAGTGTATAAGTAGTTTGATTAAGTACAACTATTTTTCTTGGAACTGCAGCCAATAACACGTGGACCAATGTAATAGTTGAAGGCGAGTTCAGACCGCCGTGCTTACAGGAACATACTGCACTCACTTACAAGGTAAGGCTTGTTTTATTGAATTTTCAATTCAGTGTCGAAAGTAACGCAAGATATCTTTGGTTTTGAATACTTCGCCATGTTATTTGTTCAGGAAACTCGCGCCATTCCCCCAATCAATCAGGTTCACTTGGTCACTTGCGTTTTTCCCGCGCTTCAAGCAGATTGCCGGTTTTTCTATGTTTTTTAATTTTCTCTTCGTGATATTTTCCTTTCCTCTGATATGGCTGTTGTGGTTACTTTGGTGATGGATTTTTGACGCACAATCGAAATGCGCTTTAGGCAAAACAGATAGAAGAGCAGTAAAAAAAAAACAGCGGTAATAAACTTCGTTTCAAGCGACGGGATATGGGAAAACCTTAGAACTCAGGACCAAAACATATTGCTTTGTCATGACATGACAAGGGTGAAAAAAAAATTTGGAAAGCTGGGAGTCGCGACTTACCAAATCGGTCGCTTTGATTGATTACAATAAATTTGCAACAGATCGAAAACCGTCTTTTCTGCTTTTTGTTGCCTCTGCACGAAGTGTAAGTCTCATCCAGATGGCGCAAAATGCTCCAGAAACCATGATAACTGATTTTCTAATGTTTTGCTTATTGTAGGGCAATATGTTTATATTTGGGGGAGAATTCACCTCAACCAACGAGACGCCATTGTGGACATTCAACTTTCGTAAGTGCTCACTAGAACGACTTTTCGTTTTAGATTTAGTATTTGTTTATTAAAACATTCCCACCCTACCCTCCACAGGTGCGAGGGAGTGGAGGAAACAAGCGGCAAAGTCATGGGTAAGCGTACGTCTGTTATATGCTTCTCAAACGTCTGGGGGCAGGGGGGGAGGAGGGTTATTGGAGGATTTTGGTGTTGTAACGATTAAATGTACCTGATCCCCTCAGAAAGCTCCGTAATATTCTTACAACTTACCCCTCCCCCGCTTTGGCAGTTAATTGGCAGGCAAATTTTCTCAGTGTAGTCCACCCTTTATACTCTGTTGGCGGCGACTGATTCCCCCGATGCTCCCACTGAAATTGTGTGACCACCACACCGCCCCCCCCCCTTCCTTCGGTTATAAGTAAAGACTGTTCCCTTCCACGAATCCCATTACAGGTTCTACCAAAGCTTCATCTCCTGCTACTGAGATATTTGAAGAGTTCGTCAAACTGGAACACTATCGTAATGTGGTTCTAAATTCTCGGAACTAATCCCAGAGGAAATTCATGTTAGCTAGCAGAGACAAGCGTCCCAGATCTTGACAGCTTATTGTGAATTGTTCATCTTTTCCTAGGGCCCAGGTACGCGACGGTCCCACACGGCCGTGATTCACGAGAGTTCGATGTTCGTGTTTGGTGGTTACATTGATATGAGAGGTGCCAGTGATGAACTTTGGCAATACGAATTAGGTAGGTGTTCATTTGGGTGTCAGAAATAGCCTACCTTTGTCTCACAGTAGAAATTTCACCCTACCCTTTCAGCCTGTAGTGCGAGAGATCAATTTTCGATGGTTCTAGACACTTCCTTTTCCAAATCAGGTTTGGTTTAAATTGGCTTTTCATTTGCACCCTTGCCTTCATCTAAGTCAAAATCTTTTTCTGTTGAAATCAGAGCTGCCTGTTTCTGATGGTATCATTAACAGTGTAATTTTATTTACTCAGACACTGCGAGATGGGTCAGGGTCAAATGGAAGAGAGAGGGACCATGCCCTCGTTACAGTCATTCAGCGGCTGTAGGAGCCGGTGGTATGTGGGTGTATGGGGGCTTGGAAGGTCTACAGTCCAAGAACGATCTGTGGAGATGGAGCTTTGGTATGTCTGTTAAATTATCACAATGTCTTAAAATTTGGTTTTACTTGGGAACTAGCGACCAAAGAATAAGAGAGTTAGAAAGAAATTCAGCCCAACTAGGTATAAGCGCAATATATGTTTAAGTTGTAATTATAAAAATTTATTTAAACCAGATTTACTGCGTTTGTGGGGAGCTAGGGCGTCAACAGTTGTTGCGCTTGCGTTAGCAATCATTCTTTAGGTCACTATTAAAAATGAAATGGACGAGTGGTAAGTCGGAGGACCTGGAAGCGACTGAGACTTCAGTTCTAGTTTTAACGCGGCGCGGTATTTTCACGTTTCTGAAGTATTTCACCGTTTCTTGCGGTAAACAAGCATGTTTATTATATGGCAAGGTAGTCCTGTGGTAAATCTAAGCTTTCGGATTGGTTCTTATTTGGTCTGTGTTTTGCCCTACTGACCGCTTCCAGTTCGTATTTTTGTTCGCGAAAGGCGGCATTCTTGAAACAAACAAGTTTGGTCTGATTGACATATAATAAACTCACTAACTAACCTCAATTGTTCGAGCCGTTCTAGGGAATATAGGCCCTTGGACAATGTTTAAAGGCAAAAAAACTATTTTTTGTTTCATTTAAGTGAGTCACTCTTGGACGCGGATAAAGAGCCGAGGAGGTCCGCCGGCTTTGTTTGGTCACTCTGCAGTTAAGGTAAGTACAACTTTCAATATTTTTGTGTAAAACATGTTCGGTTAGACGAATTTCTATGACTGTTCTTACAGCAATTTTCTCAGTCCAAAGAGTAGTCTGCCCGGTTTTTTGGCTTAAATACGCTAAGGAACGGTGAGGGGGGGGGGGGATTTTGGTCGTGTTACGATAAAACTCACCTGACCCCTCCCTATGCTCTGTAGTCTTCATATGAACCCCCCTAATTGGCAGCCAATTTTCTATAGTTCCCCTTTATACTCAAAAAGCGACGACTGATTTTTCCATCCCCCCATTGCCCCTGAAACCCATGTGAGCCGCCCCGCCCCACCGCAGGCGATAAATGCTGCTGATGGTCCACAAGTGTAACTAAAACTGGCTTGAGTATGGTAATATATATATTAACTGTTTCATTTTGTTTAATTTTTGTCTGTTTGCACTAGGTTGGAGAAGGCATGTTGATATTTGGAGGTGAAACTAGCGACGGTGCTTTGCTCAATACAATATGGCGTTTTGATTTGGGTAAGAGCCAGTAACTTGATCCCACGTTCTTATGGCGTCCTTATTTCAAACCGTTTCAGTTTTATCTAAAAGAACACGAATTCGTGTCTTCCCTCTGTTTTGGTATTTTCGGGTTACACTAAGCATCAAGGGAACCCTCACTGGAGAAACATATTGTCATTACCTACCTTGAAATATTTCGTTGACAAAAATGGGATCTTATCACATGATTTTATTGTTTCGAGAGCTATTGAACTTTTCCTCTGACAATGCTGATTTAGGGGCCGGATTTGTTTATTGCCGTGGGGAAGGAAGGGGGGGGAGGGAATCGGAGGATCTGTTCTCCCCTTAGGTTTTGTAGTGTTCTGATGATCCCCCCTATAGTCCACCTTTTGAACTCTGTTGGCGGACACTCCTGTTGGCGACGACTGATCTCCCATCCGTCCCCCCAAAAAAACCATGTGATTCCCCCCAAGATCCTTCGACCCTCCCCTTTCCCCCTTCCCCTCCCCCCCAATCCAGGCGATGAATAACAACTGTTCCCTTCTCTCAACCTTTTCAGGTGCCCGCACGTGGAGCACGGTTCGTCCACGTGGAGACATATCCCCACCCGTCCGTAGCTGTTTCTCAGTAGGAGTAGTTTCTTCGTCCGCCTTTTTTTCTATTCGACCATCCACGGCTCACTCTGCCCCACCCTGCACCCCTATGCCTTCAGGCTTCTTGGGAGATGAGAGGCTCAACAGCAGGCCGTCCACCACCAGGCCGGAATCGTGGTGTGAATCAGTTTCTCGGTGGGACAGGTCTTCAGCATCACTGGGTTCTCTTGACTCCACGGTGCCGCATAAACGCAGTCAAACTCGGCCGCCGTCCATGTTTAGTTCAGAGGTGTACGAGAATTCAAGAGGAATGACTCTTTCAGATGATTCTCTTCATCCACATCCGAATCAAAATACTGCACAAAACGATCGTCCTGTTAAAGCACACACTCTTCCAGCACATGGTGTCACCTCGGTTAAAAAAAGTCGGGTGTACAGTCAAGAACTTTTGAACGTCAATTCTCCTGTTAGCGCCGATGTAAGGAAAAATTTCAGCCATCCATTTGCCTGTTTATTGGTTCTTGGAGGCAAGACGCGCACACAGGCGGATTTGGGAAAAAGCATCGACATATGGCGGTGTGATATCGATCCAGGTATGGATTTCTTTGGGTAAATTTAATATTTGTATCGTTCAAAGCATAGATTTTAGATTTTCCCAGTTAAAGTTATCGACAAGATTTGATCAGAGCGTATTGCAACACGGTACGGGTTTCGCATGTTCCGTAGTTTTGGCCAGCACTTAATAAGTTATAAAACGTATTGGAAAGTTTGAAGTTTCTATTTAACGCGGGTCTTTAAATCGCAATTTTTTTACTACATGGCCAAACTTAAGCGCACAAAAAAGCTTTTAAGGTTAGCTTAAAACTTTACTTGGCAACCACCGCGGCCAACATATCAGCGGGCTCAACTCCCAAGGGTTGAGGAACCAAGTGTTTCAAAATTTGAAATTAGGAGCTAACCCACCCTCCATCCCTGAGTAGATTTTAGCTGAGCACTGGATGTCACGTTCATACATGTCTTAGAACGTTCTCGTGCATAATTTGAAATTCAAATTCTAACTGCCTGAGATTTGCAATTAAAATTTGAGAAAAAGAAATAAATAAGTAAAACTCCCACTTTCAACTAATAACAGTTACTTTAACTTTCAGAGAAGAGACACCCAACAGAGCGAGTGGAAAAGATCGTTGTGTCTGGCAACAATCACATGACTACGCCCCCTGTTCGCTACTTTCAGTTGGAGCATTACGATGACATGGACACTGAATCAGTGGGAAGCGATCTGGTCCTAGCAGACTTGTCTGATAGCGATACGCGTAGTGTTGATTTCCTACTGGACGATTTCCGCTTGGACGCGCCACATGGTGTCCCAAAAGTGTCCGTGTGAATCAGTGACGTCAAAGAAAGAACTCAATTTTCGACATTGTCGTCCCCAGGATCTCTCTCTTTTTCTTTCATCTGCCTACTTTTGTGAAAATCCGCCCAGCTTCGTGCCTAACCCTTAAACTCCCAGATCAAATTTGTAATTCTCCTTACTGTCAACCATACAATTCTAATAATGTTAGTTCAGAGAATTTAATATTGGATCAACTAATTATCCCCAAATTGATATTTTTCTTTATTCTCATCACTTATCTAGTTGATATTGTATTGATATAGTAAGGAGAAATTCTGTCTTGGTCACTCGTGGGAGTTAGTCCTTCCCTTTACCCTCGTCTTTCCCTCGAAGATTGTGAAAGGGAGAGGTTAGATCCTCGCCCCAGCCCAACACGAGGATGGGAAAAAGAGTGAGATCTGGTGCCGAGAATGTGCTTCAAAAATGCCGCTTTATCTGCATTTAACAATGGCTGCTTGGACTTTAAAAAAGGCTATGTCGTAAGCTTTGAAAAATCCCATACGTTCTTGTTATGTGTTGAGAACTTGTTGGTACTAAGCTGTGTTTCCAAGAATATATAACTTTCTTCAGTGATTTATTGCTGTTTAATCTATTAAGGGTCGGTCCCAGTTTGATTGTTTCTGGAAGTGGGAACCGGCAACGAGCACCAAAAAAAAACTTCTCTTTTCTTTTTGGTAGTGAAAACCTTTTATATGGAATCGTTTGTCGGCTGGTTTCCGACTGTCTTGTTTCGTTGGCCCGCAGCTGAAGAGGCCTGAAATGCTGGTGCATTATAAAATTACAATATGAAGTATTTTAAAGATTATTGAATTGTCAATATTGAATGTAATGATTGAATTCGAAGCCAGCCATATAAGAATATCTAAAATCGTATTTTAAAATGTTAAAAATTCATGTATCTAACAGAAGTTATAATTTCCATTGTATTAGTAGAAAACGAAAGCAATGCTTGCTAATCATACAAAGATGTTGAAGTTTTGTGCAAATTGTTGATAACCATTCTATTACATAAAGCGACCATGAGCATTCCTTTGTTCGTCTTTCTTCGTTATTTTTACTTGGTCAAGTTACCCAGGCATCCATCTTCAATTTTTGGAAGAGCGAGCTTTGAAAACTGGGACAAGTTCATTAAGTCGAAGTTTATTGGTCAAGCAAAACAAAGCTAATCTCAACGGTCAATCAGAGTGAAAGTTGACATCGTCACTAGCCAAATCTGCTCAAAACGCGGGAAAGCGCGAGTGACCAAATCCCAGCAGGTTAGCGTTTTATATTTAGATCTAACTCAATGAGAAAAGTGGAAAAATGGCGCGAGTTTTCAAACCTAACCAGATCAAACATGGTTACTGCAGGTCAGGGAACAGTCAGGTTACAGTAAATTTATTCAAGGTCACGGAGAAGCTAGGGAATTTAAAATCAATGTGAAATCATTCATGATGTTTCGGTCTTCTTCATGATGAAAGATAGTGACACCTCTTCCTTTTGTAGTGCAAGCTAAAGTTGTTTTGTGAATGAAGTCGAACATTTTGTTTTTTTCTCCCATTTCCAATGTTTTCTAAAATTGTGAATTCCTTCACGGTCATACTTGTGGCAACCGTGACAAAATTAAGCAAAACTAGAGCAATTCAGTGGTTTACTTTCGACACTCAATTACAAATTGCTTTGAATATGACGGAAACCCGACGGGAAATGTAAGTTCGCGCTGATATATTATGCTAAATTTGAATACTGGCGCCGCTGAGGTCGTGAACACATCCGGTCATTCGCGAAATTTTAAAGAAAAATAGATTTATCTTAAATTCGACGTTTCCTTCGGCAAAGCCGTCCTGAAGTGTTAAGATCCCTCATAACCAGACAGCGACTTTAAACAAGAACGTGGTAAATCAACAAACTTGATTGGCAGAACAATAGCTCCGCAAGTGCGCTTTAAAACTTTGTACACTTCCATGCTGTCCTCTACACAACATCGACGTCAAATTATTAAAATTTGCGTTGTCAGAGTACGGGAACCTCGACTGTGAATTAATTGCGAATTAATTTTTCGAACTTAAGAAATTCACATTTGTTAAGCTGAAGTCCGAGATGTAGCTCCGTTCGACACAACCATTTGCGAATTTCTTCAAAAATAGACGAAGTCATTCTTTAATTTGGCGTTTTCCACGGCGTTGCCTTGTCTTCTAATCCTTCAGTCCCAAGATCTCCTTGACAATTCTCCTTACTGTCTGCCATACAATTCTTATGATATATTTTGGAAAATTTGGTATTGGATCAACTAATAATCCCCTAACTGATAGTTTTTCTTCATGGCCCCCAACTTGTCTGCTCGATATTGTATTGATGTTGTATGGAGAAATGCTTTATTGGTACGTTTTTCAAATGAAACGAAACAACAGACGAACCTTCAACTGTGTGACAAATATTATTTTAATGGATGAGACAACGATTTGTATTCAGTTCCATTATTTTTTCTTTCATGTCAAGTTTTCTATTTGTCTTCAGTATTAATCTCAAAAAACCGATGAACTTTTAAAAGCGTCCAATAAAATTTTGCGTTAAAAACCTTAAAGGCAATAACGAGGATTGGGTTAACCCTTTCCAACCTAAAATCAAAATGCATATTCTTCGTACTGTTCTCCAAAATTTCCTAAGGTGCTGACGAGGAGAATTTGCCGGTTTAACATTCACAAGCATCTTTCATTGGTGATCGTTTCCCGTATTCTCGTTACCTAAGTCTTTGATTCAGGGGCGATATTTTAAGGAGAACTTAGATGCTAGCCACTCTTAAGGGTCCAGAAGTCAGACAATTCAAATCAATCAGAACAGTTCAAAGTCACATAAAAGTCTTCACTTAGTTTTCCCGTGAAACTAAAAGGCCCTCTTTCTTAATTTACAACGGTCGGTAAGAATTGGTTTTACGTTTGATCATGACATGTCATTTGTTTTCCTGTATGTTACATGTGATGCATGAGTAAGTCTTGCAGATGATTTTTCTTTATTGAGTGTGCTGGTACAGTTTTAGACACTCCTCACTCCAAGACCGAGGGGTTAATTGATCCAGGAGCGATTTCTGAAAAGAGGAAAATTTAAAAAGTTAAGAATGTTAAAGTGATCACGCCCTTCGAAGCTGCCAGGGTCAGACAAATGCTATTGGTATAAATTAAGACAAAGACTTGTCCCAGGAGCCCATTATTCATATTGGGTTCCTGTCGCTCCCTAAATAAAGTGGCCCATAAGGAACATTGGATTTTCCTGTCGCAAGTTACTAACTTTGATAACGTAACTTGCGACCAAAAGCTATATGTTACGATCGCAAATTATCGCGATTTACATCCCATATGGTAATCCATGTAGTAAAAGTGGTTTATTCAAAGCGATTTTAGTGAAAACAAGAAAAACATGCACCCCTCTTGTGATTTTCAGACCATTTTCCCTATTGGGTGGCGCGCATTCCGTCAATTCAGTTTCAAATTTACCGCTGATAAGACTTAAAAAGTCTCGGGTATTTCGTGGCATTCTGCGCGATGATATCGCAAGTTAATAACCTCGCCGGAGTGTCCGTCATAAGCCACCGTATAAAGAAAAAGACAAAAAAATCAATTTTAAGTTCATTAACTTTTGGCTACTTACACTCTTACTGGGGCAGTTCCGGTGGGCAAACCATTCCTGACTATACAAGCACATCAACAGCCCATTGCCGATGATCAATGTGATCCACATAAACACGTTCCAAGCCTGAGATATGTTCTCGACGTGTTTCTTTGGTTTCAAGAACACAAACGACACTGAAATTGAAAGGCGGATGGGAAAACGATATTATTAACTAACTACCAATCCTGCTGATCCAAGAAGCCTGATTAAAGACGCTTAAACCTAAATCTAACGTGTGACCCGATATTTAAGTGTTATCAACTGAGTTGATAAACTCCATGGGCCACTGTGAAGAGTTTCAAAGCTGACGTTTCGAGCGTTAGTCCTTCGTCTGAGCGGAATCGGACGAAGGGCTAACGCTCGAAACGTCAGCTTTGAAAACCCATTACAAAGTCTAATTTACATTATCAACTTAGTCGTTACAATCAAATTATCAAGTTATACCATCCAACGACGCAGCACCACAGTTTCTTCATAAATTTATCCCCCTAATTCCAATCTATGACTTGGCGCGCAGCTAAACGCCAAGTAATTCGTCAAGTTTCAGGGAGATACTGTGAGAGTGGTGACCCAGCCAGGACCTAGAAGGAGAACCAAACGCACCCCCCCCTTAATTAACACTTTTTAAAATAAGCCTACCCCCGTCGTCAGAAAGCCCCCTTCTACAATTCCGAAGCTTCTACCAAAGCACCCTTTTCTCTAGGTCTTCATTTCGAAAACTTTGAAGTCAAAACTGGTCGCATGCTGTAGGCAAATACTTATTGAAGCGTCTCAGAACATTAATTTCGTTCCCCCAGGAAAGCAAAGATAAAAGTCACAACAAAAATGAATCACTTACATCCTATGACACCAAACATAAAGAGAAGAATTGGGAAGAAGAAGCGAAAAGAGAACATCAACACATATTCGTGAACAATGGCGGACAAGATAAACACGGTCACTCTTGCCACTTGACGGTTCTTAATAAGCTGAAGGAAACAAAGTTAAAACAATCTGTTAGCCTGAGCCAAGTTAATACCAACATTAAATTTCTCCTAAAAATGTCAAAACTTTATTAAGCTTTGCGATCGAAAAGAGTCATAACTTGGGCGGGAAGTGTACTCAGGGAGATATAACACCACATCGGGAATAAAGAGTTTAAAAGGCGCTTAGAGTACGGTAGCATCATATCAAGTCTTCTCACTGAAATTGAAACATAGACTGAAGGACAAGTTACGCTCTGGTTAATCTTCGCGTTGTCGAGATGTCGGTCACTCGGACAATCGGGACCTTCAGCAAACCACGACGGCGATGGCAACGAGGAAATGGAAAAACAAAAGATCTAATTGACAGAACAATAGCTCAGCCCGTGCTTTTTAAAACTTTGTACATTTCTTAGCCGTCCTATGCAAAACAACAACGTGAAATCACCACAATTTGCGTCGTCTGCGAACCGAAACCGCGACGGCAAATTATTTTAACTTCCATTTGGAACACAACGCTTCTTTTATACGTTATGCTGAAGTTGAGGTGTGGCGCCGTATGAGACGGTAAACACATGCAGCCATTTTTAAAATTCTAATCAAAGGCAGAAACTTATTTTTCAATCGAAGTCTTCCTTGGCGTTGCCGTCCTGACTGCTTAAGGTCCCTAATGTCTTCAGCGGTGAAACGTCGTGCATGCAACTAGCCGCGCTCAAATTTCCCGCGCAACTTCTTAAAGGAAACAACCGGAGTCACTCAGCGCACGCAAAATTTACGGAAAAAGATTGAAAAGTTCAAGGAAACAAAAGTAAACAAGAGCTTGGAAAAGGAAAACTTGAGATACGTCTAAAACCAAATTTATTCAGTGAAGGGTTTTCCGCTGATTTACGATTCTGCTTTGAACGCGGCCATAAAATTCAAACGTTTCCAAACACCATGTTATGTTGATGCTGCTTCATTGCGGTTTCAACGTTTGCACATGTGCAGACGATTGACCGCTGTGCTGACCGATACACAATCAACTCTGTCTAATTACTACAACATTGTAACTAATAATGCTGCTCACCATCAAAATGTCCTTGTAGATGTACGCGTACAGCCAATCATGCACTACAACATTCCATGTGCGGTAGTAGTCAGCGTAGGAGGTAGAGTTCCACCAATCCTGTTGTAAAATCACGAGAAGGAGACAAGTTGTGCCGTCTATTCATTAGCTTGCTAGCAAACTATCTTTATCAGCGCTGCAGGACGCGCGTTTCTTCGCCTGCGGGAAGATTTGAGACGAGCCGGGGAGAGGTTTGCCGCGGCTCTAGCCTCATTATCGGTGCTAGACCCTGCAAACCTCTCAACGGCTCGCAGTGCTCAAGCCCTTTTTCTCCACCGCGAGCGAAGTAGTATTTAATTTCTCCAAACAGCAACGCCCTTGATGTAAGGACGCTCTTGACCAGGACATAAATTCTCCTGGTTAGTAACAAAGGCGATGTATGAAGAACAGTATGGAGAATATGCATACTGATGTTAGGGTGTAGAGTGTTTACATTCCAGTTTGCACTAACGGTGAGGTGATTTTTACTCACCTCGTAAAACATTCTGTCAGCAAACCTGGTCATTTCCGCGAAGGCATTTAACCAGGAATGAAGGATGGCAAAGAAACCAAGAACAAGAACCATTGTCCCGGGAAGCATACAGTTGAATACTGACAACGTGAAATGTCTGAAAATACACAACAACAACAAAAAAATCAAAGTTCACGTGAGACACGGTTCAAGTTTCCCGCCGTACATTTGCAAAAAATGGGAAATTTGAAGAGGCTGCTGCTGGAATGGCGTTCTTGGGTTGGACAATAATAATAATTATATAACACTGATGATTTAGCGGTGGGCACTCCACGAGGGTGGCTCTTCCTGTTTACTGTTTCCAGGTTGAATTGCAATTTGGAATGTTGGTTTTTGTTGAAGGAAGAAAACCAGAGGACCTGGAGAAAAACCCTTGGAGCAAAGACGCAAACCAACAACAAACTAAACCCGCATGTGACGCCAGGTCTGGGAATCGAACCCGGGCCACAGTGGTGGGAGGTGAGCGCTCATGTGCACAACGCAAATTAAAAAAATCACCTTTTTTTGGGAGTGGAGGAAAGTGGCCCCTAAGTAAGAATGCATTATGTGTCTACAACTTTTAACCTCCAATGTAAACTGTCTGCGTTGCAAACTGGCTTAATATTCAGCAACATACTCACTTAAAACTCCAATGTCCCTTTCCAATATTCCTGAACACAGGCACACAAAAACGGGCAAAAACGTAGTACGTGTAGAAGATACAGGCCACGGTTTGGAATGAATTGGATACCACATAATTCCATCTGATACAAGGAGTCCTGAGAAAATGATCCCATATGTTTGAGGAAGTTTTCTAAGTTTTGTTTCATAAGCATCTAATAGAATACTCTCAGGGAAAAAAGAGACTGATTTATCTCATAATCTTTGTTGCCTTCTAAGGAGCTATGAAGAAAGCTTGTGTATGCCATCTGTGCCACTAATGGCATGAAGAGGATTAATGATAAATATTCTGATGAGTTCTGACATCTTTTAAAGGACAGCTGCTTGATTTAAGTAACACTAGCCTATATTTTTCCAAAAAGAACCTCCTCACTCTCTCTGGAGAAGACTACAGCATTCATCAAGACATTCCCCATTAGTCCTACCAACCAGTTATCAATCATTCATTTGTAAACCCTCTCTCAGATCTGATTGTTAATTCTCCCCTCCAGCTACTAAACATATCCCTGTAGATTAGTTATGAGAATTTGGTGCTAGATCAGGACAACAGCTTCTACCAGATAAGTTTGAGTATTCTCATTGCCCATTTGCTGGATTGTGTATGGATATATTATAGGGAGAAGTTACATGTTGATCACTCTTGGGAGCGAAAGGGTTAATCAATAGTTCTACATGGCACTTGCCCCTTTGAGGACTTGTCCTGGTGAAACTCTGTCATTTACCAAAATGCAAGCCTCATCATTTTACCCTTTAACCCCTCAAAGAGACCAGCATATAAATTCTCCCAACAGCAGTACTGCTGAATAACTCACTAAGATTACGAGAATAAAGAAAATGATCTCCATCCTGATTGTTAAACAAATTCTCTTTGTCAGTACCAAAAGAAATGTATTGAGTAGAGTATAGAGAATGTGAATATTGATGTTGGGGTGTAAAGCATTAGTTGTTGAATTTTTGATACTTACATAGGGTACTGATCTCTGTAGATGAGAGTTGGGCAAAACAAGAAGTACAGGTATTGTCCAAACTCTGGTAGTGACTGCTTTTCTTTCTCATCTCTGTCTTCATTTGCATCATCAATATCTCCCCCATTAGCTTGATCTGTTTCTGCAGATGACTCTGAGTTCTTCTTTAGCCCTAGAAGAGCAACAAACAAGTCTAACATGCTGTATAACAAGGGGGTAGGTTTCTAAAAACCTGTGGTGCTCACAAAAGGGCTCACGCTCAAAACATCAGCTTTAGACTGAAACTCATCACCATAGCCAGTTCACATTTAATTCATCAACTCAGTTGATAAAACCAAATTTTCACTGAGTCTTTTCTCACCAGTTAGCAAGTTTGTATTTTGCAGGAACCAATTTTTGCCATTCAAGCTACAAGACTATAACAAGGAAAGAGATCTAACACTTTCAAATACCCAGTTCAACTGATCAAGTGGGAGCCATAAGAAGACCCCCTCTTGATACTTGATTCCTTGGCAGATGTATTTCATTTCACAGAAGGTGACAACCCCTCACAGTGTTTCATTAAGAGGGAGAAAACTAATTCTGTGGATTGATATAAATCCCCAGCTCCACAGTTTAATGGTGACAATTTCTCACACGTAGGATTGACTCTGAACTGATAATTCTATTTTAACAATATATTTATTTACCTTTTGACTTTTTGTAGGAAAGAACCTTATGTGCATTTTCTCGGACAAATGCGTGCACTTTGAGCATAAAGCGAATCTGGAGACACAAAAAGAAAATGAAAAAAAAAAAAAAAAAAAAAGATTAACTCTACAGTCCCATCAACCCTTTCACTCCCAAGATCTAATTTCAATTCTCCCCTTTGGCTGCTATACATTTCCGTGTAAACTGGTTACAAGAATTTAGTGTTACATCAAGATAATAACTTCTGCTCGACAAGTTTAAGTATTCTCGTTACCTGTTTGATGGATAATGTATGAATTTTATTGGGAGAAGTTACATGTTTATCACTTCTGGGAGTTACAGGTTAAGACTAGAGCTTATCCTAGTTTCTATAGCATGAAGTGACTCACAACACTGACACCCCTCAGGGGTGGGTTGTGACTCAATCTCTTGTGACACACCACCCCTCCATCTCCCCCCACCCCCTATCCCAGAAATTCTGTAACTCAAAGGGAATTACAAACTCTATGGAATTCATGCAAGACTGTGGCTTCTTTCTTACTGCCCTTACCTGTTCCGCAAGGATGATAATTGAAGAGGCAGGTGGAAGATCCTGTTGGCAAACTTCTTTGACAGGGAGTATTGTAAATACAGTCATGTAGATAATGTAAAAAGTAAGCCAGACCAGGTCTGGTAGAGGCAGCCATGAATGGCGGTTTGTATGCCAAGCCATGAAAAGGGGAAATGCAGAAAGTGCCATGACCTTCATTACGAGCCACAAACTGACAACAATCGAAGGTTTACCAAATGCCCATTTCAGTATTGAGAGGTCAAGTGAAAGACTGCAAATGAAATAAAGCACAAAAAAGTGTCTCACTATGCAGTGCTACAAATTGTAATAAAATAGTTGACCCATTCCACTGAGGTTGCAACTTTCTAGAATACCATTATATCTATGTACAATGCTTCACTTAGTGTTTTTTGTGATTGCACAGCATTGAGGAAAAGTGATATTATAGCAAGCTGCAGAGCATTTTAAATCTATTTTCTTAAACCTTCAATTCCCTGAAGAGATTAAAATACAACTTCTCTTGTCAACTAATCTTGTCATTACAACTCTTCAACTATTGTTTGAGATTTGAGCACATGCCCCCCACCCCTCCCCCCCTCTCCCCTGTCTTGCCTGAAAGAATATTGAAATGGCCACCGATAAATGTCTCTGTGCAGGATTCTGTTTCAGAGATATTCTCTTAAACTGAATTAAGTTCCATCATGTTTCTATTTATGTCTGCTTTGTTGTGTTTTAGGTCTAAATAAATAAAGAACAAAACTCCTCACCTCCCTGAATCAATGTAGTCATAGACCACTGTATTTATAATAAACATGACAAGTAGGGCCACAAAGATGTTGTAGATTGTCTTGATATGGTTAACTTCAAGAAGTTCCCTAGTGTAGGAAAAAGACCATTGATTATGAATAAAGAATTGTATGACTTTGCAAAAATATTTATCAAGTTAAATGCTCATAAAAATCAGGCTGTAAAAAGCCAGCCTCTCACAAGAGCACTGATAAATTAAAATCCACCAGTTTCACCTGATAAAAATTGTTCATAAAATCAGCCAAACTTACGTCAACATTGACTGTCTTGCCACAAATACTTTATTTCCATTCAGCTTGTCTCTAAAAAAATAAATAAATAAACATTTAATATTTATATAACTCTGACTGATGGTTGCATTTTATTTCAGGATAATAATCTGAGCTCCAAGCTTTACCTGACAATTTCATGTCCTTACTTAACCCTTCAACCATTAGAAGTGACTAGCATCTAATTTCTCCTTACAAATCCCTCCTGAATCACACAATAGGGTCATGAGAATGAAGGAAACGATCAACAATTAAGAAGCTTTTGATTGTTCAACAAATTCTCCTTGTCAGCTCCTTAGAAAATGTTTAGAGAACAGTATGGAGAATATATATACTAATGTTAGGGTGTAGTGGGTTAAAATTCCTCCTATAAGCAGAGGGTCCACATGTTGTTGCCTGCCATGATGCTCATAATAGTTATGTTAAACTCTGCATTTAAAAAGGGTAAAGCATGATGAACAACTTAGAAAAAAAATTGAGAATAACCATTGTGATGTCTTTTGTTTTGTATTACAAAATACTCAAATTATGAAACAAAGGTTACATCCTTATAATTCTTGTTATTTAGTTAAATGGGGGTGAGTTATTCACAGATAACATTTATCACCAGTATGACATGTTGAAAGACAAGAGAAGTAGGCATGATCTAAATCACAAGATAAAGAGATTATGCATGGCATGACAACATAGGTGGTTTTAACATAGGTCAGATGTATATTTTCATGTTTCAAACATCTGCTTAATTCTATAAGAAGCAAATAGAGGATTTTTATTGTGACCAAACTGACTCCAAAGATAACAACTTGCTGTTTGAGTTCTCATCAACACAAAACTGCAAAACATGACTTGTTAACTCTTTCACTCCCACAAGTGACCAAGACAGAATTTCTCCTTACAATATCAATACAATATCAAGCAGGCAGGTGATGAGAATAGAGAAGAATACCAATCATGGGATTATTAGTTGATCCAATACCAAATTCTCTGAACTAACATCATAAGAATTGTATGGCAGATAGTATGGAGAATTACTAAACAGATCTTGGGAGTGAAAGGGTTAACCCTCTCACCCTCACAATCTCAGTGGTAATTCTCCTTGCTGTCTGCCATACAATGCTTATGATGTTAGTTCAGAGAATTTTGTATTGGGTCAACTAACAATCATGCAGCTGATATTTTTCTTTGCTCTTAGTACTTAATGTCTTCTTGACATTGTATTGATATTGTAAGGAGAAATTCTGTTTTGGCCATTCATGGAGGTTGAAGGGTTAGAAGACCACTCACAGCCAAATTCTTAGTTGTTAAAAGTAAAACACTTATTTTTCAGCAAACTGAGCCTGTTGTTTATTAACCTGTGACCAGCAGATATATTCATCCACAATGATTGATCTATTTCTGACAAAGGAAGTCATGTTACTGAATGCTTTTTTTTTCAAAGAGAAAATCTCTTTCATGCACACTGGGAAGTAGAGTTAATACCTTTCTATGATGCATAGAATTTGTTGTGTCTTGGCTTTCACAGGTTCAAAGAGAACAAGAGCCCCACTTTTTGTTTCAAAATTGTCTCAGGAATAATTTGTTAGTGTGAGAATTATAGTGATTCTAAATTTGTTCTAGAGAAATACATCTTTGATTTTCGCAGAGGTACAATAGGATACCTAAGGTGGCTCAGTTGATGCCACAAGCAAATACTAAATGCTAATGGATTAAAATTGTCTGGTTCACAAACATTCACCCTGATTAATGTAAAATACATTTCATTTGTAAAACGGCATAAAATATTGGTAATATGTCCATCTGACAATCTAAAGTGCTTGAAAAGTCCCTAAACCACCAACCAGAAATGGCAAGTTAAGGACTGTTAAGTACTGTTAATGGCAAGTTAAGGTCTCTGATAGATATGCCCTAAAGCTTCCAATTTAAACATTACCATCACAAAACAGATTTTGACAGCTGTATCTCCTTTTTATGTTAAATTATTCGAGTCAAAATTATCTGAAAAATTTCACACCAGTAATAAAACGAAAGTATAATTGATTTGCACAAAGCGTTTGGCGAGAAATGTTTCATCATCAAACTGTTTCGTGATCGATGGCGAGCTAGGTTTCAACAGCTGTTCTCGCGCAAAAATGTTGGGGCCTTACAAATCAAAAGAAGTCGAGCGTAACTGACATGCAACACATAAAGATAGTGAAATAATGGAATCCTGATAAAATAGTGGTTATTCTGTGTAAATCTGTGACTCCATAAACTCTTCTGTATGTTTAAATCTACCATCATGGGGCCGTTTGCTTGTTAAAACACACACGTTCACATTGTCACGTGCGATCTCCTAAACAAGGAAATTACACAATGAACACCAATTTTATCCTCCTATTGGGCAAAGTACAAGTTCTAATTCCAGACGCAACAAGATATCTATTTCAATGGAAATTGTGTCATAAGGAAAGAAAATAGTTTGTAAAGTCCGGCGAAAGGAAGCAGTTTCCTCGCTTTTTTCCTTTTTAAGGAAAAAAACCTGGGGCGCTGAGAGCACTTCATTCAAACGTACCTAACAAACGAGTGATCTACGACGGATTCCAAGTTATCCACATCGTAGAGGACGTCATCGAGTAACTCATTGAGTTGACCATCAATCTGTTCTACCAATTCCGTTCTCAATTGCTTACAAGAGAGAAAAAAATTCAATTAAAAATATTACTTCGGGGAATTCAACGAAAATTTGAGATAACGTGCGTTCACGCAACAAAACGGAAAATTATAAATATGGAAAATGAACAAAGTCTATGTTTCTCAGATTTACAACGCGTGGTCACAGAAAGGAATACATCACATTTTAAAAACAACAACAAAAACATCTAACACAATAGGAAATTGTTGAAGTACAAGGCTAGATTTTTTTTTTAAATCCTTAATTGCGGAACAAATGTACCTCGGCACGTCGGCGAACTTCTTGCGCTCGTGCGCGACCCATTTCGTGTTTCTTGTCCAAGAAATTGGCGCCTGAAAAGAAAAAAAAATCATTATACTTTGTATCCGAATCAAATCCTGGCCTGCAGTTGGTTTCGCTTATCACAGGCAAATCACCTCCATTCATAGTACGAGTTTGCCTCCTCCGTAGGTTAGATGACGAAGCCATTGTTGCAGTTCACTAAGATTTCGATTTGCATGACCCCTCTACCGGCATAAAGCTTAGAGACCAGGCACCGCAAGAAACCGATGAGTTTATCAGGAAACCTCGGACTAGTCTCGTCACGTTAGGTTTTATTTAAGAATTGTCACGCTAAACATAACAACTCGGAAATAATAATATAAGAGCTTTGATGTGAATGAACGGTAAACACTCACATTAAGATCCTCATGAAATATATAAGCATTCCAGGAAAACGTCAAAATATGAATATCATGGCCTAATGTTTATTTCCAAAAGCAAATGGTGGGAAGCGAAGACGAAATTCTTTTAATTTCCTATTATGACAAAATACATTATACACGCCTTGGCGTGTACAAGGTAGACCGTTTTGTTTAAAATAGTGACTCAAGTAAATCTTGAGATAGTGAAGAGCTACAAAATCTGACAGTTTCATGCTCAGTTTATTGGCAATCATAGGAACTATAGATATACACTTCAGTAGGTTGTTAAGAACACCAAGGGGATTCCCTTGTTCCCACAGTGTAATTGTAGAAGAGACAATACCTAAAATTAATTTAAAACGATCGAGATTTTACTAGGGAGATTTTTCGTTGCTTCCTTGGCTACACACGTCAAAATGATAAACTAACCTGCTATGTTTTAGATTTCCTACAGATACAGTATTAGCATGTGGTCTTCCTTTAAGATCTGTTGTAGCGTCGTTGCAGTGACAGATGCGAAGACCTTTGCCACTTTTGTAATGTTACTCCACCACTCGTATCTACTGTGTGTATTATAACCCCTCTTTTTCCCTGATGCGATCTGAGTCACGGCCGGTGAGGCGCACGTCACTGCGTTCGATCCAGGCGCTAATTGGATAGTATAAATGACGTTGTATTAATTGAATTGTCTGAAGCAATAATGAAGTAATCAAAGCACAAATATCAAAAACGTAAACTACTAGGAAACAGTGAAAGGAAAGGAATGGATTTTCTATCGAACAGTCGATTTCTCGGGCTCGTAGCTTTGGGCTGCGGGGTGTATGTTGGGCGGGAAGTACACATGATGTATTTCAGTGAAAAACCGTGGGACAGAAAACAGCACGGTTATGAAAGATATCCTCCGCGTGGAAATTTCCCTGATTTGCGCCTGCACAACAACATAATGGCGAATCATCTCACGCCAGACTTGTATGAGTCGTTAAGGTAAGCTTGTATACCAGAGACTGAAAAGTGGCGTGAACTTACCCTAAAGTTTAGGCCGGAAGGTCAATTTAACAACGTTAATGTGAAATTCCAACTAAAGAAATCGCAACATAGTAAGGCTGAGAAGTGACTGTAATGAAGAAAATTGTTTTTATAAAAATAACGCGTTAGATTCACATAACTGGTATATGACAAATAAGACCACATGCTAATATTTGAACTGAGAGGTGGTAGTTGATTAAAGGAATATGAAACTATGAACAGATGAAGATTTGTTTCCTCACGGGTATAAAGAAGGTAAATTTTAAAGGAAACAATGGTGCTTCGTCGATAGGGGATATTGCAAGATGATTTGGTTTTATCACTGAGTTGAGCGTCATCCCTTCGTCTTTCGTCCTGATTGATTTTATTGAAAACTGAAATTCTTCCGTTCCTTCCCACTTCCTCGTCCTTTGCGGAAGTTTTAATCTAAATTTGATATAAAAAGAAAATAATTTTAATTAAGATATACTTCATTTAAGAAGAAACAAGACAATAAATTTGCGTTTATTGAATTAAGAGGATGTCAATGGGGTTAGCCACTAGCTGTGAAATGGCCAAAATTTTTAACTGTTGACCATAAAAGCCATCATCCCGGTGAGACCTTTAATTTTATGGTTCAAAATCTGAGCTCTTAAGCATTAAGCATGCTATAGAGCTCAGTTTTAGAAAGTACAAAAATAACATCGAATAGCGGGAGTTAATTATATCGTTTATCATTGTTCACTTCGATTGATTTAACAGACACAAAGAAACACTCTGCGGTTTCACGTTAGACCAAGCTATTCAAGTCGGTGTGGACAATTTGGGGGTTCCATGGCAACAAGCATCCGGGATAATAGCGGGAGACAGCCATTCATACGAGGTGTTTGCACCATTGTTTGATGCTATAATCGAAGAGTACCATGGACATAAAAAAAGGAATCTTCATCCAAGGGATATGGACAGTCATAAGATCGATGAAGGACAACTGGACAGTGATTATGTGCTGTCTATCAGGCTGCACGCTCGACGCTCCCTACGGGGTTATGCTTTGCCGGCAGGGTGTTCCCGCAGCACAAGAAGGATCCTTGAGGACCTTATTTACGCGATACTCACGCGACTGGGAGGTGAGTGGGGGTGAGGTGAAGGACACTCACAGTAGGTTCCCTAGAAACCTAAAAACCTTAGAAAAAGAATGACAAGAACTTGTGGCGTCTTAGACTGAAATTTCCGATTTTTCTTTTTTTTGTAGGTGAATTTGCTGGTGAGTACAAGCCACTTGCCGAATTTTCAGACTCAAAGCGGGGTTCTCTCAATCTGCCATCGCATCCCAAGTCACCAGTAATCACTTGCTCAGGGCGTGCCCGAGACTGGCCTGAGTCACGTGGTATCTTTTGTAGTAAGGACTGCACCTTTGTTGTGTTCGTAAATCAAGACGATCACCTGCAGTTTAGGTGCTATGATATAGGAGGGAACCTTCAAGCGGTGTTCGATAAGTTGGTTCGAGGCCTGGCCGCGTTTGAACGAGAACTAAAGAAGTCTGGGGAAGAGTTCATTTGGGACGATCACCTCGGTTACATAGTGTCGGACCCAATCCATCTCGGTACTGCACTCGAAGTCAGAGTTCGCGTTAAACTGCATCACTTATCCACGGTAAGTCAGATGCAGCGACTTTTGACTTCTCACATTTTGTTTAAGCAGGAATTATATTTTCGATCACTCGGACTGGCTTTTTGGTTTACAAAGAAGATTTTGACTTACTATGTATCTTCTTTTAAATCTCCTATCGAAGGATTCAAGACTTCGATGGATACTAAAAGCCTACAAATTAGAAAAGAAGAGGACTGGTAAGTAGGGGAAAGGCATTATTTTCTTTTCCAGTCTCAGTCGAGTGAACTCGGAGGGGTCTGGACTCTATCTTGGAGGGAGGCCTCTATATTTGTAGCATCCGTCACTCGGGAAAAGTACGACAATGCTCATGAAAAAAAACTCAATCTTGAAGAAATTTTTAAATGGGGGAAGATTTCCATTGTTCTTAATCCATTAGTCGAACAGTTAAGCTTAGTTAGTTATGGACTGTCCTTTAATTCTTCTGCCAAAAGTAACAGAATTACGGCGAAAAATCCCAGTTTGTCCGAGCAATTTCCTTAACACACCCTCTCTCTCTCTCTCTCTCTCTCTCTCTCGCTTTCTTAGATATCGTAATTTCTCTCCTGGTCCGGTTCCAGGTTACACGCGGTCTCCAAAGCAAGAGAGACCTCTTAAGCCTAGCAACTAGATTACAGCAAGAAAATTATGTACAAACATTCCATCTGTAGCTATTTTAAGATCTGTGTCCTGCCACCGACAATTTCATTTTTCCTCAGCACCTTACTGCGTTTTGGGCCAATCATAGGTGAATCTCTTCTTTTATTTTCACAGGCCTTTCAAAAGGAGAAATGTTGGCTGGAATAATGTATCTTCATAACACTCAGACTCTGGGTGTGTCTGAAGTAAGTTCATGTCACTGTAATGTTTGATCGATCCCCTTCGATAATAATAATAAGAAAGTCGGCTTACGCAAGAGGTTAAACTCAAAATAAAAACATAAATAAACTCAAAGTGACTTAAATGTTTCCGAATCTTGGGTGTTAACGTAGGTTAGGAACAATTAAAGAAATAATCAACGGCACAGAGTAAAGCCTGATAAAAGAATTCAGGCGTCAAAGGAAATCTCTTTCGCAAGGTTGTATTTTTGCTCCGAATGAGCCTGGGAATGATCATCTTTGACCCGTGTATCCTAGGTCCCGCTCGGTTACTATTTGCAAACATCAGTCCTGTTCAGTAGAACGGGTCAAATAATACTTGAAGGAAAATCATACCTACTGACTATTTGTTTGTCCTAACGCAGTATGATTCCTTGTCCTCTTTCACCATCCTATTTGCTGACCAAGAGCCATAAATAATTAAGAGTTGGCCATCCTCTCAACAATCTTTTTCTCTCTTCTTAGGTGAATTCTATCCGGCAGTTATGTGATGCAGTTAAACGGCTTATTGAGCTAGAGCGCATGCTTGAACAAGGACAGGATATTGAAGATGCTTTACCCCTCCCCCCGGTTCCTGTGGGAAAATTAATCAGATTTGACACTTTGGGATCCTAAATTATCTAAATGCTTTGTATAAAATATATAGACGACAACTGAACCTTTATAGACTGTTTTGCATCAAGCTTCACCTTATGTTTCCTTGTTGTGAAATTTACTCGATTTGTTCGATGAAATACTTTTTGCGTGCTCTGAATTTATCACATAGTGTAGCATTGGTCTCGTACCCAGAACTTTCACGGTTACAATTACACGGTCGGATCTGGTTACGAGATTAGTGTACGTACAGTATAAATAACTTTTCACTCTGGATCAGGGTATCAATTTGCTTTGGAGAAAAAGAAATGCTTTGGTCATTCATTTAAGTACAGTTTTACAAAATAAGGTCAAATAAAGAATATTTTATTCAAGTCTGCGTCTGCATTGGTAAATTTGTTAATCGCTTGGCCTGACCCTAACCTCCCTCGTCTAGTACCCAAAACTGACTTAAACGGTTCAGAGTTGGACGGCGGAATGGAAGACGATGAAGGATCCAATTGATTTTAAAACAAATAAAGGCAGTCGAGGTCTTAAAAACATGTTGCCGCCTTCTGAGGAAGGTACTGAAAGGAGATGTTAACTCCAAAAACCATAAATAAAAGTTTGTTGTTTACCGCGTTTGAGATCCTAAAGAGTACATCGGCCTTTCAAAAATTGTCTTCGAATGAAGACAGCGGTCAAACACCGCTTGGACGCAAACCGCGGGCTTGTGATCTGCTTGACGATCTTGCAGCTGTAACACGTTAAAAATTCGTGTGAAATGCGCATATCTGTAGGTGCTTTTTCTTAAGTTTATCTTCTATTCAAGATCACGACGACGCCTTTTTGGGTTCAGCTACTGCTTAACAAACCTGCTTCATAAAGCATCTTCTTTTTACCTGAACGATAATTTTTGTGTCTAGTGTCTGGAGAAGGGTTTATAACTGACACTGGGATACTTTCACTGGAAAAAAAAACATTTATTAGGAATTTTGTTGACCGGGGTCATATTTGATCGTCTAAAATCACTGCCCAAAGAAGACATTGCTTAAAATGCCGGTTTTGTTTGTTAAACTTCAAGGGAGTCATTTAATGCCTAAGTGGCTCACAAGTATAATTGAATTGGATTTCATTTCAGGCATTTTCTGTCATTGCTTTTGAAGTAAGTTCCGCCAAATGTAAACATATGGATCGTGACATAACTTATTTATTTACCTGTTCGAATCCAATGAGATTATTCTTTACACAAACCTTAATCCTAAATGAAATTCACGAAATGTTGCACGCATTAAGTCTTTCGGGAAAATGAGGACATTATGCATTTTGTTGATTTAGGAATCATGTCTTCCGACGCTGGCTAATAATTCAGAGATTAGTTGTCATTGTACATGAAAACCTCACAAAATTGCGGGCTTGGAGGGTACAATGGTAACTGTCAGTTGAGGAGGACTTAGTTATTAATCACGAAACCTAAATATATTGCATTTTCGTTCTGACATTTTCTGGAAGAGTTTTTCAAACACCTCGGCGCGTGGACAGGAACGGAGAAAGAAAGGTGTTCGATTTCAGGTAACGAAAATTAGGATGTTTTTTCACAGAACTACAATTATTTCACGTTTTGAGTAAGTAACAACAATTTAAATTTGTGTTCATGAATTGAAAACTTTTGCTGTTTTGGTTTTGCTGATCTTAGCTGACATCTGCCACACACAAAAAAAATAATTGAAAATGGCCTTCTTGATAACATCTATTTCCTCTTGCATAATCCTCATTGCCAAGTGCGGACTTATTAATTCTAGTAAGGACACAAACTACTTAAAAAGACAAGAACTTCTGGCAGTTTCGTTCTTTGCCTTACGACCTCCTTGTTTCTATGCTGTAATAAGAAGGATTTATTTTTCTGTTACGACTGTTCAAAATGTGATGCTTAATTTCCTGCACGTAGTTAATAGCGGTGGACAAATTTACTCGTAGTTTCTCTCCCCTCGTCATTCAACTGAAAAACCTGTATTTCCCAAAAAGACAGAACCACTGGAAGGAGGGATACTGATCAGTTTAGATTGAATTGTTTGCTTTAAACTTTAAATCCGGTTAAGACGCATGGGCTGAAACATATCTTTTTTGTTATCAGCCTTTTTTTGGAGGAGTCGTAAACTTGGAAAGATTTCTTATACACGAACACTTTTGCTATATGTTAGTGCTATCGGTTGCAACGCAAAGGACACAGAAAACTTCTCAAAAACGCTTAATTTACCATAAATTTTGTATGAGTGTTGGAATAGGCATCTATACAATCCGCATTTATTAAACTGGTTCCTTTTTTTTTTAAAGAGAGAGATTTTCGAAGTCTCACCGTAAGCTTCTAATTTGTCTGATGACGGTTAAATTTCACAATCCTGAATAAGCCCGAATGCTTGTTCGTGCGTTGAGGTTCACTACGGGACGCAATTGAACCCGGTCGATTCTAGATATCGGTAGGTGGCACTGAAGTCCCTTACTCGTTTAGAACATCGTTATATAATCTGATGGGAAGAGTGGGAAAGTGGCACTGCCCTGCAATAGAAGTCGAGACAGGCTTTCATTTGCAAAAAATCTGCCCTAACAAGTAGCATCGACAGACCTCTCGTTTTATCGCAAAGATTACCACGGTTTTTTTCCTTTTTTTTACGGAAGGCTGACAAATTCCGTAGGGATTTTCATTTTTCTGATCACAACTTGAATTACACTTGAACTTGTCATCCAGTCTGACATGAGCAAGTATTGTTTTCAGTGTAACTATACTGTTGTTGATTGTCAGTGTAACATAACTATCACAATCGTCCAGAGCAAATTCTGTAGGATGTTGTCATGATGGATGTTATCATGATGATGCAAAACGAGAAGAGATTCTGGGATGAAACATAAACACCTGTGCAACAAAGGGCAGTGCGAGTCAATGCCTTTGATTTGCTTCTAGAAGGAAGCGGTGAGTGGAGTTTTCAAGAATATACACGTTCCCACGCTTGTAAAGCGTAAGCTCATCGGACAGAACATTTGCAAATTCCGATTTTTTGTGGTCATTCTTAGATTCAACAGGTTGATCTAGCAACAAAAAAATGAAAACCTTGTAAAAATCATAGAATCGGTTAAGACGCGTATTGTCTTCATAGACAAAGTTTTTGAACTTCATCCAAACATCATCAGCACCAACGAGGGATTTTTATGTTCTCTAGGCGCCAACTAGAACGAAAAATCAGTGATTGACCATTTATGAAAAGAAAGCATTTGCAAGTTCAATTCTTTACTACAAGACCAGGAAATCGAGGATTCTTAGTTCTGACCTTCCTTCGAATTAAGCATTCTAACATTCTTGAAACTCGTGTCTCAAGCTTTTTTTTATGGTAATTCTATTATGCTTACCAAGAAGTTGACTTATTGAGAAGCAAATGTCATTCCTTAGCTATTTGACATAGTTGGAGAATTCTTCAACGGAAATACTCACGGAACTTAGTTTTACAGACAACAGCTTGCTTAGACTGTGAATTTTGAAGCTGAATAGATGCCTAAAATAATATTTCGAGGACAGATCTAAATTTTTCGAGTCCTAAGGAGGAGCGGGGGGAGGGAGGGAGGGCGGCTTGGAGGATTTTGTGGGGGATCGCAAGGTTCATAGAAGGAACTGAGAGGAGATCAGTTTACCTGCAGGTAAATTTTAATTTGATTCAACCAAAACCTTCGACTCCGACCCCTCCCCCCAGGGGATAAATAGTGAAGAGTCCTTCACCAAAGTTGGTCTTGATCATTGGATTCTTTCCCACCCCATTTCCTTAGCTATGACATCGTAAAGAGCATGTCTGTTGCAGACACCTTTGTAATACCTCAGTAACTAACTTTTAAACACAAGGTTTGACGAAAACGAACTTTTTCGCTTTGGACAAATAACCAATCCATTTATTATCAAGTAGGCAAATTAAAACGTTTAACCTCGGTATCGAATAAAATTTTAAGCTGCTACCGCGTTTGTATAATCAGAAAACTATCTTGCAAAAATTATCCTTGTAACAGAGGTAACTTGGTATCGGAAGAATTAACAAAGACGCCTTTTTGGGTTTAGGAACAATGAAGTTAACAATTCTATCTTGATGTCGAGATATCTATTATTGTTTGTTTTGCATTTACTTTGTTCAATTTTGTTTATTGTCTCAACATTCTGGATGGTTGCAATGCGATAAATGTAGTTTTACAATTCAAATTAGGCCACAAACTTTCCTGAGCGACGTTATCGATAACTCAAGCTTTACAGAAGGGAACAAAAATGCGAACACGCGGGATTAATTTAACACGGTAAAGGACAGAGAGGTAAAGCTGTCTTTTTAATTTTAGTAACTTCTTAACCTCTCTACAACGTTTATATTAATCAAGTAGGGCAAAGTTTTGTTTTCGTTTTGTTATTACGAAGGGTCATGAGGCGATTGAAGGTTAACCAGACTTCTGTGCCTCCAAATTGTCTTCGATTTGAATTTTGTTAAAAGTTCTTAAGATACTGTTGAAAAAGCGCTTCAAAAATTATGAATTTCATGACAAATTCGAGCTCATCTTCGATCATTTTGCAACAAGACCAACATGCACACGGCTCGCACGAAGAGAAGCTATGCCAACAGCGGGAGACTAACTGAAATCAAGCTCAATTTTCAACACTGTTGACTCCAAAATGGGGGGTATTATAGGGTTCCGAACACCGCAATATCGCAAAAAAAATTCGGCAAATACCGCAATATTGCAAAAAAAAAAAGGTGCCAAAATAACGCAACACTTCAATACCGAGTCAAAAATCGATGTCACGCCGAAACCACTACTCTTTTTGTTACGTTTAGAGCAGATAACACGGAAATGGTAATTATAAGAATTTGTTAGGTAATTTTTGATTTCAGCCTGTTTCTGAAACAATTGGAAACTGGAGAAGACTTGAAAAACGGTGGAGGACTTGGCGGATAAATTTTAGCACACTCCAAAATGCTAAAACTAAAACGGCATCCAGCAGGTTCGGAGAATTTAGCAATACCGTAATTCGAGATTCAAATTACCAAAATAGCGCAAGAAAAAGTGTTTAATACTGCAAACGCCAAAGTCCTCTCCAAAACTGGGTTGACTTTGGTCAGTGATGGTTACGCTTGGATTGAATGAACAGAATGACAACTCGATTACGGCAAGTTGAAAACCTGCTACAAACCTAGTTTAGGGTCTCCTGTCGAAAGCGTTTTGGGTAAGCAGTATTTCACTTTCAACTATGTTTTGTAAGTCCTCTCTGAATTTGGGGAACAACTGTTTTTACTTAGTATCAAGAGTGATGAACTCTGATTCCTCTTTGTGAGGCAGAACCGAGACTACTGAGACCTCAGACCCCCTTAAAGTTTCCACCACCGTTATTTTTTCATTTGTTTCGCGAAATTTAATGAGTGATCGATGAAACACCATGTTTACGAAAAAAGGACTAAACTCAATTTATACTGATCTGGAGAGTTCACTTGAGGGATGACGAGTCGCGTCATTCCTGTGTTTCATAGCGGATGTGTTACCTGACACAAGGAAACCGCATTCTCGACCACTGAAGGAACAGTCGCACTCGTTTATCTATATAAAAAAGGTATTTGTACACGCAACGATTTCGACATTACCTGTTGTAGGGGTATACAGAATTCATGTCAGCTATGAACTTGGTACAGAGGTCTAGCTTGTGGTGGTCCACGATCAGTTGTCAGCGATGCAAACTACCGGGCGTCAATCGGAAGTTCTTAGGTTCCAATCCACTTGAGGGTGTTCAAACTCTGTCTTTGTAAAGCCGTCGGTTTAACCCTTTTTTTTTTCTTAATTTCAAAAGTTGTTTACTTAAACTTCTGAGATTAAACATTCGCACTCGTGTGTCACGAGTCTCCAAATATGGCCAAGATCTCAGGCAAGACCTTGTGGCCGTCTTGTATACTCTCAAAATCTCTCCCTAACCACCCTTTAAATGCGAACTATGGGGAGTTAAGTTGTAATTAATGGTTATCAACGGTTCCGAAGATTGACACGTTTTAAGGCAGTGTATATCGGCTGCTTATGCAAATTTCTGGTGGATTATGCCCTGGCTTGCAAAATTTCCGACTGTAAAGTAAGCAACATCTACTCTCAGAGAGTTAAAACTGCCTTCTGAAAATCCTAAATGAGAATTAGAGGATCTCGGTGCCTTTGAGATTGCAGTTGTATAACATACTGCTACGTTCGGTTTTCAGTAAGAAAGTCACACTATCTGTAGGTTGAGTGTGGCATATCACGTTTTTTGTCGTAATTATCTAAGCTTTCTTCAGATGGAGCGACTTCGATTGTCATACCTGGTGTTATCTATATTTCGTCAGCTTTTAATAACAGCTAGCTAATACTCTCCTGGGTACAGACAAGCATTAATGAGAGAAAATTATCTTTTGCGAACACGAACGGGAAATTAAAACTTGGCAGTGATCGATTACGGACATCTTAAACTAAATACCATCCATGTTAGGAAATATTTCGTGAAAAGCTCGAAAAAGGAGCTTTCGTTATTATTCGAATATTAGGCGAAGTTAGGGTTGGAACTTCCGGTTTTTTCCTTGTTCAAACAATAATTCTCAAGATTTGAAACTTCCTGTTTGTTTGATGGGAGAATAGGTCCCGGTTTTGTTTACACAGTACGATTTTTCACGTACAGCAACTGACACACGTGCAAGCTTGCACTGCCGGCAAGTGTGTAGCAAATAAAACGAGATCGTTTTAATTGAGTCGTTAAGAATACTAAATCCAATTTGAAGAAACGAGGCGACGTTACAATATCTCGTTGTATATTGGTAAGAAACGTTCTAGAATTACTGTTGTTTCACCACTTGATATGGAGAGCTCTGCTCTTACGATCTCCAACTCGTGCCAATTGGAAGGTACTCAGTAGATAAGTGGTTGAGGAGATTACTTGTATCGACAACCAGTTCAGTTATAATTAGTTTCTTCAGGGCAAGGAGATCTTTGGTTCATCTTGGTTATATACCAACGTGGGAAAGATTCTTGGAGTTTCTCGCCAATTTGCTTAGACTGAGGAAAGTTAATACTCAAGTAAGTGTGCATATGTCAAGAGGTTCTTCAGTCAAGTATCTCACGGTATTTTGCTTTATCCCTTGCATCAGCGCTGAACATTTCAAAATTTCTCAAAAAATCACCAATCGTAGGATGTTTATGACTTGCTCGCGTTGAAGATGAAACTCTTGTATCCATAGTTTCCAGGTTTTAATTTTTGAAAGATCTATTGAAGGTTTCTTTTTTAATTCTAGAATCACGCAAGGAAATATTTTACTTAATGGTGAGATAGCGAAAGACAAACATTGATTTTAAATACTGTTTACAAAGAACTGAGACGCCGGCCGCAACAATGGGAGTTTTGGACTTAAGCAAGATAAAAGAGAAAGTAGGCAAAGAGGTCAAATTCCTCTTTTTCGTTTGCTGTCAAGTCCTCCATTGTCTCGGTATTAATCATCGTAAATTTGTGTTGGCTTCTTCTTCAAGGTTGACAGTTTCCTTTCGTGTATTGCAACTCTTAGCTTCTTTGATCATTTATTTTGCCACTGCGTTGCTAGTGTTTATCTAGTCTTTGAAGTATTCATACTATCTTGAAAGTGAAGTTTTGTGTTGTTCTTTTTCTGTGTTGAAATTTGTGGTCGCGGGAATCTTTGGAGCTTGGAAAATTTGGTTAGATAGCGTTTTGACTAATGGCGAGAGAGAAATATTCAGGGAAAGTAATTTGGTTTCTAATTGCGTAAAAGCTTCTCGCAAAGACGAGAAAGCGGCTTCTTTGTGCCGCAATTTTTCTGAATATATGAATACTCTCATTGTTAAAAACTTCTCTCCTTACTGTATAAAGAGGCTAAGATTACTTAGATCGTTTAAAACTGTGGAACGAAAATAGGTGACATGGTCTTCGTAAAAACAATTAAAAAGATATTCATACAATATTCGTATGGACTAAAATTTAACACATTAAATGTATTTTGGTTTTTTGAAATGTTCATATATAAACCCGCAGGCTGGCAGACAGGTAGTATATGGTAAAACAGTGGACAACGGTGAAGGCGCGCTCTGATTGGCTACTCAAACTCCGAATATCCACCTCCGAGCAACTCGCGCGCAGAATTTGCGCTTAAAAATGTTGCAATCATTGCAGAAATAAATGATGAGATAAGATCTTCTTCTTGTGCTATATTAAGTCAGTGTTTTAGAATGTGCCAAAAAAGCTATTCACAACGGTCGCGGTGACCAGCGGTGAATATTTACCGCGCCACTTCACACAACTCGGTAAATATCCGCCACTTGCAACCTCCACTTTGGTGAGTAATTGATAAGCGATGACAACATACGGCTTCGTGCATGGCTTAGGTTTTATCAACTTTTATTATCAGCCGGTATCTGAAAGGTCATGCGCTTTTCTTTCAACAGTTACTTAAATTTCTCTCGAAGGTGAGAAATTAATTATAAGTTAACGTACTTTCAGATGCATTAAAACTTATAAGCTTGGTTCAATCACAACATTTATTTTCGCTCTCTCTCTCGTTTTCAGTTTAAAGAGTCTCAAATATGCCTTGGTATGACGAAGATGAAGTAGAAGGTGAACCCAACGTGGCACAAACTCATGAAAGACGGGATCACGGTGTTACTGAGCCTCGAGTTCACTGGTGCGAAAGGGACCCTTACACTTGCACCTTGGAAATAAGGCTCCCTCGATATGAGGTGCCGAAATTAAAGTCTCTTTATGGTCCCTTACTCCAATGGATTGATCCCACATTTCAGCTGCTTCACATCGAAGAAAGCGATAAAAATTCGTTTATCACGCGGTTTGAACAAGATGACCCCAAAGGGAGAGGTAACGAGAGTCATTTGGCTAAGGAACAATTAAACACGCAATCACTAAGCGTTGTGCTGTTTTTGCGCGAGGAGTCAAAGTATCAGCTGAACGCAGGATTTGCAAAAGGCTACCTGCAGTCTCCCCCTTGGGGCTTCCATCATAAGATTGAATTGGCCAACCCTATGGACATGCGCACTGTCGCTCGCCAAGATTATTACGGGTCGTCTCCAGACCTTCCGCTGTGGACTGTCAGTTCGGTGCATTACGGAAACGAGCAACTCAGGTTTAACATTTTCGTGAAAAATTTTGAGAAAATGAAAGAATTTTATAGCATATTGACAGGGTGTGAAACTAGTGCAAGTAAACCAGGATTCTGCTCTTTTGATCTGTACTCTCAACCGGGCCTTGAAATAAAACTATCCTTGAAGTATTCGCCATGTCTGCAACCCCACGCATCAAGGCTCAGCGCGCTTAAATTCAACATCCGCAGTGTGCTTTATGTCAAACAGAAACTTCGACTCGTGCTGACTCCAAACGGGGAAAACACGTGGCTGACTCGTGATCCTGACGGTAACGTGATTCTTCTGTCACGTGACGAGAATGATGTTTTTGAGGTGGGTGTCGCAGGACAGTCAACAGAAGCGTCCGACAGTGGACGGTGGAGCGAGACAGCCAGTGAAGATTCGTCGTGGGAAATGTGCAGTGACACGAGCTGTTCGAGTTTCTCGTGCGAAAGTGGCTGTGAAAGCGTGACGACAAGAAATGAAGACGAAGATAAAGATTCTTTTTCGGTTTAGGTGCTAAGAGTAAAACAAAAGACACTTAGACTTAGTGCATAAGAAACCTAAAAAAAAAAAAAAGATAATGAAAATGATCGAACATATGATCAAAACAGCTTGCTGCATTGACATAAAACTCTTAAGAACTGACCAGCGCAGCTGTCATCGAACGAGCAGCATGGAAGCCATTTTGCAAGAATCAAGGAGAACACATTAAAAGGTTTGATGATAAATTTGTAGCGGAACTTGTACCCAAATTGTTCAAAGTTTCCTTTTAATTCAGACACTAAGACATTCATTTCCTTACTACTAAATCAACCAATGGGGGAAGATCGTAAGAAAATTGGAGTTATGGAAGGATCAAATAAATTTTATTGTGACGCAATAGAAATCCTCCAAAATCCCTCCTGTCCCCGTTTTAGGCTATAAATGATGACCGATCTCTACCCTGGAAGAGATGAAAGTTTCGTTTCATAGAATTGTGATTTCTAAACGAACAACGCAGAACAAAAAAGAATACCAGAAGAGTCAGTTGGTAACTAGATATGAATTAAAATTAAGTGAGGTTTGAGCAAACTGCCTCAAATGCGAGAAAACTTGTCTGACCAAGCTGCGATTGGTCTTCGGTTCAGTTCCATCTGATTGGTTGTTAAGAAGCCGTAACTTTGCTGATTCGATCGTAGATAGTATAGTGACAAAATGATACTGATCCTAAATGAATAAAGGGGGTCCGTTTCTGAAGAAACTATGGTGTTGCGTCGGTGGGAGAGTATAACAAAAGTTTGGTATTATCATCTGAGTTGATAACATAAATTGGCCACCATGAAGAGTTTCAAAGCTGACGTTTCGAGCGTTAGCCCTTCGCTCTGAAATGAAAATCATATCCTAACGATTTATTTTATTTCAAAATAATGGGAGATCACACAATCAAAAATAAAGTACGGAACTCGAGGTTGTATGCCATTGTCCAGTTGATTAATTTGTGTGTATGACAATAAGGCAGCTGCCTAAAAAGTACAAAAAAAGTATCAAAGCAGAAACTGTAACAATTTACTTTTACTTCTGGCCTAGTTAAACGCTGGTCGCACGAATTAACCTGAGCGCGTGCTGGCTCAGTTCCCTAGCACACGCTGGCTCAGTGTCAACCCTGGCGCGCGCTGGTCGACTTACCACTCAAGTGAGGTCAAGTGACGAAACAAGAGCCTTTAAAATATATCCAAGGAAACAGACAAACATTTAACAGATGTGCTTTTCGCGAAAGAGATCGTTTAACTGGTCACCAGGGATTTTAAGCGCGTTGTAACGACTTTCACAACATAGAAGACAACGTGATCTAATTCTAAGACTAAAGGTTGGTGTAGAAGGATAAACTGTTACGGCATCTGTTTTCAATCGTGTTTGTTCTTTGTTCGCGTCAGTTTTCGATAGATCGCACGCGTCAGGTAACGAGTCGGCCAGTCAGTCTCAGTCATTGTACAGTCAGCTTAGTTCTATGTTTGATGCAAACGATTTAGCTGCTTACGCGGCTCTGAAGACTGCAGAACTGGCTCGATATAAATATGTTCCTTTCTCTCATTCATATATCGTGTAATTTACGGAAACAGGTCTCTTATCGTGAATGCAAGGAAGTAAATGCAGAACAGCTGATGCCATAAGCGTACAAACAGAACACCTGTTAAGGTCTCCATCATCTTCTGTCCCAGGGGGTCATCGGTTTACAGAAACCGCGAAGTTCCTGGACAGGATTTTGTGGCGGGTAGGTACAGTTGGTTTTCCAGAGACCAGCTCTCGAAGTGTCATTTGCAGTCCACCTTGATCTTGCTTACGGAGTTATTTTCCACGCCCGCTTCTCGTTTCCTTAGGAGTTTAGAGTATGGACGTCAACTTTAGGAACGAGACTGTTCAACTATCAAAAGTCTATTTAAATTTCACTGATGCGTTTAAAATCAGCTGGAGCGAGAAGATTTTTAATAGCGAATCCATGCACCCTGACGAGGTTGCTTACCGTCCTGTGCAGCAGTATCTGGTATAGTGTTATTGATGAGAGCCCTTGGGATGATTGTTACAGAGACACAAAACAAGCAGCACCATAAACACAGGGACATTATTATAAAAGAAAAAATATATATTTTGATGATTTACTGCAAGGAACAAGTGACATATGGTTCGCTCTGATTAACAATAAATTTCGGGTTTACAGAACGTAACTATGGTTTTAAACTTAGAAGCCACAGAGGAACAATGAGGAAATATACCAAGTATGTTCCGCAATTGTTACTCGATAGTCAAACACTCAGGCATGATATTTTCCTTAAGTAGTATCTCCTGGAATTTTTTTATTATTTTATGCGCTAGAGGTTGTTCCTTATGCTTTCCTTTAAATTTTGCGCGAGAAGTTGGCGCGCAACCAGCCAAAGTTGATACCTCACGCATGCGCGACGACTAACCACTGCGTTAGTAGCCGGTATTTTCGGATGATTGGATTTCAGCTTAAAAAAAGCAAGCTTAAATTGTTCAGCAAGCTTAGTCTTTTCATTCCGTAAACGTTTTTGGAAAAGGTGGGACATAGGAATAAGAGAGATTTCTAAGCGTTTTCTCCCCTCCTCTCGCATCTTTGTCATCCGTTTCCGGGCCAAAATTGCAAGGGAAACCAACCGCTGTGCAGTCTAGTGGAGCTTTTGAATACGACAACAAGCATCAGAATTTTTTTCCTTATCAAATATTTGTTAATATATTGTTATTGATTTTTCAGGTGGGGGTGGCTGGGTACGATACAAAGTCGTGACATGTGCCAACAATTGATTCATTGTAATTTTGACTATTTCTGTCAAAACATGCTGGTATCGATCCCAAAATTTAAAGAGATATAGGAATTCTTTGTTCAAAATGCCAACTACTGTTTCGACTGATAAAAAAATTTTGAAGGACCAGTAATTTTGCTTTTTCCTTCTCCCGATATAGCTATTACCTAATGTCAATGGCGTCAGGTTCTCGTGCTAGTGACCGGGGAGACTGGAGTCGACATTTTGTAAGCAGAGGGGCATTTTGTTGCGCATGCGCCAAGAAAATTTGTTCGGCGCGTTCGGCGCCATTTTGATATTTTCAGCGCGCTTCTGCGGGTTTTCAACTGAGCGATCGACACCTTTCTGTGATATTTTTTGGAGAGGGATGGAAGAGTATGACAAGTTTACTACCATTTCTAACTCTGTGGATACTTGTGGAGTTTGCTGGCTCTTCGGATGAGGATATTTTAATGATCAAAGTGCGAACAAAACGCGAAAAAAAGTCGAAAACTTGAAGTTTGAGATTTGATTTGCTGACGATCAAGATGTGCACATGAGACTACAAACCTTGAAGGTTAGTCTTAAGATGTTGATGTCTTACTTCTATAAATCACGAAGTGATGTGTGGAGGCGATCGTGAGATATTCGTTACGATAATAGAAGGTAGTTTACAATTGGATCTTATTTTACTTCAACTTTGAAATAAAATTACGTTAAGTTCGAGGTGGCCCCCAAGCTTCAAATCACTTCAAATAACATCTTATCTTCTTTCTCTTTGTTGTCCCATTGGACACAAGGCTTAAAAAATGTTCCAGCTTCAGGATTGAGTTGCTCTTTCTATAACCTTCGGCGAATTCGTTTTTGGGAGGTTGAGGTGGATTTTCAAAGTCATGGCTCACAACTGTCTTTGGCCATTTTGCTCTCCAAGTCTGTTGTACTTGGTACGTAGGCATGCGTCTTAACAACGTTTATAGTCTTGCCTCGATCATCTGCGGTTTTATCTAATTTTTTGCTGTGTTTTGGTGAGAATTTTTCTGATTGCCCTTTTTGGGCTTGAAGGGTTAACTAGAGGATAAACTTCGGTAGAACTTGTTTTATCACATGGCCCCAAATCTCTCACCACTGTCAGTTCATTGTTTATTTATTTAGCCTTCGGTCTAACCAGTTCATTTACCTCAAAAAAAATCCGTGGGCTTTGTCTCATGAGTTTAAACTGGTGCCGTTTTCTTCATGTTCATGTGTTATTCGAAACGGATGGCGTCAGCTTCATTCTGTCTTGTTTATTTCAGTAGAATACTTCTGCCATACGAAATGAATTTTGAGTCGAAGTGTACTATAAAACTCGCAGATTAAAATTATCTAACTTTCTCTGGTTCTTAAAACATGAGGTGAGCGATACAATAAATGAATAATTACTCAAGGGGCTGGAACTCTCTTTCTTTAGAATGTGAACTACAGTATTTCTGTCATATTTGAAAACGAATTTCGGGTTAAAATGTCTTCAAACCAGTTTGACTTGTATTTCTCTTTGCCAGATAAGTCTTGATCCTTCAATTTTTATTTCTTAATTGAGACTGATGATTGGAATTAACTATTGTGTTCTCTGCTGTTTAGGGAGATGTGAAGTGACCCCACTACATATGGTCAGTACTATTGACAGAAAGGATAGGTGTGACATTTGCTGTGGCAAGCTGGCATTCAAGAGAATGTCATTAGTACCAGAAGCTTACTACTGGTATAAATTATCAATCTTTTGTTCTCTCCACACAACTTGCCTCAACTAGCTTATGCTATATGCAACTTGTGTCTATACCTTTTTTTTGCAACTATAAAATTACCAATAAAGTTTTTTGAAAGTTTTGTCCAAATTTCATGGGAAAACAATATGAGGAGTGATCAGGTGAAATATTGTCCTGTTCCATAACAGTGTTTGAGCTTCCAGGCAGAGCTAAAAATTTCTTAAGCGACTGATTTATGATTTTCTGCCTTAAAATTAGCGCATCCAAGCTGATGCCCATTACTGCAGAATATGCAATATCAAAGTCCCCTTTTGACTTAGGTCTCATTTCTCTAAAATCTGATAGATGTAGAGCATCAATTTTCATAAAGAGATCAACAAACCTCTTCACATTAGTTTAATCTGACCTCACTAAGTCTTATTCCTGAAAAGAAAATTTTTTTTTTTTTTTTTACCCTCACTGTTAAATATCAGCCTTACTGGTTCTTTGTTGTTTAGCATGTGTAAGAGTCTTTTCAGACCATCAAATTGTCACACAACTCTTGTAATTTAATAGGTTGGAGAATAAGGTTGCAAAGAGTGTATATGATTTTTTTGTGCAGTTGAAATGATAAATGATAGTGATTTTCACTGGGTAATAATTGATTTAACTATTCATCTTACAACTGGAAGCCCAAAGTAGTACTTGTTTTCATTCACAATTTCCCCACATCATCGATCATATCTGATGATATTTCCGAGACTAATGATTGAAAAGACTTTATCTTACTCTGATAAAATCCATAATTATTCCTCCATTTCTAACCAGATGGAGCTACCATATCTCTAGCATTAGCATTGTCTTACTTTTCTTTACTCGACATTGACCTTTTTTATTTTGGTAATCGGCCCTGCCGGTTGTGATTCATGTCAAAAAAAACTTTTGAAACAAAACATAAACCTCTGTAAACTTTACATTTTTGCCAAAATTGGAGGTACACTGCACTAGCAGTACAGTTGAAGCTCTAAAAAACGCTTACAGAAAGGCGAGTACTTCAAATGATCACCTATAACTTGAGATAGCAATGACACGATAAAAGTATACTATCCAATTCTTTTGTACTCTTCGACAGGCCACTTGCATCCTTCAAAAATAACATCATCTTCATCGATCGCCCAGACAATCACGAGACAAGACTCGAACAATCTTTTGCATTCTGAAAATAACTTCCTTCCACACATCACACAATAATTTCAAGGATTTGCCGCTTCCATCTACGTTACAGAAGAAAAAATGAGAAGAAAGGTTGTCTCAAATACTCGAACCATTGTTTTTTCCGACGTATTTTACTGCTTCTTTTCTTTCGTGATTCTCGAAAGGGAAACCGACGCAGGCGCATACCAGCGGTTTCTCGTATCAAACTAAAATTTACCGGACATGCGCAACAAAATGCCCCTCTGCTCATTTTGTAAACTTCCAAAAATAGCTTCCAGTACTTCTCGCTCAAGGATCGTTGGATTCGAATGAACACAGCTTCATGTACAAGACAAATTAGTTATTTTTAGGGAAATGGCTGGCTGGATCACTTTTCCATTGAAGCGATCCGATGGTGTTGATTATAAAAAGCCATTGGAAAAATTTATCAAGAACACATTCTCTGCTGAGACGGCGGAAGAGAATGAAGACGCCATTTCTGAGCTTTCGAAGTTGAGAAACACTGTTGTAATGCAGACTTTGGATAAACATGAATCTGCTTTGGAGCCAATGCTCAGGTAAGAGCGATTTATCAGCAGGAAGGGACTACAGTGCGTGAATTCTCGTATGTTTCCTATGCTCGAAGTGCCGTTTGTATGTGCTGACACTATCTACCGCAACATTGATAGAAAATAGGTCCAGTTTACATGCAAATTTCGAAATTTCCATGGGTACAGTTTAATTCAACAACATGTCTTCTCCACTAAACGGCATGAGTTACCTTTCTCGTTAAATCCAAAACTGTTATATTAAAGGCTATATCATTCATAAATTTGAATGCAACATGACAGCAATATAATGCAGTCAGATACATTCATCAGGCTTTTCTTTCAACTATCTTATACGTTATGTTTTCCTTTCAAATTTGGCAGATTTAATGAAAAATAAATGGAAAAATACTCTAACGTCATTAAGCATCATGTTAAAATCATGAAAACCGTTTTCGAGAATGAACGAGTGCGTGCAGCTGTATCGTTTTCATCGTAGCAGTAAGTTGGATAATGAATTTCTTTGCGAGGTTACCTCATTGACTTTTGTATTATGCAAAATACAAGATGTCACGACTTTGAATTATCACGAAATAGAAGAACAGTATAATGTTAGTGTTTGAATGCAAATATAGTACTCTAGATGACTCCCATGAGGAACAGTTGTGAAATAAGTCATTGTAATTGTTTTTTATTTAGAGAAAATAAATGTTTTGATGATTAGGGCTAGCATATTTCTTTTATGCATTCAAACACTAACATTCTAGCTTTTAACCTGCTGATGACTGAAATCAATTGAAAATGTTTGCCAAATTTTTTGTTTACAAAATATGTCAAACTTTATTTTGTGCTAAACATGGATTTCTTATACCCAGCATATATTTATCATTATCATTCTTAATACCTTTCCTCTCCCTTTTTATGTCTTGCTGGAATTAAGTTGTTGCATTGCCCTTTGACTCTCAAGATCTGATTGCTGATTTCCTTGTACATTAGGTACAAGAATTTGATGTTAGATTGAGATAATCACCTCTGTCTGATAAGTTTGGGTATTCTCATAACCTGTTTGCTGGATAACATATGGATATTTTGGGGAGAAGTTGCATATTAATCATTTCTGGGAGTTAAAAGGTTAAGTGTAGGTCCCATAGGTTTATAGATGTTCCACCACATTGCAAGTTGGTCTCCCCTGCTACCTTACCCCATCTTGATGAGTTTGTCCCATTGAATACAGAAAGTTGACCCCCATCTCTACCAGTAAGTTTACAAATAAAAAATTTGTTTCCTGAGAGCAGGAAGTGTTTGTTTATCAGAGGATCAAAACAATGAGGGTTAACATTAAAGATCCCACTCTGTCAAATCTTTCAGAAAAGGAGCTTGTTCTCCTACTAGGAGACAATTTGAAATATCAGGGGGTGAAGTGGTAAAGGTCTGGGCTAAATGATAGAGAAAAGTCATCAGGGATAGGAGCAAATTAGTGAAGGCATGAACTTGATAAAGATATTGAAATTGCATTTTTGTAGCAAGTTCAAAATGCATTATTTTTGATAGAGTGGACTGGACATTACATTAATCCAGTGTTTGGCTCCAGAAATAAAATGTTCACTTTTAATGGAACTTTATTTGAATATTATTCCCGAAGTTAGGGTGTGGCTCACCAGCAGGTATACCACGTACAAGGGTCTCAACAATAATTTACTCTAACAATGTTTTTACTAGGTACTATGATCAACTGGAGGCAATGGAGGGGAAACTTCCTGTTTCAGAATCACAGGTAATTAATGAACAGTGGAAATGTAATATTTTTTTCAGTTCTTGTATGTCATTTTTTAGAGCAAGGTTTGAATGTTATGTTTTTCATGTCTTTTTTTCTACAACAGGTGTTTTTTTTACATGATGATCAATAATTTTTTCAAGTACATAGTTGCTGTTGGTGTTTATTGAATAATTATTTATTCTGATATGTTCCCCTTTAGATAAGAATCTCATATACTTGGTATGATGCATTTGACAAAGGATCCTTGTTTGGTTATCGCAAAAGTTGTGAGTATTAAAGCATTTCATGATTAGAAAGAATTTGTAGCTTCTATAGGAATGTGGCAGTCACATGGTGATGCTGTACTTCAAATCTTTGCCTCATGCACCTGACTCTTGTAATAGAAAGTGTATTCTGGAAGTTAAATTTGAGGCTGCTGATGAAATCCTGAAAAAAAAAGAAACTAGTACTTACTTATGATACTGTACACCTGTAAAGTATCAGAACCAAATGCACAGGATTAAGGTGACCTTGTCAAAACTCAAGTGAGATAAATATCTACTGAGTGTTTTATGTCTAGAAGTTTGTTCAAAGACTTTATTTTTCTTTGTCCACAGCAATGTCAAGTCTGCAGTATGAGCGACTATGTGTATTGTTCAATATCGGAGTTTTACAAGGACAAATCGCAGCAGCTCAGAATTTCCAAACAGATGAAGGATTAAAAACTGCAGCAAAAATGTTCCAGGTGAGCACATCACACATAAGTCTGTTTATTCCAAGAAATATTTAACTGACAATGGATCAAGATGCATGTAAATATTGGCAGTAGTATACTACTAGGTAACAAAGTACTCTAGGATTTCTTTAGGGTTATTGTACTTTAACATGAAGATATAACCCCCTTGGTATTTGAACGTTTGTAAATTGTTTTTTTTCAAATTTCCACCCTGGGGGGCAAGAATTATGTTCAGATGCCCCCCATGCTAGTGTGACTTTCTACACTTCAACAAGTTAAAACTTAGACCTTGTAGGCCTTTTCTTCTGAGCCATTTGCTCACGAAAACGAACTATTTATCTTGAACATCCTCATGTTTAATTAAAGATATAATGCTTGTATTCTTCTGGAAAGACCCTACACTTCCTGTACAATTTTCCTAACACCCCCCCAGATAATGATCAAATGCCTGTGGATTGCCCAGGGAATGGGGGGAGGATGTTGAAGCTTTGAACTGATCAGTGCATTACTGAGATTGTTGTCATGCAGATAAATAAAATTTGTTGACAACAATTTTGTTCTTATCAAATGATTGCTTTAACAGTCAGCCAGTGGAGCCTTTCAACAATTGAAGGATGCGGTGTTTCCCCAGCTAAATCAGGTACCAACACCTGACCTATCTGTGGAGATGTTGACGTTTTGTGGTGCCGTAATGTTAGCTCAAGGCCAGGAAAGTATCTGGAACAAAACTGAGCAAGGTAATTATATGTCATCATATTTGGTGAACCCTTTACACCTTAATATCAGTAGCTACATTCTCCATACTCCTCTCTTCACATTGCTTTTGGTTACTGACAAGGGGAATTTGTTTATTAATCAAAGCTTCTTAGGTTGGCAATCATTTCTGTTATTCTCATGATTTTAATGAATGATTCAGCAGTATTTTTGAAATAAGAAATTAGAATCTGCTCAACGTGATGGTTTAAAAGTATGGAAGAGTTTACCAGACATTGCCCATGCTGGTTTGGTATTTTAACCACTGCCTGGTTGGGTTATCTGGTTAAGTGCATGACTACCAGTATTCTCATTACCTGTTTGCTGGATAATGTATGGATATTTTAGGGAGAAGTTACATGTTGATAATCTCTTGGAGTTAAAGGGTTAAAGTGTAATTTGTATATATGTGATATGTGATGATAAATGTGCATGCCATAAATTGGAAATGACAGTAAGAAAATAATGCATCATTCTGCGACTAATAATTTGCATATTTTGTAGATAAAATGAAGGATGCTGTGATTGCTAAGGTTGCCGCACAGGCAGCAGACTTTTACAAGAGTGCACTTAGTTCTGCTCAAATACAGTCAGTGAAACAAATGCTGGAGAAGGTAATGAGTTGTGACAACAATTTCTGGGGTTTGTTTGTTTCATGTTTTGTGATGGTTTTTTTTTTTTTGCTGGGGGAGGTAGAGGGGGGGGTGGGAATTACATCCCATATAATCTGAGTTGGTATGTGCTGCTGCAAATTGGTATGGATTGCTACCATTATGGTCTGAAATTATGTATGATTTTCAGGCAAACCAAGAGTGTATTTTAAAGCGTTTGTGTTCTCAACTTCAAATGAATAATTCAGAAAGAGAAATAACCAAAAGATATCATTTGAGCTCAGTTTCCCTTTAATTGTACAATTTCTTAACTTTTGCATAATGTGAAGCTTAAATATGCAACAACAAAGCACAGGGAACTTGCAAACCAAGTTTAACTTGACCCTTTAGTTCCCAAGAGTGACTGAGACAATATTTTTCCCTTTGAATATTGATACAATATCAAGCAGACAAGTGATGAGGATGATGAAAAATATCATTTAAGGGATTATAACTTGATCCAATACGAAATTCTTCAAACTAAAATCGTAAAAACTGTGTAGCAGACACTAAGGAGAATTACTAATAAGATCTTGGGAGTGAAAGGATCAAGAAGCTAGGCTTAAAAACTGCTATGGATTTTGAAAAAAGGGTCGCGATTTGGAGAACCAGCCTGCGCACCATTTTCAAGAATTTCAAAGGGCAAATCTTCCGGAATGATTAAGCCATGAATTAGCATGTTGCAGATGTGGGAAAAGACTGCATTTTGTATTTCAATCCTTAATTGCCTCTTAGCCCATATTTTTGTGCCTAACAGTTGTCATTATGGCTGGTAGCCAATACATTTTATTTCTGGTTGGGTCAGTATATTTGAGTAGAATGTATGGCACCATGATGCGTAAATGCATTCTGCAACCCACACAAGTGATCTTCCAAATTTCTTCTTTTCAGGAGTGGATTTCTATTCTATCGGCTAAATCGGAATTTTTTAAAGCTATAGCAGAGTATCACATGGCTCGAGTGGCCAAAGACAAAGCAGCTTATGGAGAGGGAGTAACAAGATTTAAGGTGAGTTAGGATGAGATGAGCATGCTACAGGATTTCGTTCGATGAGCGGGTGAGGGAAAAGGCTGCGGAAAATCTGACCCAAGCTCTTTTTAACACAGCGGTTATACGTAGGCATGCGCAAAGGGGTCAAATCTGGCCAGCTGCGTACGAATTTCCTACGTAATGTTTTAAAGGAATACATAAGAAACAGCCAATATCTCGCAAAATATGCGTAAAATAATTGAAACGTTCATTAAAATTTCTTAAAAGGAAACAAAAGATGACAGAAGAAACCTCGAGACTTTTCAAACAAAGAGGTTATTTAATTATCCATTGGTTTTGGTTGTGGTTTTACCCCACTCAACCAAAATGCACTCTAAGAAATTTACACTTAGTGCTCTACACTTAAAAATTTCTTATATCTTGTGGACCAACCTAATCTAGGGACTGCTCTATATAACCTGCCAGGTAATGCCTTATTTACTGAGTCGAGGAAACATTGATGCGAATGCGTGGAATGAAATTTCTGCAGTGCTCACGAAGAACGTCTTTTTGTTCGGATTTAACGATTTCTCTTTCGGTCACTTGTTAAAGCAAACGAAGGAAAAAACTAGAGGAAGAACGAATGACGACCGAGAGTGTATTAACGAACCAACAAGATAGGCGTTTTTCTTAAGCACAGTGTCTTTACTTTTCAGCAAGCTGAACAACAAATGGCAAATGCTGTAAAACAGAGCATGGGACTTGTCGACTTCAAGGTAACTTAAAAGCTTCTCTTTGTTGATTATTTGAGAGACACACTTGCCTTTTGACAGGCGCACTGGACTCTAGGTCGAGCGGTCTGGGTTCGAACCCTGGCTGGGTCAATGTATTGAGCTCACAGGCAAGATAGTTTGGATCAATGTCAGAATCTAACCAACTGCGCGCTTACCCTTCCCCCTAACCAACAACAGTCAACTTATAACATTTTGAGGTTAAGGTTTACTCAGAACTGTTTTCTTTTCTGTTCAGACGTGGGAAGGAAGGATCAAGCGAGAGGCCACCGAGCTTAAGAAAGACAACGAGTTCATATATCACGAGAGAATGCCCGACATAGATTCCTTAGGGCCCATTGGTCGTGCTGCTCTCGCCAAGTCCTTACCGCTGTCCAAACCGGCCTCATCCAAGTTTACAGACTTGTTTTCCAAGTTGGTGCCCATGGCTGTCCATAATGCACTTCAAGCGTATGGATCTCGCAAAGGGGAAATCGTCAATTTTGAAGTTGGCCGACTTCGCGAAGGAACGCAATTAATGAACAGGTTTGAATCGGCAATATGTTGAAAACACAAACAAAGTCACATGGCTGAAAAGTACTTCGTGTTAGAGCTGTCATGCAGGTGAGCCAACACAGCGGTCAAACCTCTGCGCGTGGCGTACTTTCAGGCTAAGAGAACTAAGTTTTCTCTTACGAGCTACAAACAATTACACAAGCTGTAGGCTACGGTGTTTTCAAAGCCTTTAACTTTTTCGGTAAAGCTCAAAACAGAATTGTAAATCAACTGGATACCCCTACGTGAATCAGCTTTGTGTTTGAAAAGTCTCGAGTTTTCCCTTTTCCTCACTTTTGTTTCTATTAACAGATCTCTCTGAACTTTTCAATTTTCTTTCGCATATTTGGCGAGGTAGCGTTTGTTTCTTATGTTTTCCTTTGAAATTTTGTGCGGGAAATATGCGCGCGGACGGCCAGAACTAATCCCCTCGCGCATGCACCACGTTATACCGCTGTGTTAGGTAAGCTTCGTCAAAGGTTTGCAAATTAGCTTTTACACTCAAATATAAAGTTAGAGCGAAATGTGGAATGATGCAAATAAAACTATTGAAGTATTTTCAGTATTCGCTAGGTTTCATCGAACGCTAAAGTAACTACAAACTAGAGTTTTATCCACGGTCTTGAGAATGAAACGGTGATAATTAGGATTTCCCTTAACCTTACTCTAGTGTATAAAAAAAACTTAATGAAATGAAACCAAATCCTGTTACCAGCTGAAATTGCTTCTAGGTCCACAGCATTGTGCTGTTTATATCACGGCTTTTGTGTTCCCTTTTCAGTGTTCTTGCGTCGCTGAACTTGCCAGCAGCCATAGAAGACTTGTCAGGACAGACAATTCCCAAGTCGGTGTTGGACAAATCAGCAGCAGTGAACGAAAAGGGAGGTTTGAATGCCATCGATAAGTTGATGCAGGATTTGCCAGAACTTCTCGAGAGAAATAGAGAGATCCTGGACGAGGTAAATTTTGTTGAAAGTGTTTTTCCTCTCCCTCCCCCCCCCCCCATCCTTTTTGATCCATTTGAGCGCTAACCGATTTTGCACCAAAAGTTTATAGAGAAACGAACTGAAAAAGCTATAACCGAAACCAATAGTAGATTGCAAGAATTAGAGGTATCGCCTGTTACTTCTCAATGTGAAGTATTTAACATTGGCTATAGTTTACAACTGTTGAGCCTTATGCAATCGAAATATTCTTGTGTTTTCAGGCAATGCGAATGATGGACGAGGAGGAACGTCAAGACACACAAATGAGAGAACGCTTCACGGCTAAATGGACTCCAAAACCGTCCGCTGAACTCACCATGCAGTTGAGACAGGAAGCTGAGAAATATCGCGGCATTTTGGAAAATGCAGTACGAGCTGACGCTATTGTTAAAGAGAAATACAATAATCATCGACGGAACATGGATCTGCTAAGTAAAGGAGAGGTATGAATTTTTTCAGTTGTTTTTAAAAAATTTGGAACATATGGGAAGTTGAGAATAGCAGGTGAGTAGCTTTGAACGCTCGGAGAGTCTCTCATTCCCAGGGAGGCTCGGGCACCTCTCGTGTGGGAAATTTTGAAGTTCCATTCTGTTGCGGCTGCATTTCTCGAATTTCGAGGTTCGTTTGAAATAATTTTGCTATGTTGTTCCTGAAAGTCGACCAATTGGAACCAAGATAATTTGTTTATGTCAACTGAGTTGATAATGTAAATTGGCCTCTGTAAAGAGTTTTTAAAGCTTTCGAGCGTTAGTCCTTTGTTAGAGCGAATGGCGTAAGGCTAAAGCTCGATATGTCAACTTTATAAACCCTTTACGGTGGCCAATTTACATTATCAATTCAGTTGATAAAGCCAAATTATCCCTATCGACGCGGCGAGTTGCTTGGAAGTGAGTCGCAAAGGATATTCGGAGTTTGAGTAGCCAATCAGAGTGCACCTTCAACGCTATCCACTGTTTTAGTACCGTATATACTTATATTTCATTGTCGAAGATAAAATTCATATGCCGCTCTGGCATACTATTACTTTCACACCCCATTTGTCTGAGCAATTTTGTGACATGTGCAGACGTTTCGCAACTCATTTGTAGGTGGATAATCTGAACCAAACACCTTGTATCTCATTACAGGCGCAGTTGGCAGCAGCCATACCCAAAGTTGGAGCTTCGTCATCCTCTTCAGCTTCAAGCCCGGCTGTACAAGAACTGAGGAAACTAATGGAGCAAGTAGACACTATCAAAGCCGAGAGGGATGCTATAGAACAGGACCTGAAAGTACAGCAGGACGATATGGGTGAGCTGAGAGAGATACCAGGGTGATATCACAATTGGAGAAATTTTGGGTTGAGTATCAAAAGTAATCCGGAATCGTTCTGTTTCAGCTTTGCTGCGGCCTGTGATTGGTCAGAAAACTCCACCCTCTTGACCAATCAGAAAACCAAGACAAATCACGACTCGATCACCCGCTTTTTCCCTCGCTTTAGGCAGCTTGTTTATTTTTTTCGAGTTATCATTGGTTTCTTGTGCTGTTTCCTTTGTTTTGATTGGTCTGTCGCGATTATTACTCTAGTTTTGGCTTTAGACTCTCAATCAAAACCCGAGGTCCGCGAACATTTATTTAAAATTAGATTTATAAAGTATATGAGAGTAGCAGAGTGGAGCTGCGGATGAAGCATCCAGCGAGCCAAACCACTTTCTTCTCATAAAGATGAGAGAAAACAAGGAAAAGCGAAGCAAGAACCTCTCTCTGCTGGAAAAAGTCAGCATATACTGTTTATCAATAGTACTTTGCAAAGCACGCGAAAACTTCCATGTTCTCTTTTTTTTCTTTTCAAGCTGTGAAGTTCCTGAGCGCCCTTGCTGCTGATGGTACAATACCGGATGTCGAGGCTATCATCAGTTCTAATCTGAGTGCAGGCTTTGATTCAGTGAAGGAAGGTGTTTCTGAGAGTATTGCGAGACAGGAGAAGATTCTGGCTGCAGTACAGGTGGGTGGAATCGTTTTGAGATGAAATCACTTAGACCAAGTGTGCACTAAACAATTTTAACCTTTTTGCTCCCAAAATCTAAGTGGGAGCTCTCTCGACTGTGTGCTGGACATTTCCTTAAGTTTTCGCTGTGAGAATTTCGTGTAAAATCAAAATATCCCCCTCAGTTGGTACTGTTTTTTTCTGCTTGAAAATGTATTGATATTATGAGGATAAGTTCCTTTTGATCCCTTCAAGAAGGTTAAGGGGAAAGTAAGTAGTCACAACTTTCTTCTTACGACCAAACTTCATTAAAAGAAATTGCAGAAGTTGAAACCGTTACGCTAATGTTGTTTTGTGTCGTGTAAGAGTCACAGAAAATCCCTAATTTGTTGTGGAAAATTATCCGGGATTGTTGTGGATTTGCTTTACTTCGTTGTATGATTGGTCCAGAAAATTCGCGGCATTTTCTCAACCAATCAGACTCAAAACTAAAATCAATAGCACCTTGGTCACACGCGTTTTCCCGCGCTTCAGGCAGATCGCTGGTGTTAACATTGAGTTTTTATTGGTTCCTTGCTATATTTTCCTTTATTCTGATTGGCTGTTGCGATAACATTAGTTTTTAGTTATACGACTTTGAATCGAAAAGCGCTCTAAGTAGAGCGTGACCTTGTGATAATAGTTTGTCAGAGTTAATCAACATCAAAGGCACAAAAATAGACCAAAAAAGGAACGTGGATGTATTGAAGAGGGCGAAGATAAACTCGGATAATATTCGACAGGTTTTTAAAATGTTGGCTAAATTTTTCTAGATGGCGAAATCATGGTTCAGCTTTTGTGATATTTGAATGATAGCTACGAGATGGAATTCAGCGCGAGAAATCAGCGAGTGATTAAAAAGAACATGGAACGTAATTTTAGGCTCAATGACCAACTGTTGGGATTCAAGGTCAGACAAGCGATCAAAATTTTAAACTATTTTAAAACCTTAAAGATTCACGCACTTAAGAAGTGAATGTTTAATTCCTTTTTTTTTTCTTTTCTTTTTTTTCCGCTAAAGGCTGCTAATGATAAGTTTGTGAAAGAAAAGCAGTCTGGGCAGGCAGCTTCTGAACGGGAAACTATGCTGAAGGACCTGGCGACAGCTTATGACATTTACATGGAGTTAATTGGTAATCTACAAGAAGGAACAAAGGTGAAGGACGATAGCAGTTGATAGTTTGAATTAAATTAAGATTCTCACAATTCTGTTGTTGTTCTCTTGCAGTTTTACAATGATTTTACGCCGATATTGGTGCGTTACCAACAGAAAACCAGTGATCTTGTGTTCGCTCGAAAAACAGAGCGTGAAGAGTTGTCCAGGTAAGAAAACCATGCCCCGCCATATTCAGTCGAGAGCGCTAGATTTAGCTTCTAGTTTCACAGCCTTCTTATTGGTTGGTGAGAGACTCGACGGCTTGCCCTTTCACACGCTGACATCAGTATGCATTTTCTCCTTACTGTTCCCTATACATTCACTAATGTGCTGACAAGGAGAATTTGTTGAACAACTAAGAGCTTCTCTCGGGTAGTTAGTGATCATTTCGTTTATTCTCGTGATCCTAATGTGTGATTCATGGTTGATATTGTAAGGAGAAATTAGATGTTAGTCACTTTAAGGGGTCAAAGGGTTAATGAACAGTGTGCTAGACTCCTGAGAGACAGGGTGTGCACTTGTTTCGATTCCTGGAAAGAATCATTCCCTGCTTTTACGAGCAAGATTCTTTATAATACATCTTGTAAGTTTGTATAATCAGATTAAATTGCGCAAGCGTGGTCCATATTCCCATTTTCCATGCTGTTGACGTATGTGAACGTCATCAATACTCAAGAAACAAGGGTTGCTCTTGGCCACGCATCGAGCTACTTTTACGTATCTCTTTGGTCCTCCAAACTTCCAGCGTGCTTCATATCTCGATGAACACGTGCTGGCTTATGAAACAATGCTGAGGCACCCTCATAGTGCCTCTCCACCCAGGAGTATACATGGGAACCACTAAACAGTCAGAGGAAACCTAATCAAATGCTGGAATTAACTTACGATCTTACAGAAAAAGTCGTTAATTTTTAATGTGCGCGCTGATCACTTGTAAAATTATGTTTGTTAAAGATGCGTAGTCAAGTTCTCACAATGCGTGTCTTTACCAACAGTAGAAAAATTTTAAGTTTCAAGCTTTTTCTTTCTTCTTTTTCTCGCATATGTATTTCAGAGACCTGCAGAAGACAATAGCAAACCAACCGGCGGAACCAACACCTCAAGCGCCACCACATCATCAACCTTCAGGTCTGTCGAGTTTCAAGTAAACGACATCAACACAATTATTCACAAGAGCAGCTGTAACGATTCTATTAGGATACATTTTAATAGGGTCTCACAAAGTTATGGTCTGTTGTTCTCGTTTACCAAGGTCATAATAAAAGTGCTCATGACAAAGGAGCTTACTGTGTAACCGTCTTGGGAATGAGGAGTGACTCGTCAATTTCTTTTCGTTGTGTTGATTTCAGGTGCGCGGGTGCCTCCTGGCCGCCCTCCGCCCCCATCAGCTCAACCACAGCAGCAGCAGCAACCTCCGCCTGCCCCATCTCCAGGCGCGCCTCCGATGGCTCCTCCACCAGGAGCTCCCCAACAGTACCCCCCTCAGCAATATCAACCTATGCCTCCCCCCGGATACATGCCCTATCAGTACGGAGGGTACCCCGGATATGCACCCCCGCTACCACCTGGTTACTACAACTACGGTGGTTATGGAATGCCGCAGGGATACCCCCCTCAGGGACAGCAACCTCCCCCGGGAGGTTATCCACGACAATAGATCATGTGAATTGTATTATTTCTTAAGATTTAAGTTAATTGTCGATTAGTCTAGAATCTTCTCTTTCTGTCGACAGTCTGCCCCGATAGAGACCTAACTCTTGTGGGAGGGGGGGATATTTAGAATTCAGTACTAGTCCGGTAGGTAGATTTAAAACTATCATTACAATTTAGGTATAATTTCTAATTAACGTTTTGAGGAAAGTTTATCAACAGCAGGCACAACTATGTATTCACTCACGGATGTAAAATCACGGCTAAAAATCTCGGTTGTAAAATCACGGATGTAAATTCACAGATATAAAATCACGGATTCCAAATATTTTACAAACTCTTAATGGAATCCATGTACTTTAAAATCTCCAGAAATGGCAGACTGATCAAGAAGAGAATTCGTCTTTGTTAGCCAAGATAAACCTGGTTTATTGCCAGTGCTTGAATTTTCTTGATGGAGTCAGGCTGCAAGATTAAGAACGCAAGATCGATTAAAACGTATACAATTGAAGATGTCCCATTTATAGAAAAAGTACAGGATTCTGGAAGTTTTTCCCTGGTCACAGCCATCACTTATCCTTGTCTGTTGAACGGGCGGGGTAACGGGTTGAAGTTTTAGAATTTATTTGACAGTGAGATTGTTTGATTTGAAAATTTGTTCCTTTTCTCTTTGGCCGATATTTCGGTAACATAAACAATGTAGCTTATCATATTTTGACTTTGCCTCTGTTGTTCGCTAGAAAATAAAAATTCCTGATGCATAAGAAATCAAGAAAGCACTCTGGGGTTGTAGTCGTTTATTCATTATTAAAAAAAAAAAAAAAACAAAAAAACAGGTGCCGCCTGTCCTTCTATTAGTTCCCTTTTTCCTTTCCAGAGCGTGAGCCTGGTCACTAACTAGAATACAGGAGACGAAGGCTGTTTCGTCCTAACCCAAAATCCTCTAAACCTCCCCTCCCCTCCCCTCATCATTTTATTACCACCCTTATCCATCCCTTAGACAATTATTGAGAAAGTTCAATTTGCCGCAAGTTTGAAAAATCAGACCACTAGTAGCCCCTGTATATTAATTTTTATCTCATCAATATCTTGATCGAGCGGAAAATAACTCAGCAATTTAAAAGTAGAATTTGCGGCACTTTGAGAAGGTTCTTGGTCTGGGATCAGATCCTTAATTTTACTTTCATTTTTGCATTTTGCCACCTACGCCTCCCCTAACTCAACAACAGTCAATTGATAACAAGTTAGGGTTAATGTTGGGTTAGGGGAGGGGTAGGTGGGCAGTTGCCCAGATACTGGTATTTATCCGATGAGGCTCTACGAAAAGTTTTCCTAAAATGATCAGTTCGTCGATCTATTATCTTACGAGCAGTTCTCAATAGGAATTTAAACAAATCTGTCGTCTGGAGCGCCCTTAGTGTGTTATGTTTGTAAAAGTACTTTTGGCCATAAGAATTTATCTAGTGAATTGGTTTATTAAACAAAATGCGGTCATATTTGAGAGCACTCCGGGGTTTTAGCTTATCTCCCTTCGCCAAGTGTATTACTTGCATTTGCCCTCTTGAAACAGCCATGTTTTTTTTCGTACGTGAACGACAAAATTGACCTTTGTTTTAGGTTTGTTCTCTGCAAAAATGGAAATGGTCCTCTTTTTTGAATGCATATATTTTTCGCATAAATTTACAACTTGCTGTTAAGGAGACGTCAGTTTTCTTGCTGTTTGCCACCCGCGTTTACAAGCGCGATTTTAAATATTTTCATTGCAATAATCACAGTCCTCTTAAATTCTTGAATAACTCTTTGAACCCTGACATCAACATGTATATTCTCCATACTATTCTCTTTAAATTTCCTGAGGTACTGACAAAAAGAATTTGTCCAATAATCAAGAGCTTCTTTAGTTAGTGATCATTTCCTCAGTTTGTTCTCGTGACCCTGATGTTTGATTCAAGAGTGAAATTTGATGCTAGTCAGTCTATGGGGGGAAGGGTTTTAATATCTGTTACAGACAAGATATCCTTACCCCTCTGGTACAAGGCCAAGAGTAAGAGACTCCACAAAAGTTTGTCATATCAAGGTCCAGAAATGATGCATTACTCCGTCACTTCTGTCGTTGCGGTCCTCCTGATTTCTTTACGTGCTGTGCGTTTGTCTTTTAGTTTGTTCAGTATCTTCAATATTTTCCCGAAACATTTTCTCACTTGTGCTGTGGTACTATTGCTTAATCTCACCCCTTTCGTTTCCTAGCCAAGTTAATAAGAGAACAATGTTCCAAAGAATGAAAAAATAGAAAATATTGCTCCATTATCATTACCTTCCCAGCTTTTTTATTTGAAAAAATTATCCGTATTAAACTTTATTTTTGTAATATTTATAATACTATCGTAAAAGATTGAAGCAAAAGAGGATCTGTATTTAGCGGCTCTTCAACGCACAAAAATGCAAACAAGAAAATAGACCATTTTTAGGGCCTTTTTTTTTGTTTGGCTGCTGACAAAAAGTGTAAGAAATCGTGCCAACGCCAGCATCCGTGATGTAATCATCAATGATTGGTTGTTATTTCTAATCCATATTCATGCAAAATTTTAGAATTCACTGCAAACCAAGTTAGTCGTCGAATTATGGAGACGTGTATGATGTGGTTTTGAAAAAGAGCCGCACTAATCTTGGAAGACCTATGAAAAACCTTCACGACAGGGAAGGATCTGTAAACTCTACTTCAACGAAGGTAAATTCAGTACCATGGTAGAAATATACGAGAGCTGACCATCAGAATATTACCTTCGTGAGTAACCACGTGCGCGAGTACTCGGCTGTGGGCATGTGAAATTCGAATTCGAGATCAAGAAAAAAGTTTCTTTATGCACTACGGCCAAGGAATCTTAGCCATGACTTTAACTGAAAATATAGACAATGAAAAACTAGAGAGGTAATTTTTACAAAGCATCTTCCTCTAAAGAAACTTAGATTGCGTTCTTGATCTTTGACATGGCCACGTGCATACAGTAATTAAAATCTCGTGTCATGAAGGACTTACATTTAAGGGGAATTCGCAAGAGTTTTTCATAAGTTTCTTCTACTTCACTTGTAGAGTTGCTCATGCATCTTGATAAAATTTTGCAAAGAAGCTTTGTAAACTTGTTTTCCTTGCATATCAGGCATTGTACCCTTAGCTAGTTACAGAACAGAGTCGGTTTACCCGAATTTAGCCTTTTTCTTATCAGTGGAATGTTATATTTGTGTTTTAGGAAACTCTTCTAGAAGTAGATAAAGATGAAGAAATATCTGATCAAAAGGACAAATGGAACCACTGAAATGACGAGAGGACTTACAAAGATAAGAACTTTACATTATTGAATAATAGCTGTAAATTGGTGACTGAACAAATGTCCACATTTGTTTTTCAAAAAGTCACTCTTGATTGTGTCGGATCAGATCTGTGAATTATCTGCCTTGCCAAAAAATTCCAGAGTGAGTAGACGAGGTAGAGCAAATAGCTCTATGAGGTAATTATTGTTTTGCAGATCGACAAGCGTTTTCGGCGATCATAAACAATTCGTGCTAGAATAATTCGGTCGTTCCTAAGACAAAAGAAAAGTTTTGGATTTCAATCTATGTCCCCATGCGCTTGGTCCTAATTTCAAGATAAGCATTTCAATAAAATATTTTTTATATAATCCGGATGTTCATTACTAAATAAAAAATAAAAAAACAACGAGCTTGTGATAGTGTTATTTGGTCCGAACTGCTCGGTCGAAAATTCCTAAATGCAAAGCAATTCAGTACCTCAATTCACCATTCTATCTACGTTGCAATAGTCACTACATATTATGGCCGCAAGGGTGTGATTAAGGTGGAAATACTGGTCAATTAAGAAAACACTTTTCACGAAGTTTTTATTTTATTCGAGAGAGAAGGATCAATTGCTTACCATGTAAAACTTAGAATGGAAAAAAATATCTTGATAGCTAGAAAGTTACTTTGGTGCAAGTAATTCCATGGTCTCACTGAAGAAGAAAGATGAAGACAATTTTGTCTCTGGACTTTCTACGATTGGACTCTTTGATTACGAGAGAAATCATTAGACTGATGCATCAGTTGACAGTGCCACCTTGATTACATACCTTTGCCTTGGTCATCGGGTTGATAAGTTTTAACTGAAAAGAGAACAATGGTTTTTCTTGTTTACATTCGGCTTGTTGTGAGTATGATATGGAAACGTGCTCGAGAAGAACAACTTGACAAATTCGGCGCCATAGATACTGCGCGAAGGAAACAGTCGCCAAACCATAAATGAAACAACTGAAACGATCGGAATCCTGACTTTTATTTTGATTACAATATCTTTCATTCAGGACACTTACAGAACTATCCCATAACATTTTCAGAGAGATGACCATGTATTGACATTGGTTACTGATATACACTGACTAAACATGAACAAGGAACAGACGTTGCGATGTCTGCATGCGAAAAAAATTCCATTAAAATTATGAATAAACAGAACCAAGCAACGTAACACTGCCGACCGATCAAACTGACCAATCACAACTGACGAGCGGTATTTAAGTCTTACAGCCAATAGCACAAAAGAAAAGTGGACGAATCACTTTTCACAAACCAGACTTTGCATTATGCGGAAATAAAACCCTTCACGCGGTTCTGATGATGACCTCCGCTCATCTTATCAGCCTACTGAAGCGGATCAAATACAAGACTGTTTAAAATTGACTGAAAATGCTCAAACATTAAGAAGATTTGATGTCAGCAATCACATTGATGACGCGATGATCGACGTACAAATCACACTGTTGACTGGGACATCAATCAAAGTCACAAGAACCATATGGCAGACAGTAAGGGGAAATACTAATGAGATCTTAGGAGTTAAACGGTAACCTTTACTAAAGAATATTTTCGGCGACTGACTTTGGAAAGCTGGTTTACAGACTAACGACAGACTTGTGATTTCCTTGATCGCATAACTGAGCTCGATCGACTGGCAAGTCGCATTTTCGTATGAAACATTGATCAATTAGTAAACAAAAACATTTCACGACTACCTCCGAAAAAACTGATTAATCAGAACAGAATAATCAAGTAGTGATAAACATCGAGGATCTTAAAAGTGTAAGATCAACCTTGACTGACGGCCGGGTCAATATCGTCTCCAAACGATCCATCACTGACCAAATAGACTTGATTAACACGACTAACAACGTTTCACTGGACTTCAAGATGAATTCGGTCAGGTTCTCGAAATATAAATCACCAGCAACAAGCTAGTCTTAGTTTTTGCCATTGTTCTCTCGTTGGTTAAAGTTAACTTCTAACTACAGTGTCTGGTTGGGAAAAAATTAAAATGCGGCGATCCTGATGAACTGCGGCAGATTATGCATATTTGTTGCAATTACAAAACATCAACAATTCAAAAGTCTGAACTAAAAGAGTGCTTGAGAAAAATCTTCAATACAGAGAGAGTTGAAGAGCTGGAAACATTTTGGCTTGATTATCTCCAATTTGCTATTTATCACCTTTATAAAAATCAGAAAGTATGACTTTGGAATGTGGGCAAACGAAAATACACAAAAATAACGAACAAGAATCAAAATAAAAAAACATGCCGTCTTGATTTTTTCGTCACCATTTTGTTTTCTAAAGCCTTTGTCTTAATTTCTTGAAGAACTTTGTGTTTCCTACAGGAAAAAAAACTCAGATTTTTTTTCTCAAACCAGACACTGTGATATATCTAACTTTGTAATGATATTAATCTTAAAGAGAAAGTATCATTTCGCG